CAGCTTCCGCAGACGTTGCAATGGCGCAAACCATTGATGTGAAGGGGTGGCCATAGCCCGCACCATACTGCACTGTGCCGGTTTGGTCAAACTCATAATCGGTGCTTTGCTTATAGGTCCCATCAAAGCAAGAGAGGACCATATCGACCAGTGCCCGTCCGATGTGCTGATTCTTGTTGCCCTTTTGGACGAAGACATGCAGTTCACCCATGTGCTTCTCAGCACTATTGCCGTGCCGATGGAATTCGACATAGGCGTAGCCAACCACAGGGTCAATCTGGTTGCGGCACAAGCGCACCGGCGGACGTCGGGCAGCCACAACGAAGGGGAGATTGTTATCCCGGCAAAATTGAAGAAGCTCCTCAAACTCATTCGCCTCCATAGATTGGAGTTTGCTACCCAAAGCTGAGTTTTGTGCATACCACTTCATGATTTCAAGGATAGAAGAAGTATCATACTGCTCTGCGGGGCGCAGGTAGATGCCGGGTGGAACGACTTTTGAATCTGGTGGTAGTGCTAGCCAGGCGCGGTGAGCCGCAGTGCGACGCAGGTGCTCTTGTTGTTCCTGCTCTTTCTTTATTCGTCTTTGGTTGACCTTCCCCAGGTTGTAGACATAGCCTTCCGATGTCTCGTGCCAATGAAGGCGTGTCTGCTCGTCTTTCATGTTCCTGGGGGTGGGGATATGCTTGATGTCAGACAGAATCATAGAATGCTGCCCATCGGGGATCGCGGTTCCGTCAAAGAAGGCAACATGAAAGATATCAACCCGACTTCCTGCCGGAAGCTGGTCCCACCAGCTGCGAAACTGCTCTCTGACACTCGCGTTAGGAAGATCAAACGATGAAATCCTGTGTCTGAGTTCTCGCCATTGATTATCTGCTTCTTGGGTGTCCCAAGTGCAGTCATCAGGAAGAGTTCGATCAGGCTCGTAAACAGCTTCGTTGCATTCTGATGTGAGCGTGAGGATTCCATCCTGGACAATTGGGAAGATACGGCGAGATTTTCCGTATGCCTTGGCTTGAATTTTCTGCCGGACATTACGCTGGGTCCGAATGTCCACATTGTTGGACGATTTGGCCTTCTTTTCGATTCCTCCAAGTTCATCATTAGGAATGAACTCGGGTGGGTCAGCTGCCCATGGCTCAGGTTCCTGAATACCTTCGGCATTCCTGGGCTTTGCGAGCAACTTATAGACACTGCTGCTCATATCGGCCCCAGGTCCATCCCTCGCTGCGGGAAGCATCTCAGGGCAAGAGTGACTGTCGTTGTCCATGCCGAAGAGAGGCTGCTGCACAGGCATTTTCTTTCTCCTGCGTTTGTCAAACTGTTTGGACAAATCCCAAGTCTGTGCCCAGCTCAGATTGTCTAAGCTCTGTATCAGCTTGTTTCTCCCCGTCTCATCCATGGATTCAAAAGCCTCAAGCATAGCTGAACTAGAGGAATTTGAGAGCACTGTCGATTTTGGCTTGTTGGGTTTCTCAGGCGACTTCCGAGAGGCAGCATTTCTATCCCGGAATGGCATAGATATTTCAACCTCCTCTGCCATATCGATATGAATAAGAGTTTCTGGTAGATGTTGAGTCAGCCGGGATTCTAGAACATCACTCATACCGCTTCTTTGGTTTGTTCGGCACGTGTGTCACCTGGGGGTGGCATTGTGTTTGTTACTCAAAGAGTGCGACATAAAATGTTCGGTAACAAGCATACCTGAGTAATGGGATGTACTGTAGTCACGAGACTGCAGAGCACGTTCTGTATTGCGAATATGCTGACTGAGAAGAATAAATGATTGAAGTGATGAAAGGCGGAGAGGCAGACGGAGAGGCAGGCGGAGAGATGAAGATGGGAGGATGAGAGTGGAATAGGCGAAGAAGGAGAGTGAGGGAGAGGAAGGAGGGAGGGGGTGGTTATTACGGCAGCTCGTCCATGAAATGCCAGACACTTTGGGCAATATCAAGCATGTCGCTGTGTGACATGACGAAATCTGTTTCGCTGTTCCTCTTCGCGCGGAGGTAACATTCCTGGAATGGAATTTGGATTGATCCCGAAATTTGGTGGTCCTCAGAATCGTGATTTCGGTTTCGAACGATCCACATCTTTTGAACGGACTTGACGGAATTCCCTTCGACTGCCCATTTCTCAATGGTGATAGTCCCCCTCTCAGTAGTTCTTATAGTCAACATGACTTGGACTTGCTGGTTTGACTCATGGAACCAGAACGAAGCATCTTCCTTCAATTTCTTGAGTGTTTCAGACCACCCTGCCTCCACAACCACCGTTGGCCATTTTACATCTCTGTTAGGTGGGTAACCTTGAGGCCTCCAGGTACAACTTGGTTTCTTCGCCCTTGTGGTCCCCTCGACACTCCCGCCGGGTACCAGACGACTCTCCTGGGCCCTATGCCAAGAAGCGAATATCTCAAGGAAAGTACCCCATGAGGTCTCGTGTATAGAAGAAACCGTCACCCTGAGGATAAGAGTCTGGGAGGAGAAGTAATAACTCAAGAATGCTTTTTGAAGTAGCCTGTCTGCAGACTTATTGTCGAAATCTTCCCGGAAGGCACGCCTATCTACGTGATCAAATATAATATATGATGACTGGCCTTTCCTATAACGCTTTGATTCAAGTTCAAGGCATCTAACACATTGCTCTGCATCTTGATACCTGTATCTTGGTGTTGTAGCAGGAAGGCCTTCATTTCTTAAGATATCTTCCGCCATGATGATTGCGGAGCGAAGCGAAGCAATTATAAATCCGTAGTTGGTTGTTGAAACTGATGGGAGCGATGAAATATATGGCAATCTTGGAAGCATGACGGTCAATGACGTGATTAGGAAACGTAGCCCTAGAGGTAGATTGCCAGGTAGTATACAAGACCTCTACAATCGTATCAACTTGCCTTCCATGTCAAGATTCTTTAAAAACTAGTACAAAGGACACCAAAAAAGACATACAATGGTTATGAACCATGTGATATACAACTTGGGGGTATCATACCAATTACGGTAGACATACCTAAAGTATTCGCTACTGATATGTGGCGGTCTCGCATCAAATCCAACATCCCTTAAAAGCGGTCTTTACCAATGGTTACCGAGAATACCTGTTTAGCGTGTAGCTGGTCCCCAACACGTCAAGACGCAGGTCCAATACAGTGCCTATTGAAACCATCAAATATAGGGGGAAATACACCAGCATGATATTCAGATAAATGTATTTAAATATAAAGTCACTTTGTAGTAACGGGAAGGAACATAATATCGGCCGATCCATAAACACGTCAAACCCCATCTTGAGCCTGGCAAGATTTTTCCCTTTCCAACTCTCTCAAAAAAATACCCTGCGGTATATTTTCGCAGCCATGTTGTCCATACTTCGGAAAGCCCGCTTAAAGGATAAAGAAATGCGGATATTGATGCTGTATGAACTCTGATCGGGTCGTTCAGGCCGAGATGCTAATGATTGCAGGGGTCTTGATAATGCCGGCAAGACGACCATCGTCAAGCGAATTATGAAAGAGGATGTTACGACGGTTAGCCCGACTCTAGGATTTATCATCAAGACAATTGACTTTATGGGGTAATTTCGATCTTGTTAATATCGCGAGCTCTGCTAACTCGCCGCAGATACAAACTCAACATATGTGAGCTTACCGGGTCTCTGGTGGGGACTGCGTACTGACAACACTAGGGGATGTTGGAGGACAAAAAACCCTCCGATCATACTGGAAAAACTATTTTGAAAAGACCGACACGCTAGTATGGGTTGTCGATGCCACAGATCGACTCCGGGTTGACGATTGTCGACAGGAGCTCTCGGGTCTGCTTCTTGAAGAGGTACGGATGACGTTTCCACCCCCAACCCGCAAATCTTAAGAGTGTCAACTGAACCCATTCTACCAGCGCCTTACGGGAGCTAGTCTATTGGTGTTCTTGAATAAGACAGATGTGGAACATTGCATGGGCGAGCAGGAGGTTCGAGAAGTAGGTCTAAATTCCTCCTTTGAATTTCATGCCGTTTGCCGGAGGCTAATGTCTCTGCAGCGTCTCAAATTGGATTCAATCAAAACACACAAGTGGACTATCTTGCCATGCAGTGCAATGACGGGCATGAATTTGAATGAAGGTCTAGAATGGGTGGTACAAGATGCCAAGGACCGACTGTTCCTTTACTAGTGAACAGGGGAAATCGGCGTGTTTCCTCTTGATATCCACGCTAATAAGATATTTAATAGTTATTTTAAGTGATCTTATTAAGTTTTTAGATCGATCTATTCATATATCTGGCCAACCCGTGTTGTTTCCCCTGTTATATCTGAACTAACGTTCGGTCGTATTCTAAAAATCTCCAATGCGGTGCATTTTATGTTCTAAAGAAATAGCCTAGTACATGTTAAATTGTAAAAGAACCAGGCTGCCCATATCTGATAGGCTAGAGTCAAAGAATAGAAAGACAAGAGTTGAAAAGTAACAAGTGTCTCCTTTCATGGATTCTGTACGGAGCGCGGAGTACAACCTAACGTTATGCAAGGCACAAACTGATATATATAACCATACCAAAATAGCCACATATGACCCAACCGTGACCCAACCGTGACCCAACCTATCCCTTTAACCCCTGAAAAGAAGAAAACCAAAAGAACCAGGGAAAAACGAGGGAAAAGCCATGGAAAGAGAAAACTGCGGGGCCCAATCGCTCCACATAAATAATGGGAGTAAACAAACTCCTATGTGTGACGGATTCAGGTTTGGTCGGTATAGACGCATCTATCCATGTCTATAGTCTAGAAAAAATAATAGGATTGTAGCAAAACAGCAGGATAAATAGATTAAAAAGATCCATGAAAAAGTGATGTGTGAGCCAATGAATTGGTTGATCATCGCCAGTCCCGATTTAATTTAAACAGGGCGGAGAACACAGCCCTTCTTCCACCCTACAACTCTTCCCCCCTCATTTGTTTCGTTTGAGGAGGCGTGCATGAACGCCGAGAGTCTTACATCATGGCTGCTCCCACCGAGAGTTCCGAGGATGTCAATGATTTCCTTGAGCGCATCCGGGAACTAGGCGACCGCCGTGACAAGGAAGACGACGAGCGGACCAAGAAACTAGAGGAGGAGATCCTGCAGGGCCGGAAGGAAAGGCAAGCCCGGAGAGCTGGTATATACTCCTTCCCTTGATGCACGCAATTTCTGCACTGTCACGGCATCTGCTGCAGGTCAACAATGTGCTGATATCTGGATGACTCAAAAAACAGAGCGTGCACGATCACTCGCCCTCACCGACGATTCATCCACCCTCAATATCGCACGACTGAGCACTTCATCTATCAGCACCCGGTCGATCGACCCTCCGGAACTCCTTGAGCCAACACTGAAAACACCGCAAACCCCAGGACCCGAGCCACCGATCCCGAGCGTGGATTCGAGTCAAGACATGGAGCCCTCCGATGCCGACAAGCGGCGGGGATCAATCCCGGATCTCGGATTGGATCTCGGATTGGATTCTCCCTCGCGGACACGACTACCCATGTCTCGCAACCGCGCAGGGACTTTGTCATGGCAGCAACGCCCCTCCTCACGGGACTTCGGCATGTCACCCGCTTCAACATCCCCAACTCGCTCCCCAACTCGTGCAAGCCACCTGAGAAATTTGTCTACGGCATCGGATGAGAATACACTGTCTCAACTCCAATTCGGATTCCCGCAGCCCGGGAAGGATGCCCCTGTGCTCCCTCCATCACCGGACCGCGGGGCTGAATCGGTAGCACACAGCGAGAAAGAGGAACAGATGGATAGCCAAACAGACGTGATTGTGGAGCATCAAGAGCCCGAGGTGGTTGAAGACCCAAATCCCGAACTAGATCAACAGGAAGCAGTAGAAGAGACATCACCGTCGCCCCCGAGGACTGGTTCTCGTGATAGCAACATGAGCCATCGCTTCTCTGTATCGTCGGTTTCAGCCACTGGACTGGGGTCGCCAGTGCACCTGTCAGAGACTACGAAGCTCGAGCCTCGACAGAATGATTCCTCGTTGGAGGAGTCCATGTCGCCGTCTCCTACCCAGCGGCGGATGTCACCAGAGCGAACACGGTCGACCTCACCCACCAAGGGCCTGGGAGGCTTTGTTCAGAGTGCTATGATGAGAAGATCAGATAGTGTGTCAAAAAGGTGGAGTGCACAAACTCCACAGGGGCTTGGGCGGTCAAATTCCATTGTGTCAAACCGCAGCAGTGTGGCTGGTCCAAGTTTGAGTGAAATGACCCCTCCAACTCTTGGACGAATCAACCGTGACTCTACAACTCTCCTACAAAGACCAGGCTCCAGCCACAGCGAGGCAGCCACCGAGACACCCGAACGACCAACCACAGCGGATAAAGACACTGTGAATTTTGACAGCCCAGGAAAATCATTCCGACCTGGTCACTCTCGCTCTGCTAGCTCTGCCACCGCAGAAGGCAGTGAATCTCAAAGTCCGTTTGTCTCGAAAACAATGGACCCCAGGCGCTGGAGCCCCAACAAGGCTTCTTGGTTGGAGAGTGCCCTCAACCGACCCGAGCTACCACGACAAACCAGCAGACCCCCCTCGCAGCCCAACTGGGCCAAAGACCGACAGTCGAAAGGTAGCGTGGATTTGGGACGAGTCAACAATTTCAAGGAAGTCACCCCTCTCGGTTTGATGCGAACACCTCCGCCAGGAACTCATACAAAACTGCCTGGGCTCTCTGTTCCATCGCTTCCAACAAGCCCTATCAAAGATGGTGTTCCAGAGTCTCCAATAGGATTCCCTCTGAAGAAGATTGGTATCCCTGGTCCATCGGTTCCTACGACCCCTATCAAGGATCCTGAGTCTCCAATAGGATTTCCTCTGAAGAAAGTTGGTGTCTCAGGCTCATCTCTTCACAGGAACTCCGTCTCAGATCCTCCCTCGGAATTCCCTTTCAAGAAGTCCGGTACCGCTGGAGGGTCAGTTAGCGGAAGCCCTGAAGGCAAGCTCAAAGATGCAGCACCCGAGTCTCCCTTGGGATTCCCCTTGAAAAAGCCCCTCAGTGCGGGTTCATCACTTCACAGAAACTCCGTCTCAGATCCTCCTTCGGAATTTCCTTTCAAGAAATCCGGCACCCCTGGAGGGTCAGTCAGTGGAAGCCCCGAAGGCAAGCTCAGAGATGCAGTACCCGAGTCTCCCTTGGGATTCCCTCTCAAGAAGCCCCTCAGTGCGGGTTCATCACTTCATAGGAATTCCATCTCAGATCCTCCCTCGGAATTCCCACTCAAGAGGCCCAGTGTCTCTGGTCACTCAGTTTCTGGAAGCATTGCTACCGTTCCTGAATCTCCGTCGGAGTTTTCATCCAAGAAACACAGTATCTCTGGTTCCTCAATCCCTGGAACCCCCGATGGCAAATCGAAGGAGATAGTTCCACAATCTCCGTCAGTTCTCGGTGGCCCTGACGCTGGACAAACAGAAGAGGAAACCCCAGCTTCTCCATCGCCTGTCGAGGAACCTCTCAATGCCCTGTCAAGCGATGCACCAACGGAGGAACCCAAGTCTGCTTCTCCCGCTGAAACTGAGAATGAGTCGCAAGAACTACCTGCATCTGAAGAGTCCGAGCCTCAATCTACTCCCACTCGCAGGGACCCTCCCGACTCTTTGAGCCCCAAACCAAACTTTTCCATCTCTACTTCTTCGCGGGTGCCCATTTCACCCATGGTGAAGCCACAGTCTCCCGTGCTGGACTTCCGAGCAAACCTGCGGAAACGAGAAGTCGTCAAAGACAACGGAGAGGACAAAGAACCAGAATTTAAAAATGTATTTGGACGCCTCAAAAAGACTGAACCTCGCAGCTACGTTCCCCCTGATGCGCTCAAGGGCAATATCCTACTAGGCAAAGCTGCGCTGAATAACACCGGCGGACCAAAGAAGACCGAGCGAGTTGATGAATTTAGGAAGAGCCTTGTGGTGCGCAAAGATGAAATGAAAGCCGGCGGGGGCTCCATCAGACGGAATACAGCTGGAGAGCAGGATGCGCCACCAAGACAGACTGAGTTCGTACCAGAAGCAATTGCTATGCGACAAAATATGACCCGGGCAAACAGCATCAAGCAGCCACTTGTGGGTGAGCCGGTATCGCCTACTAAAAGCTTTGCTTCTCGAATTTCGCAGGACAGACCATTGTCGTCCCCGAAGTCATCTATCAAAGGCATCGGTTCATCGCGAGCTTCTCAGGAACAAGAACCATTGTCGCCATATGCTGCCGATGATGAGCCGACATCTCCCGCTAAAAGCTTTGCTTCTCGTGCTTCGGACAAACCATTGTCGTCCCCGAATTCATCTTTCAAGGGAATAGTTTCATCGCGAGCTTCTCGGGAACAACAACCGTTGTCGCCATTCCCTGCTAATGATGAGCCGGGCTGGCCCTTGAAAGACACCAGTTCCTCGCGTACATCTCAACAATCACAGCCGTTCTCACCGTTCCCTGCCGATGATCCCAGCGATGAGCCAGGGGAGACAATCCCCGCGGCGAGCGACTACAAGCAAACCCCCGAGGTGGTATCTTCAGTGAAACAGGAGGAAACCCCAAAAGCCGTTGCACCAATTGAGCCTAGCATAGTGAAGATGCAGGAACCCTCAGTCAGGACACTCCGCCCAGTTCGTCAATGGCCACCGGCACCTGTTGCAGAGGCTACTGCGACTCCAACTCTAGCACCTAAAAGCAAATTGGCGGGCCGAATCAACCCTGCGCTAGCTGGCCTACTTTCTCGTGGCGCGCCTGCCGGTGACGGACCGAAGAAGCAACTGGCAACCCCTGTCTCAGCGCCGAGTAACCCTGCCTCGCCATCTGCGCCTCTCACGCACGTCACAAAGGGTCGTGCCAGAGGCCCGAAGAGACGACTTCCCCAGACAATTGATGTCTCGACCCCGCCCGCTCGGAATGCTATTAAGGAGGTTGGTGCTATTTCCTATGAAGCCACCCCGCCAGAGACTCCTACAATCCCTGTTGAGTCCTTGGACATCGATTCGGAGTACCTGTCGCAGTCTGATGAAGACCCAGTTCCTGACATCAAAACCCCCCGTGCAGACAGCGCAGTCACCGAGCAATTTCCGGAGGTAAACACTCCTCCCCAGGATACCCTTGAACGCGATACGCCCACACCCGAAAGTAATTTCCAGCGCGCTCTCCAGACCCCTTCCCTAACAACGAATTTCGACATGTTTCCCTCCGCCAATCTTGAGGCGACACCCAGGGAACCCGAAAGCCCTGGAGAGGTGAGTCCATCTAGCGGACCACCCGTCCCGCCGAAGTTTGATTCTCCCGTCTCCCCCTTGCCTGTAACGACAAAGACACAATGGGGCCAGCAAAACCGGTTTACGTCCTCATCACCGTACGCTCTCCTAACAAGCCAGAAAGTGAACCAAATAGAATCACCTATGAGTCAGGAGAAGAGCATCCCCGATGTTACCGTCGAGTCATCACGCAGTTCCGTCTCACGGCCCTTGAGCCATCCCTCCCCGCCAGTACCTCCTAAAGACGATGATGTTATGCTCCATAAGCCACCCAATCCGCGCAGACTTTCAAGAAAGATGTCCGCTCCATCACTAGTGGCGCAAGCTAGTGAGGCACGTGAGGTAATTGCGGGCTTCTTCAAGACAATCCCTAACGCTCGAAACCGCATGGACATTGATCCCCAGCTGATGGTAATGCGTAAGCCGGATGATGTTAAGATCAGGACCGTGAAGCTACATATCTGGGAGCTCACAGGTGATGGGAGGCGTCAGGAACTTCCTTCCCACCTGGAGTACATTCTATACCAAGGCAGCATGTATCTCTGCGTGCATACATTCGAGACCGAACGAGGCAACGTTTCGGAAGTATACCTTTGGCGTGGAGACGATGTCCCCGACGCCTCGGTGGATAATGAACAGCCGTTTGCACGCAAAGTCGCTCGTGAAAATAGCTCCAAGTTGCAAATCATTCGACAAGGCAATGAGCCCAGGCGGTTCATCCAAGCGCTTGGTGGCATTATGATCACGCGTCGGGGATCCAGCTCCCGCCACAATTCATCGGCTCTTTACATGCTTTGTGGCCGGAAACACTTGGGCGAGATGACCTTCGATGAAGTGGATTACTCGCTGCGCAATCTCTGCTCTGGTTTCCCTTACGTTGTCTCTGCTCCGTTTGGCAAGCTCTACCTATGGAAGGGCAAAGGTAGTGGCCCTGAAGAGACCGGTGCAGCCCGACTTATCGGCATGGACCTAGGTCTGACCGGAGAGTTTGAAGAAGTCACCGAGGGTGAAGAACCCGACGATTTCTTCGATGTCTTCGCAGGGCCCAGGGAGGCCGCACCGCACATGTGCCAGGATTACTGGAAGCTCAAGCCGAAGTACAACCACTTCGGCATGCGTCTCCTCCGCGTCGACCACGAAGTGAACCCGCCAACTCGTTTCTGGAATATCCGCCGTCCGGGCGCAGGTGCACCAGTGGTTAATGCCAACGATTGCGTTCAAGAAATAGAGCCATTCTGCTACCGAGACATTGTCGAGAAAGATGTTTACGTTCTGGACACCTTCTTTGAGATCTACGTGTAAGTACCACCGTACGACAATGCCCTCCACTCGACTGATGCTAATTCCCTCACAGTATTGTTGGCGAGCAAGCCTCACAGAAGTCTGCCGATTTCGCCTCGGCGGTGGTCTTCGCGCATGAATATGGTATTCTTGCCACATCCCTCCAGGACCGACCATTCATCCCCAAGAGTTACGTGGCCCTCGGCGGCATCCCCGACCGCTGCCAAAGCGCATTCCGCAAATGGAACCCACGTGCCCAGCATGCGCCTTTCGTGTTCTCTCTGGATGTTGTTATCGAGGCGATTCGATCACCAGAGGAGAATTGAGTGATATCTTGCGTTTTTTATCTGATTTTTGGGGGGGCTTCTGCTTTGAATTTGTGCATATTTCGGTTTGTACAGGCTTTACAGAGCATTTCGGAGTCCTGTGTACTTGTGCCATATTTGCGCCATAGAGGGAACTGGAGCATCTGGGGACTGTTGGGATGTAGATAGGGGGATTTCGCATTTGATGGTGTATTTAGGCATTTTTAGCAATTCAAGTTTCATACCGAGGCTGCCTATTACCTAGGCTTTTCTTATCTTTTGAGATTACATATACAACACAGAAATTAAAACATAAACATCTGAATCCTCGGGCAATTTAGGATATTCAAGATAATCCATGGATGCAATGGTTATGGACGGGAACGGAAAACCGATCGGAGATAAAAAAAAAAATCATCCGATCTGGAATGTCGCCATCCTCGATCTTTCGATCGTTCGATCGGACTTGTGAATAATTTCTCCATTCTTACATGCTACTCTTCCTCATGGCAATGTAAATATTCGAGTCATGGACCCCTCCATCCTTCGCGAGCTCTCGAAGCTCGACCCCGCGCTACCCTTCCGCGCATCGACCGATCATTTGCATCACACATGGGCCAAGACATTCTTTTCGCGCCCGGAGTTGTACATTCGTCCACAAACCATTCCAGAGATCCAACAGCTAGTGACTCTCGCCCGTCGCTGTCGTCGCCGCATCGTAACAGTCGGCAGCGGCCACTCGCCCTCCGATCTGACCTGCACCTCGTCCTGGCTCGTCAACCTCGACGACTTCAATCGCATCCTCCACGTTGACCCGTCAACCGGCTCGGTAACCGTCGAAGCGGGGATACGATTGCACGCGCTGGGAAGAGAACTGGACAAACATGGCTTGACACTCGAGAACCTCGGCAGCATCGACAGCCAGTCCATAGCAGGCGTCATCGCCACTGGCACCCACGGCAGCTCCCTTCGCCACGGCCTGGTGTCAGAATGCATCGACTCGCTCGGCCTGGTACTCGCCAATGGCCAGCACGTCCGCTGCAGCCCGACAAACAACCCAGACCTGTTTCGCGCGGGGCTGGTATCGCTCGGGGCGCTTGGGATCGTCGTCGAGGTCACCTTCAAGGCGGCGCCCACGTTCAAGATCGCTTGGCGCCAGGAGCGGTATTCGCTCGCTCGCGTGATGGATGAATGGTCGATGGGTCTGTGGACATCGCGTGAGTTTGTGCGCGTGTGGTGGATGCCTTATGAGAAAGGCGCTGTTGTCTGGCGTGCTGATAAAACCGACCTCCCGCTGCGCGCTCCGCCGAAAACCTTCTACGGCGACTCGATCGGCTACCACATCTACCATAACCTCCTCGCGCTGTCCTTGTACGTCCCGCGCATCCTGCCGTGGGTCGAATGGTTTGTCTTTGGTATGCAGTACGGCTTCCGGGCCGGGTCGGTCGTCACCGAGGCCGTTGAGCCCGCGCGCGAGGGATTGTTGATGAACTGTCTGTATTCGCAGTTTGTTAACGAATGGGCTCTCCCGCTGGAAAAGGGTCCCGAGGCCATCGGTAGGCTTTCCGCCTGGCTGCACGGCGACATGGAGACCGCGCGCATCCCCTTCTCATCCAAGGGACTGTACGTGCACTGTCCGGTCGAAGTGCGAGTCTCGGACACCTCGCTGAACACCAAGCCCCGCCCATTCCTGGACCCGACGTGTCACGACGGCCCGACGCTCTACCTCAACGCAACGCTTTATCGTCCCTACCTCCGCGACCCGCCGTGTAAAGAACGCTACTACGAAGCCTTCGAATGGCTGATGCGAGAGATGGGTGGGAAGCCACACTGGGCGAAGAACTTCCACACAAACTCACACGAGCTGGGCGCCTCGTACGGGTCAGACATGGAGTCGTGGATTAAAGTGCGTTCGGAGGTCGATGCTGACGGGATGTTCGTGGGCGAATGGCATCGGCGTCACCTGCCCCTGGAACTCGGGCAGGCAAGCGCAGCACCTGCAGGCGAGCGGCTGCCCCTCCTCGAGCGCGAGCACGAACGTCGCAGGGTAGACATTAATGGCGTCGGCGATGGCGTCGAATGGGTAGGGGATCGCCGATGGCAGGCTCAGGCTCAGCGACAACCTTTTGATGCGCTGGATATGGAGAAGAGCCTGTATCCATTACCGCCAGATCACTCTCCTAGTCCGCCTGGGACGGCGAGCAGCGAGGAGAGCTTTGATTTGCTTGCCAGGGGTGAAGCGAGCATATTGCTCCCCGACGGACCGGGGGTGTGAGAGGAGAGAAATCAGGCTCCGGTCGAAAGCAAACAATCTCTTGTTGTCGGGTGCGCGAGTCCTGATTATTCCGTTGCTTTTGCATCTGCTGATCTATCGGTGATTGTTCTGACTGGTCCATTCCCGGGCTGTGTTGTGGCTTATTGGGGTGCTTATTGGCTCTACGGGCTAATTTGGTGATTATCCCCGTCACTTTCGTTTTTTTTTCCTCTTTTTTCTTTTTCCCCTCCCCCTTTGTTCGAAGCAATTTGGGGATGATAAATTACAATTGGTTGGCAAATCTGACATCCGAGGATGTTCAGGCTTCGAATCCTCCAACTGTTTCCCCAAAAATGAGGGCTTTTTTTAGATCTCCTTCCTATATGGAACATTACATGGAACATATAGAGGGATATTACATATTGCATACTGCATATTCCCCTGCTTTTACCCTTGTTTTGCTTTTTTCACCCCCCATTTTCCATTTGCCAAGGCTAAACCAGAGAAATCGTATGGCCTCGTGGTCTCTAACTTGAAATTTGAATCTGTCGGTGAACGAGTCTGCATGTTTGATGCAGGTGCCCATAAGCTCTTCGATAGGGCGAGGTTTGTCTGCTTTTTTGCTTTTGAAAATATGCATACAACATACAGCAGTCAATAGTTGTTCCATTCTTGTACACACTGTGGCCAATTTACGCAGAATAGATTATCTTGTTTCTATGGATCGGGGAGGAAAGAATCACACTGTGCTGTGTGTGTCCGTGTCTTGTCCTTGTCCCTTTCCCTTGTCCCCTGTTCCCTGTCTTGTCACAGCTGAGAGACCTTGAGATAGTCCATGTATAGAGTACCCAACAAACCTTTCTTACACATTGCACAGGTCTATACAGGTCCATTGATTTCATTGCACTCCATGGTCTAGACAACCGGCAAACCGGGGATTCAGGATTGATATTTATCTGCTTGATATGAGGGATGAGGGAAAGGAAGAGAGAGTACAGATGTACTTTGTAGATCAGTGATACCCTGTATGGTATTGCAGCTCGAGCTGAGCACTGTGCTGCCTGGTATGTATACTTAGTATACCTCACACATTACACTGCCACCGTACAAACGAGAGATCAATGCAAAGATCTAGCCTAGACAACTGTTCAGATTAGGGCTGGATCTGATCATTGCACACTTGATTCTGTGCGAGAATGCAGGCAGTACCAGGGTAATATTGTACGAAGATAGAGGCATCAAGACAGAACAGCCCTAATCGGATACATAATCAGGGGAATATCACCCCGCTTTGTATCAGAAATACTCTTCCTTGTCCATCAGCCTCTTTAACTCTTTTTCTTTCGGAGGCTGAGAGCCTAACAGTTGATTGTCGCTATCATGTTCGCATATTGGCATATTCTGGCATATCATGTTGTACCACGTTTCGGTGCAGCTGGCAAGGATGTCTATATGTCCGATGCTTTTTTTCACCGACTTCTTTTTATCTCGCATTGACCCCTCCATAGCTGCAGATTGACTAGGTAATTGATTGGATCTTTCTTCTCATCGCAAATGACTCGGAGTTGGCCTTTCTCATTCTCCAGGCACGTGTGTTGGGGATCTCTCTCTGACGTGCAGTGTCAGCCTTCGAGGGGAAAATATCGTGTGACAAGGAACGTTACCTCTCTCTGTCGTTTCCTGCCCAATGACTGGGATCAAATCTCACGGACTCACGGCTGGGACTGTGTCATTGTACTGGTCTCTGGGTATCCTAAGCAGTCGCCTAAATGTCTACGGTCTACCTGCTTGCCCTGGGATTCAAACCACATGTCACCACCCTCGTCACCCTCGAACGCTTTGAACAGTCTCTCCACGTCACGGCTTAGCTGCTGATGCGGGGGACGACGTCTCTGCACCTTTGATAATCATGATATCAACCTTTGGCGCTGGCGGCTGAATGCCGGTTTCATTATCATCCACCCCACCTGCTCGATTCTTTTCTTTTTCTCTGTTTTTCTTTTTTATTTGGGTCAAAGCTCTCTCTCCCTCTCTTCTCAATCTTGAGATCTTGCTCTTTCTTCTTCTTTCTTTCTCCACCCTTCCTCTTGCATTGCAATATCTACCTCCCTTGCTTGGTTTCCGGTGGAGTTTCCAATATGATACAATCCATGTCGTGGCAGCCAAAGCTTCGCCCCAAGGGTTTCCCGCATAGCATTGATGGCTTTGCTGCGGTGGCTTCGTTGTCGGAGCTGGAGCATCGGGCCCGGACTGAGGACAAGCGGGACCAACGCGTCTTCCGGGTCAAGCGTAAGCATGTTTTGAAAGCCTGTGATCGCTGTCGCGTGAAGAAGACCAAGGTATGTCAATACACCAGGAGACCTTGATTTGCCTAATCTTGTTAGTGTGATGGGAAGCAGCCTTGCAATCGCTGCTCGGTATACAACCACCCTTGTCTATTCCGCGAAAGAAAGGCCACTCAGACCAAAGTATACTCTCGAGGGTGAGTACATGCAGAGAATCTCAAGCCAGACATTTCCTCAAGCTCATAGACAAACCATGCACAGATTCGTCGAAATGCTCGAATCCCACCATTCCCTAGTGGTAAAGGCCCTTCAGAAGCTCTATAAATTCTGCGTCAACAACGAAGGCTTCCCAGGCGATCCCCTCGCCGAAGCCCCAGACGGACACCCCCTAACACATGCAATCCTCGACCGTCTGGGGCTAATCAAACAAGCCGAAGAAAACGCCGACGAGCCAGACGAGGACTCAGAGGATCTGCGCTACCTACGACTGCTATCAACATCCACCGAATGCAGCGTCACAGCAGAGCCCTCGCCAGAGCCAGCAACACCCCCAGAGCCCTCACCCATCTCTCGCCCTACCGCAATTCCCACACCAGTCTCCGTCCCTAACCGCACCCCCACCACCACAAGCTGGCAGTGGGATCCCCAGCCCGTTCACCAGACGAGCTACAGCTACCCAGACGCAGGGTACCACGACTTGATGGTGATGCAGCAACGGTCGTCCATGAGTGCACCGGACATGGGCGCTGATATTGCGCATATTGGTCTGCCCTCTGGGCCTTCAGGTCTACCACATATTCCGCAACATGCGCACCTCGAGCCGCCGTTCCCGTATGTCTTGGATGGATGCTGCGATCCCGGCACCCCCCAACATGATGTCAAGCCCGTGCTGTCGAGGCTACCGTCCGGTCTCATGGCTGAGTCTCATTCGCATCCGCACCATCTTGGGAATCTCTCGGTGGAGATGATGGGTGACTACAATTTCCAGCATGACCCGGCGTATTATCCTGGGTTTACACCCGGCTGGAATTTTCCTTCTGGTTAAATCTGTTTTGGTATTTGCTGGACTGTTTCTCTTGTCTTTTGGAGATACATGGTCTTTGTTTATGATTTGGGTTTTTTGGTACAAGCTGTTGAGCAGCTAGTTTCATTTCACTTCTTATCTATATTTCACATTCTCTTTTCTATTTCTCGTCATTATGATTTGCATTCTTCTTGAGCTCTTTTCTTTCTCTTTTTCTCACTCTATACCCCCCTCATCTGAATTTGAACACCACCGGAGCATGGAGCACGATATGTCCGGCACATTGAGCCCTAATCCTTTTGGCCAGTCCTTTTTTTCCTTCTCGGGCTCAGCCAGGTCTTTCTTTGGATCGTCATTATTGATCTTGATTTGGATTTCCTTTGATTCTGGTATCTAGTTTGAAAGAGTATCACCCTATCAATTTAGGTCCTATATGCCTTTGGTCTTTTCATTTTCCTCTTACCGCTAGCGCTCGCGTTAGTCCTTGGGTAGACCCTGTCTTTGTATAGAATGGGTTAGGGGTGGTTACTTACAATGAGATATGGATTAGCATAGTATCATACCTTTGACAGATAGACATTCTCCGACTTGGGGTTATACTTCCCAGCCACGGCCATATTCAAACAATACCAACGACGACGCCCACAAATCCTGCACATAACACATGATACATACATCCCACCCAACCAGTCCAACATCCCCAACAAAAGATAACACAAGAATAGAAAATCGGCTCACACCAGATCTAGATCTCGCACCAGGTCATATGGTCGTACAATGCACGACCTGACACAGATTCATCTAGCATCAACTTGGAAAAGAAAGACAGCCGCAGAGATCTGAAAATAGTTAGGAGCGGCAGATCAGATCGTATCGGATCGTATTCGCGGCAAGTGCGTCTGTCGTCTTTCCTTCCCTGTTTGGGCTGGAGGACTGGGGAGGGAGGGCTAGGACTAGGCTGCGTGCGGGAAGGTTGTTTGTGGGACTTGAGAACATGCTTTGTCGGGGGTTGCTGCTTGCTGGGGTTGTTTGTGTACCCTGGTTTTGTACGGAGTACATTGGTGGATATACTAAGATCGATGTAGATGTAGATGATCTTCCGATATATATATCTAAGAAAGGGAGATGCAGTGTGATATAGGACAGAGAATGACATTAGACATTGCAATATAAAATATATGTCGCATCATGCTCTCGTCCTATCATGCCTGGTGGAAATATGTTATTTTCTTGTAATCCATTTGGTTGGTTTTGCCTATACCTCCTCCCTCGCACTCTCCCGGTGTTTGTTTAATGGAGACCTATTCACTCTTGCCACTTCCACATGTGTTTTGTAAGACACACTGCAACTACGGCGCTTCCGGGGATGTGCCCGAAATTCAACATCTCCGGCCAAGGGTTTGCCGACTCGATTTGTAGGAAATCGAAATCGCCGAAGACTTGCCGACGCCTCGCTCTTAACATAATCACGAGATAAATGGCCTGTAAATCTTCAGATCGCCATCGTGGTTCTATCTCTTTTAACCCATGTCCCCTTCCGCTTCCGGGATCTTTCAACCAGTATGAATGTGATTACTACCTCTGCAGTACCCTTTGAAGTACCCTTTGCTAATCCTGGAGCCGTATATGCATATATAGACAGGATAGTATCGGCCGGGGTCCAATCGGCTGCCGCTCTACTTAGTGAGGCCCAGGAGGACTTAGTGACCAGATTAGGGATGTGGGTCAGTGGGTAATTGATCAGACACCAATCAGGACCGCTCTGTGTTGCTTAGTAATAATTTAGTATTTATTTTTCAGAGGGCGATCAGTCACGTGGTCCTGGTCAAGGTACCATATATAAGCCCCAGCAGCAGCTTGGAGGTTTACACCTCCTATGAAGTCCACACTCTTCTTTCAACAGTATCCTTCACACTGTCTACAAAATACAAGTGAAATACTTCTTGGATATAGGTGCGAAACACATTCAAATGAACGACTCGGAAATATCCAGTTAACACACCAATACTTGATCCAGCACATCAATCGTGTTGCATTATGATATCTAGCAATATGAAAACCGAAGACAGCGGCAGCTCTGTCCCTCCAACTCCTCCTCCTACCCCTGCTCCCAGACACCAGGCTCTATCATGGAGAGGTTTTGCAGAGACATTTGTGATTAACTTTGTGACTTCCATGGCTGCCACCAATACCAGAAACGTCGTCTTCAAGTCCGACAATCCTTACCTTCTGTGTGGGATTTATGCATGTTTTCTTACGTTGTTTACTTTTCTGTATCGGAAATTCCAGGCTCTTTACTTGCGGATGGATAAGTGAACCTGGGATCAAGGATGAGAGCTTACTCATAGCATAAGCTAGCTACGTATTATTTCGACTGCCTGGCTCCATGTTGCATCAGGATTGGCCTCTAATCGACTCGGAATATGATCGGAGGATGAGCTGGCTGGATTAGGAGCAGGATACGCGAGCAAAAGCCCGTAAAGCGACATGTCGACCCACAGAAAGGATCGGGATCAGAGTCCTAAGTGGGGAGGGAAGAGGGGGATCTTCATTCTTCCAGAAAACTTGTCAGTATCCCTGTCTAATTTGAGGCGAAGTGATAAAAGCCATAACTAGTTAGCCATTCAAGACACATACAACATAGACGGGTGGATCTTGGTATCCAATAGCCATCGACTTGAGCGTTGGTTCAAGGCATGAGCTAGGTACAACGCGAATTACTTAGCAATCCCACACCCATCCATCGCTAACTAAGCTTTCTTGCCAATCCGATTCAACCGAAGCAGCCTAGGCTTCCTCGGCCTTATCTGACGTGACGTGAAATTGGCGACAGATCTACAAGATACTCTGAATCGTTTGTTCGCACGTCTTTAACAGCCAATCGTCTTTGGTATCGGCTTTTCCCACCATATTCACTCAAGTGATGTGGTTTTTTTACATCCATTCCTCGGTGATGTAGACCAATGGCAAAAGCACCGCGTGCGAAGGGTAGTTGGGGTCAGGTATTTCTCTCTCTTCTTCTTCTTCCTCGACTGGACAGCTTCTTGAAGATGGGGTTCTTTGGACCGGATGAAGAGTTTATCGAGGTTATGCTTTAAAGTTGTTGTGCCTAATGACATTCGGAATTTCCTATAGGATTAGAATCCAGACGAACGCTTTTAATTTGACATGGTAGGTTTTATCGGAGATAGACATGGACTAGTCGGCCAGTGTATTTTCAAAAAAAAAATTAATACATTTATTCAATCCAGACTCTATTTTAAATCTGCAAGTAGCCCTGTTGAATCACTGTACCGCGATGATCAGGAGGACCCGGACTGACACCAACCATTACCCAGAGGAGTAACGAGTTCGTAGACAGCGAGGTTGAATGACATCGCCACACCCAAGTCCCTCCATAATTACCCGATGAATAAGAAAATTCGAATTCGACACCAGAAAACGCCTTGGTGGCAACAGGCCTAAGCCCAGGGCTAGGGCAGCGCAACGCCGAGGGCCAGGGTTCAGATCAAAGACCAGTGTTACACATACACATCACACAAGCTACGCTGTGAGTACAATCGATCAATCAATGCATGAGAAAGGAATCAATCCTCGTCTTCCGTCTCTGTGTTGGTGTCGCTGGTATCGCCTGCGTCGCCGTCGGTATCACTCTCGCTGGAGTCGTCGGAATCTTTGGTCTTCTTCTTAGGCGCTTGGCCGGTCTTGATCGCTTGCATTTGGCCGGCGATGGAGTCTAGGGAGGGTTAGTATAAGCGAAACAGGTAGTTTAGTGGTTTGGGAAGACTTACCCTCGTCTGGCTCGCTAATGTCGTCTTCCTCTTGCACGGCGGCTGCCTTGGCAGGATCGTCAATGTGCAGGATGATTTGAGCCGTGTTGTCAAGACCCAGATAGCTGTCACAGATCATGTGGAGGAGGAAGGAGAAGTCGCCGACCTGTGGGGGAGCCTGGAACTGCATCTTGAGAGTCTGGACGTTGAAGGTGGGCTTGCCGGCCTCGTCGAAGATCGGCTTGTCGAATGTCGTAAATGTGAACGGCGGTACGGCCATCTTGCCCTGCTTGCCGTCTGCTAGGAAGATGTTCCAGCGAGGGGAGTGATCGCGCGCTAGGTACGGTGCGTTGGCCAGAGGCGGCTGGATGCTTTCAATCTTTGCCTCAACCTTCTTACCGTCCTCCATCTTAGTGGCGCTGTTCTTGGCTGGCTTGCGACCCATCAGGGCTTCCAGGTCGTCCTCGTCGGGGTCAATGTCCTCTAGGTCGAGCGGGTTCACTGGCGGCACGGATGTGCTGCCTGGCGGGATGAAGCGGGCTTTGACTACCAGCTGTACCAGACTGCTGGGTGTGATCACCTTTTCTCCCATAACCTTAAAGAAGATCCGCTCGGGTTGAAGCAAGGGAAGTTGCTTGGCAACTGATACGGCGTCGGTGTATTGCTTATCGGATAGAAGACCAGCGCCGACAGTAAGACTGCGTCGCTGAGCCTCTGGTAGTTCCATGTACCTTTGGACGGTGAGATGTTCCTTGGCGTCTTCGCCCTCTACGGACTTGACAATGGCCTCGGTGAAGTTGGGAAGTTGCAGCAGTGGTGATGAGCCCGGGGACACAGCCTGGATGAGGTTCTGAGACGTTTTGAAGGCACCGACGATCGGTCCGAGATTACCAAATGCGAGTGAAATAGCAGTGAAAGCTTCAGTGAGAGCAAGGGCGACAGGAGCCGCTTCATACTTTTCTGCAGGCCAGTTAGTGGTATTTCAGAATATCATCGGGGCTTTTCTTACCAGCATCCAGAGAAGCATCACCAAGATCAATTCGCCCAAGATAAGCCCATAACAAAGCCAAGGCCTTCCGACGAGAGGAGCTATCCAATTGCTTCAGGGTATCACGGTCCTTGGGCGTAAGGAACGAATTATCATCTGCCAGCACCCGCTTCTCGAGCTTGTTCAGGCCAGACTCGGCCCGGGCACCCTTGAGCATATCGTTGAATTCCTCGCCAGACGACAAAGCGCTAATAATCCCACCTTCGGTAATATCGTCCTTGTACTCACGGAAAATGTTTCCGGCACTGGCGACAAGAACGCGCTCCTTTGTGTAGCGCTGAGATCCATACCACCACTTGCCGACGATATATGGTAGAAGAACACCCAAAAGGGCACCATAGACCATCAGAACATATTTGCCATTGCCATCCATGATAATGAACTTGGGAAGGGCAATACCGATACTAAAGCTCTGCTTTCCGTCGGGGTGGCCAAATTGGAGGTAGTTGTTTCGCACCTCCTCATCGGTGAGAGCTTTATATGCCTTGGTGAGCTCCACGAAACGCTCGTTGAGCATCTCGATGGTCTCATTCTTAGAGGGGTCAGGACGAATTTTATCGGGGTGAAAGATCAAAGACATGCGCTTGTAATGTCTGGAGATAGCTTTTTCATCGGCGTTCTGTTTCCAAGAATTTAGTCAGTGAAATCCCCTGGACGTAGGCACGCGCCGAGCTGAATAACTCACCCTCGAGACACCCAAAATATCATAAGGGTCGTATGCCTTCACCACTGTCCTAGCGGTGACGACAATTAAGTAGACCATCCATGCCATTACGGCATAGCCGACGACGACGGTAATAATGCGCTTGATTCGGCGCTCTTTTCGGAGACGCTTGCGCTTCTGCGCGTCAATGAGGTCCGCATCTTTAGGTTTGAAATCGGATTTGATGCGGGGAGCGGTATTCTCAAGCTCTGTAGATCAGATATAGCGGTTAGCCGGGAACCACACATATATAGTCCCAAGTCTCACCTTTGCTGGGTCGTAGGAGGTTATAGGTGAGAGGGAGAGTGACCAGGCCGGTCAAGGTGAGGATGAAGAAGGGGAAGAATTGTCCCTGAAGGTTCAAGTCAGCGTTACCACGTCTTTATCGGATCAAATCCCGTCCTTACCTGCTCATCATAGGTGTAGTCTGACGACATCCTGCGGCGACTTTTAGGGTATAGACAGCGGAGGCCGCTGGCCGCGGAATTTAAAGATTGTGTTGCGCAGGGCTGTTGATAGTAGCCACTTTGGATGGTCAAGAGAAGGCTTTTGGGCTAGGGGAATGACACAGTAGCCTACTTAGAGCCCAAAATGCTGGCTCACAAGAAACAAAGGAGTGATGCAGGTTGGGTCTATCGCACTTCCTGATCTGGTGATGACCGTGTCCTCTAGCAGGGTCCACTCACCGCCTGCCTTAAATGGGAGTTAATACGTGGCAGTTTTTTGAGCGGTGCAGGCGGTGAAGACGACATCTGATGTTCTACATCGGTTGCATAACTACCGTTTGTTGTTCTATCTTATGCTTCATGGCTTTCTACGGCTTTCTACGGCTTGGAATGTCAAATATTTGTCAAATATGTTCATAATTTTTGGTAAATGAGCTCAAGGCTGCATATATACTAATTAAATACTCTAATAGAGCTGATCGATATCCAATCGATCCATGCAGCAGCCTTCACCACTTCCTTTCAGTTAGGAGTCTTGACAGAACAGATCCATCGCACACAATTCTCCCCTCGTAATAAAGATAACCAAGACTTCTCCAGTCCGCCCAGAAAAGGAATTCAAGCGTCAACAACTCGAGGTCGGACGCAAACTCAACCAATCCAGACAAAGCATCGGAAGCATCAGCCAGAAAATGCCTGATTCATTTTCTCATGTGTGTGATACAATCAGTGGACCATGATCGACACGGCCGGGCCAAAAGGGACCAATCCGATACCCGAGGTATCTTCATTGCTACAAGTCGGGGACCCGGGAAACCCGTGTGATCTGGCGTTCTCGCCGTTATAGTGTGGTGTGGGCGCATTTGCAGTGGCCGACCGCAGACGCAGGGCGTGCGCGTTGTCGGTTCATTTTCGATGGCAGTTTTTGTTTTGTTTTTGTCGAATGCGGATTCATAGGCGTCGCATATTCGTAAAATCGTTTTGGTGTTTTGTTCTTTTTTGTTGACTGAAAAAAAAAAGTTGGGGAAACAATCCGTCCGGGAAGTCTCCAGACAGAGAGTTCAGACATTCAATCTCCAAGGGCACGGCCACTCGTTCTGGAAGAAATGTCAGGATTGTTTTTTCGATTGTGTCAGAACCGACTGGTACTCACGAGTTGATGTAGTCGAGTCCACCGAAGTACTCAAGCATCCGGTAACAGAGGCTCACATCGTCGCCCGGCTCGCCACCGAACAAACGACACTGTGCTTCTTCCAGCCCAGCTGATTCCAGCCGCGAGGGGCGCTCACGGGTCTGCCACGCTGTATACCCATATTGCCATGGTGGAGCGAGGGTGGGAGATCCCCGTGGAATGCATGTGTCCGGGGAGTTGTCGGCAGACACAAGCGCGCAAAAGCTGTTCTGGGGTGTCCGAATGGTTGATTTGACGGACAAGGTCGGATGTTGAGCGAGCAGGGTATTAGGTATGCGGTTGGAACGACGAGTGCGGCGTCTATTATGCCTCTGGCCCATTCTCGGCAGTTGAAGAATCGAGGATCAAAGAAATGGAGAAAGCACTTTTAACACCGAGGGGAGCGACCATCACCTCCTGGAAAGGATGAGATGAGGTACTGAGAGAAAAACGGCATGCGAGATTGCAGGGGTGACTCTTTATAGACCGAACTCGCCAAGTGAGTCACTTAAAGGAGAAAAATGGGCGACCCGCTTTTCTGGGTGGGACCCGAGGGAGGAGATCACCTTGTGCGATCACCTTATGGCTTTAAGAATGGCGCCAGCTCCCACAAGGTCCTGCGCTACTTCCAATTGGTCCAAGGGCGAGTTTTCTATCGCGTCATTCGAGGACCTCCAGTAATGATTAGAATTAACGGCGTTTATAAAATGAGGTGATTCGCCTTAGAGATGAGCCTAGAGATGAGCCTAGAGATGAACCTAGAGATGAGCCTACAATGACATTGAGTCATCCATGAAATTGCGAAAAATGAAACACAAAAAATGAAACACAAAATGACGCCGTCCTCTGGCTGTGGCATGAGGTGATTGGGACTGATCTAGGCCGATGCCGGATTGCCTAAAGAGTGCCGTGCGGACCGAGCGATGATCACATCAGACGATAGCCAGCTTTCCCGGCTTTACCCTCATCTACCCTGACGTACCCTAAACAACATGGAGATGCACAAGTACCCAATTTGCCTAAACAGCCCGGAGACTGGCGAGGTCTCCGCTGCGATTAATACCTAGCAAGGGATATTTGAATTTTTACACCTTGCGTCGAACAAACGCACGTGTGCAACGTGTTCAACGTTCAACGTGGAGAACCTTGGAGATTCTCAGATGCCTTCCAAGTTCCAAGCCACAAGGCAATAGAGAACGGAGTCATATTTGATTTTTCTTGGGAGATCTCGGCAAGCTAAACGAAACCTTGGGGTGGTGACTATTGACTCAGATTTAAAAATGGAGTGCCTGATCTGTGAGGATAAATATAGCCCGGAAGAGGAAATTTCTTCTTTTGACGCTTCTAGTCCAAACAGAACAAACAGACAAACAGACAAACAATGCAAACACCCAGATTCTAGACCTCCTTACTCCCTACAGCAGATCGCTGTGCCAACAGTGTTTACCGATCACTATATTCCGGCTCAATGCAATGCGCGGTACTGTAAATCCTTCCTCGTCTGCTTCGAAGCGTCCACTTCAATCATCCACTTCAGAGCTATCGACCTACGTAAAAAAAAAAAAAAATGAGACGTTCATTCAGTCGTTGACCGCTGTCTTCAAGTTGTGGAGTGTACTCCGTAGTTAGTTACCCCCTACTGACATTTCCAAACTAACGATTGCGTCTTAGGGATGATCCTATTCACCATGATCTCCGTCTAGGATTCTCCAAGCTCGGGCATGTCATGCAAAAGGCAGTTACAACTTAAACTTATTCTACGACTCCCTTGTCAAAGTGTGTATTGTAGGACGGTTCCTGCACCGGATATCCCGCACCTACGCCTCATGCATCTCGGCCACTACTTTTCCTGAGTTTACCCGGTTTACCCTTAGTACGGTCGATCAAAGACCGCTGTGGAGTTTACTCCATCGCTCCGCTGGATGTAGAATGGAAGAGAATAAAAAAGAACAAAAAAAGAAGCTGTTTCACGTATTCGACGGATGCTGAAGTTCTTTATCTCCACACTGGGGCTTCGTTTTAATGGGGAACTGCCCAAAGAGAGACAAAGGGGCTGGTTGCGATTCCACACGAAAAGGAGGTTGCTCAAGCTGGTGTCTGTAGGTTGAAGCAGAAGGACTACGATACTACGGAGTAGACTGTAAGCTCTTGAGGAACAAGCGCTGGAAGTCTTGTCGATGTATTCTGCGTTCAGGGGTAAGAATCTTAGATTTTTTCACTAGCGTGGCCGTGAGGGATCGACCGGGGAACTTGAACAATAGTTATCCATTGCTGCCTTATTCTGGAAAGCAGTCTTTGTCTATTCATGTACGATGCGAGGCTCTACCCAAAACAAAGACTTGAAAAAGCGTAATATTTGAGATCAAAGGGATCATCTATGTTGGTCGAGGTCGAGAAATCGGCAATATCACGTATCGGCAATTCCATAGCTATCATTGACCAGGTCTCACCCAGTCATAACTAGAGTCAGATACAAGAGCAATGCATTAAATGTATAACGGCGTTAACAATAATCAAAGACCGACAGAGGTAATGAATAAGAAGAAGACGGATTGAACCAGGCCGTGTACACAAAGCCCGAAAAGCGAAGGAGAAGAAGGTAAACATAAAGAAAAGCGAAGTGAAGGGTAAGAGGGCAAAAAAGAAGAAACACAACCCGCGTGTGTACTGTACAGGGTCCCAGAATCCGGACCATGCCTGGCCACCAAAAGCCATCATTCCTGTCCAAGACGTTATGAATAGGATCCAACTCTAGACCAACCATTCCCCTAGGAAGGGCAGCTTGCGCATCCCCGAAATCATAGACCGTAGCTCCAAAGACATGCATGACAAGTAGGAAGGAATCGGAAATTCCGACTAGCTACCGTGTAGCTACCGTGTAGCTTCGGCCTTACTTCTTGCGGTTAGCTCGGCGGGCAGCGAGATCGCCCTCAGCGAGCCACTTGCTGGCGTTCACCATCTGGACGACGTTGACGAACTGCTTGAACGCCATGATGGGGAACGAGATGCCGGTGATGATCCACGGCCAGGTGCTCTCGAGCTTGTTCGCACGCGCCATCTCGAGGGCTCCGGCGCTCCAGGGGCTAGCGAAGAGGCTAGCTGGTTCGGGGTGCGCGGGGCTTCCAGGCTGGGCGGAGGACAGCTGGGAATCGGAGATGGGCTGCAGGAGCGAAGGGGAGAGGGTTGGCGAGGAGAAGGACAGGAGGTACAGGCCGATGAAGAAGGCTTCATTGGCGGTACAGCAGATGAACAGAACGAGCTAACAAAACATTGCGAATAAGCTTGGGGACGGAATATCAGTTCACTGCGGGGCCTTACCTTGCTGGTGTAGTACTGGTACATAATCCAGCTACGGCTAGGATCGACCTTCTTGTGGCTCTGGCTAGCTCCGCCCATGCTTAGAGTAGCGTACATGTGCATGTAGTGGCTAGCCATGTCCAAGCTGATCAGACCCTGGAAAATGATGGCCCATCGGGGCCAGGCGGAGCTCAGGAAGACTAGGAGACACGCAGTGGTGCAGCGGTCGGTCACCATGTCCAGCACCGCACCGAAAGTGGTGGATTGGTTGAAGTATCGTGCTGCATAACCGTCCAGGCCGTCCAGCAGACAGGACACCGTGTAGAGGAAGGAGCAGGTCCGGGGGTGGAGGGGCATGTAGTATAGCGAGGCGAAGGTCAAAAAGACCCGGGAATATCCTGGGAACGTGTTAAACCAGATGCCAACGTCAGGCTTAAAGCCACATCAGCGGGGCATTCTACCGATAAGATTCGGAGTGAAGAGGAAGATATTTTCCTTGCGTTCCTTGGTTTCTTCCCGTGCGGATGCGCCCTCTGAAGGTGACACGGAGCTATTGCCTGCATCTTCGCTCTCCTCGGCGAGGGAGGCCTTTTGTCGTCGTGTTGCGCTCATTGTGATGTGAAAGGGATGTGACTGGCGAGCGGTTTCTCGTATAGGTCGGGGGACGTATGGATACCGGACAGTTGGTCTAAGCGCTGTCAGCGTCGGGTAATCAAGAAGCAAAGACAGAAACGCACCGAGATAAGAATACAGCGAATTCCGTCAGGATAAGGATAGGAGGTGGTCCAGGTGGGAAGGAGAATTTCAACGATAAGGGAAGATAAGCGCGCTTTGTTAACACGCACTCGAAACTTCCAAGGGTCGATGAAAGAGGGAAAAGATGAAAAGGTAGGGGATGAAAGAGGAAGCTGGAAAGATGGAGGAAAGGAAATTGTGGAATGTCTGCGGGTTACTCGGAACCGTGGACTTGAGCTTTCCCCACGCGGTCCACTTGGAGGTGATCGTGATCTTGAGAGATAAAACCCGGACTGGACTTGAAACATCCCATATGTGGGTGCAACATGTCAAGTCTCAAAAACTGAAGATGTTTGTGATACTTGATATAGACCCTTGGAGACAGCCTGTTTCATATATTTAGGTGTTTCAGATATTGTGCGACCTATTATAATCTTGTAAAACATGCTTTTATAGACATCATTTGATTATATATGACCAGCCTACAGGCCTAGAAGATATGTACAGAACAGAACCCAAAATATACAAGAAACTCATTCACGTCCGTGACCTGCGCGGATCAGTGGCATCCTGTTCGCGCCACTCGCGAGACTCCTTAGTACCCATGCTGCCAACGCCGCCCTCGAGACGACGCTCCCAGCCACCAAGGCGAACAACAAGACAAGTAGCATTGTCACCTTCCTTGGAGACCTCGGTCGAAAAATTGACCACATCGCGCGCGCCCTGCTCCGGCGTGTTGGATTCCTTGACGATATCAACGATCTCCTGGTCAAGCAGTGTCCCGCTGATGCCATCGGATACCAAAACCAAGAACGAGAACTCGGCCGGGCCAAGCTCTATGCGCGTGAGTTCAGGCTCGGCAGAGACTCCGATGCGCTTGGAGTGGACATCGCCGAAAGCGCGCGTGTTGGCTAGCCCGCTCATGCGTTCTTCGCCGAAAGAGTCCGTTACAAAGCTTGTGGCATACCGTCTGAGTCGGGTTGCCTCGACTGGGGAGGAGGGGTGGTGGTTTGATGTAACGGGGATGGCTATACCGGTTTCTGTTGAGCAGAGGAGTATACGGGTGTCGCCAACATGAGCAACTAGAAGGCTTGATGGGGCGATGGGGTGCCAGAACGGGGTTGGGGTCGGGGTCGAGATCATGGCGATGCTTCCGGTGCTGCCACCCTTGAACCGAGCGCTTCCGCCGATCTGCGGAGATCGGGTCATGCTGGGCCTGTGGAAGATCTCATCTTCGTTCAGAGGTCGCTCGGCTCGAACGGGATCGTCTTCTCGCTTAGCTGCTTGAGCGTTGACAAAGTCTAGATCCGCTCGCAGGAAGGCGTACTCCACAACTTCCTCGATGGAGATGTGGTTCTTAATAATCGGGTCGTCGGACTCGGTGCCATTGTAGGCGAAATGCGGCGGCTGGAACCTCTTGAAGTAGCCACCAACTACCCGTCTCCAGGTCTGCACAAGGTGTTTCTCTAGGGCTCCGATTCGGCGACGGTCACCCTCTTGCATCACAGGTAGTTCGCTAGTGGTGGGTGGCACTTCGGCACCAGGTCGTAGACTGGACCGAAGGTCGATATCAAATGCCGCGTTCTGGATATACTCGTGAAGGTAATCCCTCAAGAACGAACTGCATTCGGATCCGCCATGGCCATCAAAGATACCGAAGTAGAAGACTTGTGGATCTCCGCTAGCGGTTTCCGCACCGCGCGACTCCCGGGGTTCGGCCAGAGGATCATTTTTGTTAGGTCGCCTAATCGATAGCGAAGTTGGAGGTCGCTTCGCAAAGGCGGGGATGTCAATGACTCCCGCTTGGTACGTGTCTTCATTCGAAGGGCGGGTTCCGCGGGAGGTGACGGCGCCGAAATGGTGCTTCGCGTTGCGGAGTGGAATGCGGACGACTGTTGTCTCCCGGTCTATTAAAGCTTGGAAGGCAGCTGGCGATCGTGGTGTGTCTCCGGTGTGAGGTATAGAGGCGGAGCGAGGAAGTTTGTGGAATGGTGAGGCCGGACCACGGGGGTCCGGATGAAGCGAAGACGACGGCAGATGGGTGACAAAGTAATCACGAAACTGTGGTTGTCGTCTAACTGCCGACTGACCAGGCGGCACAGACTCGGTACTGTAGCATCGCGCTCGACGAAGGAGAGCGAAGCCTGGGTTGTGTTAGCTAGGTGCTTCCAAGATCTAAGGATCCTCGGAGTTAAGCAGTGTAGCTCTGGTCGCACATACTGTAACAGTCGGCCGAGGTCCAGACCCGGCCTGTTACTCGCCTCGCTGAAAGGAGAATCATTGGCCCATCGAAGTATAAAAATTAGCAGTGAGGAAAAGAGGGTTGAAAAGGACTGGTGCGTGGGGAGAACACATATGGCCCGAGCGTCGGCAGATAAGAAGGATTCGGACCGGCACATTCTTTCCGTGGGATTAGCTTCATTGCTCCACTCGCTATATATACATCATTTACCTAGAAGAGAGCATATACAATCCACCGACCTAATACAAGGTGTTTACACAGGGGATAATGGGCCACTAATCAAGCCAATACATGAATCCTACAAAGACCTTCTAAAATGCGAAAGAGTTGCATGAACACATGAAGTACCAAGAAGTGGATATCGTTCTTCATGGGCTCCACTTATACTACGTGGACTACAAGCAGGGCAGAGTATTGAATATTTCACGCAAATCGATTTGAAAACTGAAAAACAGGGCCACCAGGCGCTAATACACAGCTAAAACCGACCATGTCGGTATGTAGCAGGTCATCCAAGATCCACGGAAGTGGATCAGAAAGAAGCACGGGTGGCCAAACAAGAAAAAACGAAAAACAACGCTGAGAGAGTGGCACCTACCGGGTAGCAGGGCCGTCCATTAAGTCCACGGAAGACAGGGGGATCTGCCTTCAGAAATTCCGGGTTAGATTTCGAGAAAAAAAACACGGGATGTACTCGGGAGAGTTTTAGATGGCCCTAGTTCGAGAGAAAAGACTGCTGTAAACTGCATCCACGACGGGTTGGGCGGTGCACATCTTTCCACCGAAGTATCGACCATTGAGGCCCTTGATGGCGTTCTCGCCACCTTGGACGCGGTCGAACTTCAGATAGATATCTCCGACGGAATTGGGATCTAGTGAAATGTGAACAACGTGGCCGTATTTCTTCTCACACTCCGTTCGGACGTCCTCTTCGAGGTCCTTGACCCAGGTTGGACTGTGCTCTCTGTAAAGAAGTCAGCGTTCATTCTCTCATGATGGCGTCAAGGAAACTTACAGCGCGGGGTCAAACATGTTGCGCAGCAAAACACAGCGACTAGCCATGTTGACATTGATGGGAAGCGGCTTAGTTTCGGTCTTGGGTCGGAGGAATTTCTGACGGTCGTCAACAGAAGACTGGGGTTCGTCGGTTCGTGCAAGCTTTCTCATCAAAGCATCCCTAGAGTAGTTGTTGAAGTTTACGCCAGCAACATCTGTGTCGTCAAGTGCACTAGCACCGGCACCCTTTTCAGTTTCTCTGCCGCCAGCACGGTCAAAGTTGTTGGAGCCTCCGGCTTGAACGCCACGACCTCCCTGGCCGGAGAACGAAGAACCCTGGAAGTTTGTAGAAGCACCTGAGGCGCGATTGGCGTGCGAGTCGGGGGTGAACTTATCATTGCCGAGACCAACCCGAATATTTCGTCCAGCAAGGTCAAAGCCGTTCATCTTTTCCAAAGCGTTCCGAGCTTGATCGGGGTGGGCAAATCTGGTCAAGTCAGTTAATGGAAGTGTCAATAACATGGACGGACAACGTACTGAACGAATGCATATCCCTTGCTTCTACCACTCTCGTCCGTTTGCAGCTGAACGAACTCGAGGTCGCCAAATGGTTCGAAGACATTGGTGATATCCTTCTCGGTAATGCTGAAGTGAACATTACCGACATAAAGTCTGTGGAAGGGTGCGGTGTGGTGGTTTCCTGCTGGAGCCTCCGGGTTTCGGGCTGCCTGGCGGTTCTTTTCCGCTTCAGTCAGTTGGGCAATGACGGGAATTCCTGCGAGCATCTGGCCGGTGAGTCGGATGGCGGCGGAGACAGACTCCTCGTTTTTGAACTCGACATAACCGACACTATACAAAATATGAGAAAGTGCTTTAACCAAGTAATCATGTGAATACATACCCTTTGGAGCGACCGTTAACACGATCCCGGACGATTTGAGCATCCTTAACGGGGCCGGCCTTTTCAAAGAAGGCAATCAAATCCTTGATTCTCAGGCGGGCAGCAAGTTGCTGCACAAAGACAGTGCGACTGTCACGTTCATCCTCGTTCAGTTCTGGAGACTTGCGGCTGGCGGCGGATCCACGGCGAACATCAGCATCACGGCGGGGGCGTCGTTCTTCCTCACGCTGGCGGCGATTGGGCCGGTAGTGGCGATCGTCATAGGGAGAACGGGAGCGGGAACGAACGCGACCTCCACCACGGTAGAAGTCACCGTTGGAGCGGTAGCCGTCACGGTCACGGCGAGAACGGCGTCTCTCAGATTCGCGACTCTTGCTCCTCTTTCGGCTTCTAAGGCTTCCATTAGCACTAACAGTGTCGCTCTTGGCGACTTCGTCTCCCTGAAGGTCACGGTCAGGGCGGCGGTCACGGCTGTGGTCGCGGCGACGACGTCTGTCGCGGGAACGATCACGGCGCTCGGTGGGGTCCGCGCGGGAATCCGAAGTGGCGGGGGCCTCGACGGGGGCCTCGATGGGGGCGGCCGCAGTAGACTCAAGGAGAGCCTCTACGTCAAGTCCAGACATCTTGGGAGGTAGCCTGTTGTTGATCAGGGTAGAAATGATCGGGGTGGGGATATCACTTTGTAGGGGTCAGATCGCGTACGGGGACGCAGAGTTGGTATTCGAACCCTGATTATGGGATCAGAGTGAGGTCTCCTTGGGGTTTGACCCTTTTTACACGCTTTGGGACTCTTGTTCTTGATGAAAGTCACGCCAGAAACGCGACAAAAGATGATGGGGGCTTGAAGCACTGGGGGTGATGGTATAGTATAAATAAATTTGGTTGGCCGGGACCTCGGGAGGCACAAAGAGGGTCGAGGCGGTGAAAAGAAGAGAAGAGTCACGTGGGATCTGAGATTTCTCGCCGCCTTATATATCAAGGCGGTCTGGTTTCTGCCTGAGGCATAAGATTACGCGTTGAACTTGGAACCTTAAAAATGTCAGTATACTTCTATGGATACAAGCAATACGTTTGACAGCGCGGAAGAATCTGCCTTTTATTTCCTTTGCCCCTTGATATCTGTCGGATCCACGCTCTAAAGTGTCACTTTTCTTTCATCTACATCTCTATGATTGTGAAAATTGCCCACTTGTTTGCCTAAGTAGGCAAAAGTTCACCCAAGTAACTATTACAAACGACTTCTGACACGTAGTAGATACTATATAGATATAGATATTATTTTCTTGCATTATGATTAACGGTCATATACACTGATAAGTGATGCTTGTTTTAAAAAAAAGGAATCAACTCCGCTTGCAACTAGCATCATCACAAGATATGACATGACAAAGTCTCCCCCTGAGACCAACCAGAAACTCCACACTAGCCAATATACTTGAGGAGTACCGAAGAGTAGTGACTCGATCGTACTCGGCGTTAAATCGTGACTTGAGGACTAGTGACAGCCCCATATTAATGCTGTGATTTCTTGGGCTCACTGAGCCTTGACGCCCTTCGGGGCGGGAGACACCAACTCGGTGCCAAAGACTCGATCCCAGAATCGGCTGGTCACGCCAAAGCCATTCTCGTAATCGGCAAAATGGTGCTGAAGGTGGTACTTCTTGAGCTCCTTGTAGTATGAAGGAAGACTATATGGATGTTAGCATGGTTTCATTGTATCAAAGATGGAGTTCAACTTACCTGCGGTGGTGCAGGAAATAATGGGTGAGATCATAGCAAATATACCCGAAGATGCCGCCGGAGAATACCGACGTAGCCGCATACCAGTTGTAATAGAATACTGCGTGTGCCAGCTTCCAGAAAGGAGCGGCTAGTACCACGAATAGTGTCGGTGGCATAACGAGACGATACTTGTCCATCGGGAGATAGTGGTGGATACCGTGGAGCAGGAAGTGCAGGGTAATACCGACACGGTTATCCGGAAGATAGTGGTCAATGTGGAAGAGGAATCGGTGCAACAGATACTCGATCAGAGTCCAGAGGCACACGCCAACGGTGAAGTAGGAGGCAGCAACGACGGAGTTACCCAGCCCGATAGCCCCCACTGTTATTCCGTAGGCAACACATGGCAACCAAATAGTTGGCACGATGTACCATGCGGTTTTGCTGAGAGGCTCCAGGAAGTTGCCGAACAAAGGAGCGGACTCCCCTCCCCGGTAGTGACGAGGCCGATGAATCTGCTCCAAGTAGAACTCCTTGGAGAAGTTGCTGTACCACAGCTGCAGCAGAAGCGGCTTGTTTAAGTCCAGGAACTTATGGGTTTTGTAGTCCTGGCTATAGTCGGTGTCTATCGACAGGTCCTCCTCCCGAGACATTCCAGTAGTTGTGTAAATGGGTCCGGACTCGGTTTCGGTCACCGTTTCGATGACAGTGGTCGTGGTTGTCGTGGTTTTGCCAGGTGTCGAGACATCGGAGACAAAGCCAATGTGGCACTCATCCAAAATTTCATAGGCAGCGTCGCTGTGCTCGTGGGAGACCTCATCTTTCAGGATATCCGTCACATCCTGCCCGGCATACTCCAGGATCAGATCGCCACCACCGGGGTGCGCGTCGAGGAAATCGGTGACATCGTAAACGTTACGCCCCACGGTGATGTAGCATGACTTGTCGGTGTTGTGGGATTGGACGTCGGCGGAGGTCAACGTTGGCAGAACTCTCCCAGGCATGTTGGCGGAAATGCAAGAGAAACAAAATAGGGGAAATAGGGGAAAGGAAATAGCCTTGGAATAGTAGGTAGAATGGGAGATGAAAATCCGAAAGGCGGCGAATAATAAGAATTAATCAGGGGAGGCGTGGCGTGACACCAGAAGCCGAGAACCAGGGATCCGCCTGCTCCCGGAGCCTTGGAAATTTTCGAATGCTCAACTTGCCATTGGATCAGGCAACAAGGTTGGACAGGGTCCACATCGGACTTCGATCAATAGCCTATTAGAAAGTAACTCCTTATTTAATTCGACACAAAAAATATGCAAGGTACGCTTACAGATGTAGTTTTGTACATCTCCCCATCTCATGTCGGTGGGGCTGTTATATCTTAGCCGCCTTGGAGAGGCGCGTGAGGGACCTCGGGAGGAATCGCGGTCTAGCCTTAGCTCAGCTGTTAAGCTTCTACTCTCTAACTTGCTTTTCAGGCAGCTTATGATCAAGGCGGCCGAGTGCACTAGACAGTAGATCGGCAAGATGGTTATATAAGACAGGAGTTGCTGGGACATGCCAAGAAAGATGAGACACGAAGCCGGAACCATAGAAATATATCGCCTTTTTCTGAAGCCGAAGCATTCTGATCTATCATATCTGTGAAGACAATGGCAAAAGCAAGCCAAATCGGTTGGATAGCCAGTGGATGTAAGGATCGTGTCTTGATGCTAATATTTTTAAAGACAAAGGACTGTAGAATATGTACGGAGTACCTAGTCAAGGATGACACCTTGTGCTGAGACAGGAGTTTGACAACCGTCGGAATTTATAAGAAGCTTACATTACCTCTGCCTTTTCCTAACAGCCTGATGTTCCCAGATCAAGTATTTTCGACAGATGTGGGAGTCCCTACACGCGTGGGCAATTTTAATTAGGTTTTTAAATATGGTTGGTTGAAAGGCATCATAAGATTTGGATGAACCTAGAATCATTATATATACTTCGTACCAACGAGGCAGAAAGAGACCAAGAAGATGTATCTTTGGATTAATAGGAAGGCCAAGTTGGTGGATCAGCAAGGAGAAAAAGGAAGTCTAGTTAGGAATGGATAAAAGGAGAGATTAACGTACTAGTCACCATATGGACGTAGCATGTTCTATATTTGTACTTGATGGTCTTCCAGCTGTACTCCGTACATGGACAACGATGACTTCCGTCTAACCAGATATAGTTAGTACGTCACCACATAGGCTATACCTAGATAGGAATAGTCAGCGCCGCTATCCCCAAACAGGCTAGAGTTATCAGTTAAACTGCGAAACCGCTCAGGCTAAGCTGCTAGCTCCTTTGACGAGATTCTCAGCAATCCTCCCTAACTCCGAGGCTTGGGGACTCAGACTGGATTTCCGTTTGCCACCCGGTCGATCGGTCTAATATAAACACGAAAATCAGCAGCCAGACCCCATATTGACCCCATTAATGGAGACGATCCCCATAAGCACATCGGCCTGACAGGAACAGAAAGTACCTCTCGAAACAAACCCCGAGATCCTCCAGAGGGAAAGGATCTGTCAAATTGACCAAAGGCCTATACGAAGTACAGCATACTAGTACACATCCAGTACATGCTCCGTACTCTATTCAGTGGGCAGTCTCTGTACGCGCCCGGCTCTCGGCCGGGCTAAGTCTCCACTGAGAGTCTAGCGTTATCCCGCGGGGCTATGGCCGGAACGATAACTTACAACGCTATTATGGGCTATTTATCGGCCTCTGCATGGTCAATTCCAATTTTGAATCAGGGATTATACCTCGCACTAATTAGTAGTGGAGATTTCAGCCCCTCTTCCTTCCCACATTCTCTAACTTCTTTTTTCTTGTCTCTCTTGTACTTGTAATCTTCCCTGTCCTCATACGATATACCCTTCTACGCTCCCTCTCCCTCCACCGCCCACAATGTCGACCGCAGAGAACTGGTCCCCCGAGAACCCAATCCTGGCCTACCTGCAGACATTAGTGACTACCAAAAAGACTCTTCCTTATGGGCAGCCCGTCGTCGTCCACGCCTCTGTCAGTCACATCAACTCCGCTTCATTGCTGCGGCTGGCCGCAGAGATCGGCCCGCACATCGCCATACTACAAATTCCAGCCGATGTCATCGACGACTGGTCCAGCGACACCATTGAACAACTTCAGTACCTGTCCAAGAAACATAGATTTCTACTGTGGGAAGGAAGCAAGATTCTGAACCCGTTGGTAAATTTTATGGGCAGAGCGGACGCGCCGTTGGAAACGAGACAGGCTTTGGCCGACTTTATCAAGAAGTCATACACCAGTGGCCCATTGAGAACGGCGACATGGTCCAATCTGGCCACCTCGTGGGCCCCCGCAGCTCCAGTGGACCAACAGGAAAACGATGTACTGATCCCTACCTTGCGATTGGCGGCTCGCGAGGCCGTTGCGACAACTGCGAAGATAATCCAAACCGAGATCTCTGCCGAGATGAATAACTACTCGTCGGGCGAGGAGGTAGAGATCATCATCCCCTCCACGGAAACAAGCAACGGTTGGAAAGAATTCAGTCCGAATAATACGGGATCGTCCTTACGGAAATCGTCAACCATCTCGGTCACCACCGAGTCCGTGACTCTGCACGCGCAATTCCACGCAGATGACGGTGTCCCAACTCCCCCGCAACTGGCCCGCAGCGTTGCACTGTGTCTACCCGGTACCATTGACACCGCATTTACCCCCGATTTCCGCCAAAGTACGATAATCGCCGCATGTGCCAACTCCGACTTTGTCATCGGATTCGCAACGAACGAGCCCTTTTTCGTCAATCACCGAGGAACCGATATCTTTGAATTGGCCTTATTCGACGGCAACGGAAATCCCCAAGCAGGTATCGACGCTGCGAAACTCGCCACCTTGCCTTATCTCAACGAAAATGGGAAATCGCTCGGTGTATTCTCTCTTGTATCACCCACTCTTAGCCTCGGCTTTGAGTTTGATCCTGCTTTCAAGCCTAATGGAAGTGAATCATCTGCCCCTGGCAATGAAACTCCATACAAGGTGCAATACCTATACCATGCAATCGGGCAAGCGGTAGCCCTCCGGGAAAAGAACAAACAAGAACAAGAAGCCTCCGGTCTTCCAGAGAGAACACCGGTGGGCCCCAAAATCATGCATATTCCAGTGGTTATTATTGTATAATGACAGACAGATAGCGCTTGTTGTTCTGCATACTCGCTGGCCGTTGGCGAGTTTTAATGGCCTCATTCAAGATCGGCACCTTTGGACTTGAGTATGTATGCTATACGCCCATCTTGTTTTACTTTTTGCGACCTGCCAATATTTTCAAGCCTCACTCGTGTCGGTACCTACACCAAAAGTGTCTTTACATATACCAATGAATTTGATGAACAGATAAATGGCTGGCCTAACTTGTGCTCGAATGTAAAATCCCGAGGTCCATTGTGAAGATAAATTTAGGCCTTAATTATCAGGCTACAGGCACGTGCCATTTCTTAGTCATATTGTAGGAATCGCCTCCAGGGCTCCACCCTGGCCAAGGTGGGCATGGAGATCAACAGTGAAAGTGCTTTCAGCTCTATAGACATTCTACTCTATCTTCTCTCGGGTCCTCTATGCATTAATGTTCGTCTTTTTCCTTATAAAGCTGATCATGGAATCAAATTAGTATTTGGTTGCCAAACAGTTGACCTAATTGACATCGAACACCAACCGCCATCTTCATGAACCCATTCCGAAACTCGAAAATACTTTGCTATGACAGTACATAAGACACCTCGCTGGACAGAATCCCCTTGATTATTTACATCCAATGTTTGCCTCCACAGCCACAGTTTCTCGCCATATCATACCCACAGAGACCTTCGGGAAACTCGACAGCCATGAACCCAGCCAAAACCCCAGGCCATCAAAGTGGGCTTTCTGGTCAAAATGACCTTCAACAGAATGGCGAAGAACCGCCAATTACAGTTATCGCCGCGAATGGGGACCTAATTCTCGAGTACATCGCTCCCGGCGACTCTTCGTCGTCACCCACCAAGCGCAAATGGCAGGTGGCAAGCGAGCGTCTTACCTCCCACAGTCCATATTTCCAAGCACTACTGGATCCCACCAAGTTCTCCGAGGGAAGACAGTTCAATGCCCAGAAGCAAGCCTGGAATGAATCCCAGACACCAGACCCAGCCTCACAGCATGCGCTACCAACGGTCAGGCTTCCTAACGTCCGCTCTACCAGCATGTGCGGAGAAGATGCCATTGAGTTATTTTTGAAGATTCTTTGCCTTGATTCTTTGGATGAAAACGAAAGAGCTGTGTTTGAAAATGAGTTGAAGACCCAGTCTACATCGCTTGTTGCGAGAATGATCGACCTTGCCGATTCATTGAATTCTCCTCGTGTTGTTCAGGATGTTCTGCAGAGGATTGGATATTTATATGGAAAGTCAAAGACTGCGCTCCTTGCCAGGTTTAATTCAGCTTTGTTATCAATGAAGGAAGATCGGATTCGACAGATCATCTTCATATCCGCCTTCCTCGATGATTCACGACTCACTAGAATCATGACCCACGCCTTGCTGGTTGTGGGCTCCAGATTCTGGATAAATGGGCTAGTTGCCCCTGAAGAAGAATCTTTGCGCTGGAGATATTTACCAAATGGGTTAGAAGGTGGGTTTCCATTAATCCCAACTAGTTTCCGTTAGCTAAATCATCTTTCTGCAGAGGAAATCTATTGCCGACGTCAATATGTTTTGAACACCATCACCGATCTACAGGCTCATTTCCTTCGAGTCTACGGGGGTCTGGAGGAAACCGACAGTGCAAGGTCCGCAGCAAACAACAGAACATTGGGCAGGGCATTCACCGCGTCTGCACATACGCTTTTTCAATCTCGTCAATTCCAATGCCGAGGCGGATTCAACAACGCCAGCCAGTGCGACCTCTTCCAACTCGGCCAGATGATCCGATTTTTCTCACTGCGCGCCAGAACGATCTTCCTAGGATCGACATTGATAGACCCGGATTTCGACTCAGCTCCCCACGACGATGGTCACACAGCTGGCGAATCTAGGAACGACCAACCTCCAGGCCCACCATCTGATATCACAGCCATCATCGCCTCTATCAAACAATATCCTGATTATACAATCGACGAAGCGCACACCGGCTGCGGTGTGCGTCGTCGCATTATGCCTGCTTTAGAGTGCATCGAAAAATTCGTCTTGGATGACCGCGGTCTCCTTGGTATCACCCCCGCAGTCTCGGATACTGCTGTTTCAGACCCATCTCGACCCTCAAAATGGACGCTTTGGTCAGACTTCACGCGCAAGAAACACACAGTCGACATTTCTTTTGCGAGAGTCACGGCTGTATACTACCCTTCGGCGCCGTCGAAAAATCAAGCCACCCGCTCCACTCAAGAAGAACTTGGACGGCTGTTGTTTACTGCTGCTCGGAGGGATTGGAGTGCGGCGGGCTCAGCCTGATGCTTCGTACATGAATAATTAAACTATTTATACCACAATTCAGAAACGCCGGGTGATCCCTGCGTATCGTCCTAGGCCGATTTAAAACTTCATGGTATAGCCTACTTTATTATGACTTGTGAAATTCTAGAGAAACGGTGGAGCTTGTCATTGCCAAACTCTAGAAGTCTGACAATAAATGGTCCGCATTAGATTATGTCCTGATCATAAGCGAGTCAACCCCCAACTAGGTCATCAAGTGGAGTTTAGCCTGTAATTGAGTATTGCTCTTCAATTGAGGAAAGACTGCCAGAGATAGCTCTATATATGATTATATGATCAATGTATAGCGCCTAGAGGCAAGTCTGCTCGTTAGCGCAGATTATTTCCTATGTTAACACACAGTAGACATAAACAAGAGAGAGCACATGCCCAGTTGCCAAGTTGGGAATTCTAGGTACCACGTCACAATGATTGAAAACCCACCATGACGAAATCCGTCGCCCCCTAACGGCGTGTCCGGAAATACGACAGAATGATCCAAGAGAATTAGAAGAGAAGAAACAGTTTCGGCCGGTCTAGACTTCGTGTTTTCGATCTAGGGGTGCATTCCGGCTGGCTCCAGCATATACGTCCAGACCTTGGGAGTACATGGGACTCGATGATCTGGTTCTGGGAGAAGCTTAAAGTTGGAGGTTCTGTGGATGCGAGGAGTATATGTGGACTATGGCCTTGGATTGTAGTGATCGATGTATATTAGTGTACATAACAGAATATCGTATATGTTTCTTTGATGCCAATAGACATGGAATGAAGCGTTTAAGTATCAATCAAGACAATGTATACCAGCTTCCACAAAACAATGAACTCGTGTATCGAATTGTGACTTGTAGATGGTCTGGGAGAAGTTCAGAGAAACAAGAATCACTTTTCTCTATAGTGTCTATATGAAGACAGGTGTGGAATTTTCTTTCTTTTGATGGCATGCAAATGAAGCGACAGAAGAAAAGAACCCGGATCCAGATAACTGCAGAGATATTTTTCCAATTTGATTCTGCGTCAATTTTGACTTTGATTTTTTTCTTTTTTTTTTTTTCGTATGTCCATTCATCCACATAGATATCAACCGTTCAACATACCGGATCACCCCAGAAGTACCCCATGTCAAGATCCATGTTCGGACCAGAGGGGAAGAAAGAGCCCGTGATCTGGCCGGTGGCTGGGTCATAGGGGAAACATTCGTCATACGAGCTCCGACCCGAGAGATCCTTCTCTTGTTTGATGAACTGATCGAGTAGATCCGGCGCCTCGAGACTGTAGGATTCAGACAAGCCGAGAGGAGTGTTGGATTGATCCATCGCGGAGCAGGTGATTGAGTCCAGCTCGGCGGAGATAGCATCCACCGCCACTGCTGCGGGCATAGTCGCGGACGGATCAAATGCCACATCCTCGGCTGCTGGCTCTTCTGCCATGGCGGAGTTTGCGGTTTCAGGGATATCGAAGAGGGAGTCTGAGTCTTCGGTGCTGGGGAAATCATTCACGTTGATTCCGATATGGGGTGCCAGGCGGCGGAGGAATCCGTCGCAAAGCTTCCAGGCTCTTTCTGACGCCATGTTGGTTTTTGATAGTGTCGATAGCCAGTCCAGGGCTTTCTTTGCGGCTTTGGAGACCATCGTCTCTTTCTCCGGGACATGCTGCGCCCGGAATGCCAGCTCGAGTAGGAGAACAGTAACCGCCTGCATCAGATAATGTAATGTGCACCACCATGGCGACATGCGGTATAGTAGAACTGCATCGGGGGTGTCCGGGAATAGTGTAAGCATGTGGCATGCAGCCTCGACACATTCCGCCGCGGTCTTGTTGCAGAACTCGTAAGTCTTGTCCTCCTCCGAGGGGGGTTGATCTAAGCGACAGAGGCACGGCCGGGTGATTCCGATTTTGGTGCTGTAAAATAGAAAGGCGAGGCCCATTCGCTGGCTGATAGGGCATTGGGATGTCTGTGTCGAGGTGAAATCGTATGCAGCAGGAAGATTCATGAACCATGAATCAATCTCAAGCATCAGGCTCTTGATGGTAAACTCGGTGCTTGCCCATGGAGACTGCAGCGCTTCTGGGCTGTAGAGTTTCACTGTCACCCGCTTGGAAATGCTCGTCAAGGAGGCCAGCTGCAAGAAGTAAAGTGAAGTGCAAGGCGGAAGACTCTTGAGATACTCAGCTCTGCTCAATTTTTTGTCGCCCTCAGCAGGAAAATCATTTGAATCAGAATCAGCCGCAGATTCTAGGTCCTCTGCGCTGCTGTTGGTGGGCATACGCTCGGAACCACTGGATGTACGGAATACAGCCGTGCCTATCAGCCGAGCCACTTCGTCTTTTTGGAAATCACTCTCGTCAAAAGGAACAGGCATTGGTGTGGTGCAGGAGCTGTCAATGATACACGAGGGACGCCCAGTCATGATAGTAAGTAGATGATCCAGCGTATACAATGACCACCATACCCTGTAGCGTATCTCTTTGGAAGTGTCTGATATGCTCGTACCAACGTTGCGCAAGTGCAATCCAAGAGCCAGCGCTCCTCGAACTGCACTTCCAGAGAGTTTCCAGGCCCTGCAAGAGCCGATATTATGAGTATATAATTGGGATTTGCAGGCTTGGCAACTTACCGATTGATATGTCCCGAGGCCACTAGATAGAATGAAGTAAGCCCCTCGACTTGCAATTGCTGTAGGTCAGGATGATGGAGAATTTGATCTTCCAAGCTCAAGGCCCGCGCCCTTGAAAAGTACATTTGGTGGTCATCATCCTCTTCCTTCGCGTCCGAGTTCGTCAGCTGCTTATATTTAGCCGCAATGGCAAAGATCAGGTTGAGTATAGCGAGCCACTTGTTTCCTGGCTTGAGAGAAGGTTGACTGAAAAAGACCTGGAATTGGGGGACAAAGGTTGAAACCCCAATGATTGGGAAGGATGGATGCACTGAAGTCAGATAGGCATTGAGCATTTTGCCTGCCATTTCCCGGGATGGGACTCCATACATATCACTTTGGTCTGCAGTCGGAATGTCTAGATCATCAAGATAATAGTTGGAAGCCACTACCCATGGCTCGCTTAGATTCTCCGGTCGAGGCGTTAGAGTTGGAGAGGGCAGACCGTTATCGTCATCTGTGTTGGGAAGAGTTGACGGCCAGGCCTCAAATTCACTGTTGATCTCTTTGCTAAGCCTTTGGAGCCAAGTAATCTCAGAGCTTTTTCCAATGAAACCCGTTGCTCGTGCAGTTTCATCTCTGTTGAAGTCCTCCTCTGTTTGGTCGCCACATTCAAGAGGACTAACAGATGATGCGCGGGAGGGTGGTGGCTCAGAACCCGCATGCCATGAGATCCTTCGTTCTCCAGCGGCTGCAAGGCATGTTTCCGGGTTGAATGCCAAGTCAGGGGCCGATTCCTGGGTTGGTATTAGACACAGTCATCGGATGTGGATCAAACTTCATACCGCTGCCAGGGCAATGTTCACGAGTTGCTCATCAGACACGCCAAAACGATTGCTCAGCTTGCTAATGACATCTTCATATGCCTGCACCTTTGCGGATAAGCTTGCCAACTGTCTTTTGTTTTTAGTAGATCATAGACGTCAGCTCTTGTAATAACGGTGCACTATATATTGGCCCATACCGCTTGGACTTTTCCCGCTTGCCATCGGTATAGCAGCAGATGATTCCAGCCTCTCGACAGTTGCGGCATCCGGACTTGTCTCCGGTGCACTTTGTCTTCCGTTGTCTGCAAGACTCGCATGCTCGACGAACGTGTCGACGGTGAAACCTGCCAGGAGAGGTGAAGGCAGATTCGGCTCCTTCCGCTAGTCGCGGGATAGCCATTTTCTTGCCAACTTCAGATTCACCTTGGAGATGAGAGACTGGGTTATCCTATAGATGCTTTATCAGATCATACTCCTTAGCTTAGATCATGATTTCACACTTACCACACTGGAAAACTGATTACACGTGTCTGCATCAGTGCATGATAATTTGAAGAGGCTCTGTTGCTCATTCCATGAGGGAAATGGAATATTACTCATGGTGAACCATATAAAGATTGAAGCTGTCCACTGAGTGTCAGTAGAATTCGCAACTACATCTTCCTCTTTACTTACTTGGATGAATAAAGGACAATGTCTGGGTCCCAAGAGATTTTGATATATATTGAAATGACAATATCAGGAATTGACCAATGGGCTGCAGTGACATCTGTCAAATCAAATAGTCACAATGTGAAGACGAGAAGGAAGGTTGGATTTTATAAAACACCCCAGGATCTGACCCACGAGAAACATAGACTGGGGAAGGACAAAGGAGAAGAAAGGTTCGGGTTTTCGGGCACCGTTGGGAATCTTAAGCTGGTCAAGCTAGATAGATACTCTGTGATGACATGCCATGCTCGTTTAGGGTAAGCCAACGGCGCATTATTGGCTACCAGTCCACCGAATTAGGGATAGTTGATTTGCCTCAAGTGTCCTTGTAGGGCATGGGGCGAATAGGTCAACGTTTTCATGAGCAAAATACCTTCTTTTGGTTATTGACCACACTATTTGCCATCAACCAAACATTCTTACTCCAGAGAGAGCCTGAGGTATTGGCTTAACCATCAGACTACCTCCCCCGGTGATCCATTGTTGAGGGTCAGCTTTCGGTTGTTAGTACCGACTAGCTCTGGAGTCCGATGTAGTGACCAAGGATCGGATGAAAGAGGATGTAAGCTACTTATACAGAGTCAACAACGCCTTCAACCTCAGGCTGTTCTTCAATTGAAGTTGTATGTAGCCAATTCCACGTAAAACATGGAACATACAGCATTGAGGCTTAGAAAGGGATATATAGACCAGTAGTAAATAGTAAACACCTAGTAAATAACATCCAGGCCCAGACCTCTTCGAAGTCAATCTGACGTCTGGTGGCGCCACATTTGACGTTGGTTCGTCCCTGGTTGGCATTCAGGCCAGGACACATTCGGAAAGGGAAGAGAAAGCTTGACGGCAATTCTCACCATGTCTTGTGTGTACGTACCCCGTCTTTTTGCTCTGCGAGATAATCCTGACGTCCCATTACGTGATGATTATAACCTTCAAATAGGGCCTTGTTTGTCAGGCAACCCTAACAATTTAGAAAATGAACTACAGTTATGGATGTTCTGAGCTTATATTAATAAAAGTTAAAAAGGAATTGGCTTAACACGATCTTGGAAGTAAAGAACACGATCCGAACATCATTAGGAACTCTATACAGTAGTCCAGGCCCATTTTTACTCAATGAGGAAGTTGTCTGCAACACTGCGAACTTCCTTCGAGAATGCAACACCCTCACCCTCCATATCCAGTAGGGAAACATTGTTGATGTCGACATCCACGAAAGGCTTGGTCTTCGTGAAGTGGACACTCATCGGGAAGAATTCATTCTCGTCAGCATCAATCGCCTCGAACTCAAAGCTGCCAGAGGCATTCGACTGATCAACAGTGCCCAGGTTCCAGTCCAGACTGTCACCGGAGACCTCGTAGACCGCATCAAAGCTAGATACAGCAGGCTCGGTCGTGCCATATGGAATAGTGACGACCACATCGCGGAGACTATCGTCGCCCGTGAGCTCATACTCCACAGTCACCGTGGTGGAGTCAGAGCCCTTGTTTACCCAAACGGTGAATGTGATTGGAAGAATATCGGCATTATCAGCCGAACTGGCAACACGCCACCGGAGAACTCCGATGGAGTTGTTGGCAGGGAAGCGCTTGGTAGTGTCCTTCAGTTGGATGACCGAAGAGTTGGTGAAGAGAGCTTTGTCGACATTAGGGTGAGTGCGGAACTGTGCGCCATGTGTGGGAATAGCCTGGCAGTCGAGTCGGAGTTTGGTGAGTGAGGGATCACTGATACGGAGTTGCATGTCACCCTTGACCTCGAAAGATTTCAAGGCTCCCTCCCGAGTAAGTGTGGCTGAGATGGTCTCGGCGATTGTGAGTTGGATGGGCTCCCGATCCGCCTGGAGAGACTCGCGGGCTGAGGGAATGTCATGCACTGGAGCCGAAGCTCGTGCAGCCACCAATGGGCTCTCCTCCTCAATTTCGGGCCCCATATCACCCCGGACCTTCTCGTAGATATCCGTTGCCTTTGATTTCTTGCCCAGTTGCATGCCCTTGCCGCGGGTGGGAATGGGCCTAGTGATCACGCAGTCAGCAGTAGTTTCGCAACGGTGAAATTAGAAAACCAAACGTACTTGGAAAAGGACTGTTTCTTTTCGGCCTCGTATGAATCATAGCTGTCAGGCACGGAGGGGCGCGCTGGGGGTGTGTAGACGGGGTAGGTTGGGGTTCTTGGGGCGGCGGCGCGACCTGTGCGAGCAGCCTCTTTGCGTTGCATTTCCAGCTGCTTCGCCTTTCTCTTGCGCTCCTCGCTGGCCTCCAGCTCTTTGTTCTATCAATGTATGTTAGCCATGAACTAATTTCACTGGTGATTCCACATACCCGCTCAATGATTTCCTGGATTCTCTCCTCATGACTCTCCATTTCCAGGAAGGTCTTGATCTGAGTGAGAGAAAGGTTCTCCCGGTATCCCATAGTTACCAATTCATCAAACGCACTCAGGAGCTCAAAGGCATTGCGAAGAATCTCCCGCTCGTCTAGGCTCTTGCAGATGCTGGTAGTGACTTGCGCAAAGAGATGGAGACTGTCGATGTCTTGGAGAATGTTCGATTGACGGTTGGTGATCAGCACGATATACAACTCATCCAATGGTTGGTACACGAAGCGCACGTTGTCTTGCTCGACAGTAGTATGCTGGGTTCCGGAGTCTGCCAGCTTAGGGAAGGAGGCGAGAAGGGCTTCAATTCGGGAGCGGGAGATCTCTCGGAACTGGCGCGAGAGAACCGCTTTACCTCCACGGGTGCATATCGACGCTGCGAGAACAACCTGTTGTGTGTTGATTAGTCCAATTCCCCGCGGATTAGATTAAAACAAGGACTTACCATGGTGAAAAACAGCACAGAGGGAGCACACAAATGACAGGAAAAGAGTGATCAAAGAAAAGAGTACAGAAAGTGATAGAGAAGCGTAGGGTTGACTGGAAGCGTAGGCCCTGATGTTGGTTGGCGGCGGTAGGGAGCTACTCTGTTCACTTCGGCGACGGTTGGCCCGTGCATTCACTTCGCTTAGTCGTCGACCAGATACTTTCTTTCTCTCTTCACTTCATCTTTTCCCGCGCGTTGAATTCCCCACCAACACTCAGTTCATCATCTCTCTTGCTATTACTCGTAATCTTTCACTCTGCGTATCGCCGAGGAAACTTTTCTCTTTCACTCTCAAACCCCACTTCAACCGCGTTCATGGAACGTCATTGCTGAAGTTTCCAATACGACCCCAGATCTCATTTTCACGCGTTTACTTGCTATGACAACAGCTCCCTTGATCGCCTACCCCACAATGGAAGCTCCCGCTACGGGTGATTCTATGGAGATGGCCTCGCCCTACCAAGGGCCGGCTGACGATTTCGATATCGACATCGACCTCATGGAGGACCATGTCTCGAACATGGATAGCGATATGATGGGCGCAGAGGAATTTACAAATACTTCTCAGCCTACTGAACTCAACAATGATGCGATCTACGATGCCGACATGGCCGATGAACCCTCCGAAGGGTCGATGATCGACGCTGACAACTACGCCGATGAAGACAACGATATTGACGTGCAATTTGAGGAAGAGCCATATGAGGAAGAAATGATTGAAGCCGATCAGGTGGAGGATGTTAATATTGCCACCCCTATCATTCATCTTGAACCTGCCGGCCGCAATGAAGATGCTGCCAGCCCCATTAAGGAGGATATCACAGTCACATCCGTGGAACTTCTCGAAGCAGCACCTCAAGAATTAAGCGACTCTGCGGGACTTGCCCCAGTTTCAGACAAAGCCCAGGTTTCTGAAGTTGAAGGCCAAGACACCCAGACCCACCTGAGCACGGCTGTTGATGACCTTACTGAGGAACCATCCGGAAATGCCATCAGTACCGAAACCCGCGGCCATAATGAAAAGGCAGAGCTTGGTGAAGAGGCTAACGAGACATCAAAGTCTCCTTTGACAGAGGCTGAGGTAACGCAAGTTCCCAACGAAGACCCGGAGACCAGCCAAATCAAACCTTCCGCCGAATATTCCCACGATGACGCTGCGCACCCAGAGGCGCAGCCTGTGTCTGAGGAAAATCACCAGGTTGCAGATGAAGAACACTCGCCCCAACAGGTCACATACATGGATGAACCTCTTCATCCCGTCAAAATTCTCTACCAGGATTGCGAGATCGCCCTGTTTCCTCCCCTCGAGGGAGACTCGTCGGATACATTCTTCATTGAAGATGAAGCTTTAGCTTACGACAACGTTGATCAAATCTTCAAGGCTCTACGCCAGGTGCTTCAAAAAACCATGGCAGGCAATGAGGTTTTGGTCATCGATATTGACACTCTCGGTATCCAAATAACAGAGGTAAGTACTCTCTTAATTATCCTCCTGGCAAACGTACTGACTCATCCTATCAGGACTCGATCCATACATCCCAGGTAACCTTGCATCAGATTCTAGATCTTTACCTCAGACTTTGTCGTAACGATGGCACTACCGATCCCGAAGCCCTCTACCTTACACTGAGCACCAAGCGTGCGTTCCCGGCCGAGATCGCAGATCTCAATGACGCTGCAATGGAAGGCAAGAAACTTTCTGAACTTCATTCCGAACTTCAATCTTGGGATGAATATGATGAAGGCGAGCCAGGTTCCGAGGGGGATCTTGTTGCTCATGGGGCTGAGGAGCATGAAGATGAACTCTACTACACCAATGAGGCCCAAAAAGAGCTATCAACTACGGAAGTGCAAACGGCTCCAGCACCTGGAGAAGATCAGGCGTTAGATGGCGAACATCCTCAGGTCCAGCCCGAAGCTGTCTCTGGTGCTCAATCAGAGATTGTGCATGCGCAGGACGAGGATAGATCTACCTCCAGGGAGCGGAGTGCCGAGGCCGCACGTGAGCCTGAATCTCATCCAGCCCAGCCCGAGAACACAGAGCCAGATCACCTTGATGTGTCTCGCCATCTCGAAACAGACCAAGATCAGGAATACGATCATGGCGATGGCGATGTCAACGAAGAGAACTATGATTCCGAGGGCCGGCAGAGTGATTCTACTGCCACGTTAGCTGCACTGCCTGGCGCAAGCGAGATTCAAGAGCATACCGAGCATGCCCCTTTGGACGTTTCTGTGAACGCCGTCACAGATGAAAACGACAATGATCACTATTACGGAGAGAATGCCGAGAACGATGATCTGGGAGATGACGAATATTATGAGGATGACCCGGTCGAAGATTTAGAGGCTTTCCAAAATGATATCACTGGCAGTGAAAATGCTGATGATGCTCAAGAACCAGCCGATCAGGCGCCTGTCTTTGATGAAGAGGACACAGATGAGTTAGATGCCCCGCCGACAGACGAAGTTGTCTCGGAAACTACCTTGCGTGATGAATCCAAGCACTTTTCCCATGACCAGCCGGCACCGCCCCTTGACAGCGGCTTGCATGACACCTCTGACAAGAAGGAGAAAACACCAGAGCCTGCAGATGATTTACTTGGAATCGCTGTAGACCTGATGCAGACTCCCCCGAGAGATACAGAGAACGATGCCCTTGATCACTTTGAGGGCATAGACTACGACGAGCCAGAGGATGAACTGGATGCCCCTGTTGCAGCTGATGATGGGGGTGCCAATCACGAGTTTGACGAGAACCATTTTGGCGACTATGACACCCATTTTGAAGAGTCGGAGGCTGTAGAGTTGGTTGGAACAGATCCTTCCTCGACAGACGCCGAAACCCACCCGAACTCGTCTTCTAAACGGTCCCGCGAAGATGAAGATGACTGGGACTTGGTGGAAAGCACCATTGACACCAAACGTCGCCGCTCTTCGTAAACTATGCTCCCATTTTTTTTTTCTTTACTCCTGGAGATTTCTCCAATCTTTCTTCGTCATGCCTGGTGTCCAGCGAGTCTGACCTTTGATGACTTGTTCCACGCGACCCATAACCCTCCGACATACTGTTAACCATACTTGCCAGCAACGACCTCAACCGATGGACGCAGTGTCTCGTCTCACTACTAACCAAAACAGGTATGTCGACCCCTTTCCCCAGTACGCGCAGCGCACGCCTTCAACTTTCTCGGGGTATGCGCTTTCTCTTTTTTTCATCCCGCATCTGAATCAAACCCCGGTGCCCTCAACTCGAGACATCATTCAATTGCCCGTGATCTCTTCCTGCGTTTCTTTCTTTTTTGTCCTTTGACTCTTTCCCCATTGCGATTCAAGATACCACTGCCGGTCTTCGGCCAAAATCTTTGCTTTCGGTGTTCATGGATGCCCGTTTGGGCTGCGTGCTTTTCGATGCATTTCCTTAGGGTCTGGCGTATCGGCGCGATGGGCTAGTCCACGTGGTTGTAGTATTCTACCAATGAATTTTACCCACATCTTTTAGTTCTCAGGCGTCTCAACTTGTAAATCTCAAGTATAAATTAAGAGGAATCTAAATGTCCGATCTCTTACCCCCAGATTTGAATTAGCTAATTTCGCTTATTTAGTTATGGGGCCCAAATGAGAAACATTCCGGGGAGAGCGGGTCGGCATAGTGTAGAATAGATGTACATGTATGTTTTGCAGGTATAAGGAACTATAGTCTATATGTACGATGTAGATTGTACGCTATTGTACGTTAGTACTCGATGCGGATGGTTTATTTTTACATTCAATTCTATATTGATTCAGCCACGCAAGACGATGTCATGCTATGGATCTAAACTGGAGTTCTCTAGGGATTCCAGGCTAAGTATAGAAACCTACGCCGCATTCGGCGGGCTGAAACGCCGGTCTTGGCCTCATTTCAGGGTCCATATTTAATAAATACAAAGATGCAAAGATACGCCGTTGACTAGCTACTGGACTACTGCTTTTACCTCTAGGTAGAACCTGGGGACAGAGGGTGACACATGGTAGTGTTGTGTAGATAATAATGCACTAAATCGAGTCGATATGTACAACATAGTTAATAGTACGGAGTTGGGGCCACCTATTTCAATCTACCTCGATCTCTGCATATTTTATATAAAACTCCAGAATGCAAAGGGAAATTAAGATTAAAAATTACCTAAAGCACTGCAACACGGCACTTGAACCTTGGAAAGCCTCCCTACGCCTCCCCAAGCCCTCTAGCCCTGTTGTTCTCTTACGCGTCCCCCGATCGGGCTTGAAACGGAACCCCACCGCACGCAGGCACATCTCTGGCTTCTGGCTTGCTTGGCCATCACCTCACTATCTTCTTCACATCCTCCTTACTCATCAGAAATCTCGGGCTGGCTCGTTTTTCTGTTTTGTCCTTATTCGCTCCCTTTGCCTCCCCCTAGTCCCGAGCCTTTAGCCTATTACCACGACCCCTTCCTTCGCTCACCCGAGTCTCTCGCTCATTCCCCGACGCATTGCCGGCACTGGAGGTCTTTCGACAGTAGGAGCTCCCGGCTCCTAAGATAGGAATCACTCAAGATGCTTCCAGATAAGTACGTCGCTTCCACCCGCCGAATTGGCCCACGACGGCAAGCTTGTCAGTTCTAACATGGTTGCGCGCTGCGCCATTATAGATATGTCGGGCTTATTTTAGCCATTGTATCGACCATGGCCATCGGCACCAGTTTTGTGATCACCAAAAAGGTTGGTGTGCCCATCCTCCAGAAACGGACGCTTCGATCCCGAGTGCGCGAGACAAACACCGCGGCGATTCGGTCCAAAGCGATCATCATCGGAGCGGAGTCGCTAATGCGTCTGAATACAGGGCTTGATGCACGCCTCCGAACGACATGGATTTGAGGGCGAAGGTTTCTCATATTTGAAGAGTCCCGTGTGGTGGGGTGGTATAGTGACACGTACGGAAACCAATCGTCAGATTCGACAATTCGCCAGATGCTAACGGGTTCATAGTGGCTCTTGGCGAAGTCGCAAACTTCGCTGCCTACGCTTTTGCGCCTGCCATCCTGGTTACGCCCTTGGGTGCGCTGAGTGTTCTCATCGGGTAGGGATCTCTTCAACATCGTGCATTCGCCTCATAGCTGACATGACACAACACAGTGCGGTCTTGAGTTCGTACTTCCTCAACGAGATACTTGGTGTATTAGGAAAACTAGGCTGTGCGCTGTGCTTGCTGGGATCGGTCGTCATCGTTCTCCATGCGCCTCCAGACAAGCAGGTGGAGACCGTCGATGAGATTCTTGGATATGCGGTCCAGCCAGGTACGAAGACTTGATCGGTGTCGCCCAAAAACTACCGCTGACTTTGCGACTAGGATTCCTTCTTTACTGTGTCGCAGTTGCGATCTTCTCGACTCTGATGATCTACCGGGTTGCGCCGGTCTATGGCAAGAAGAACCCGCTCGTCTACATCTCGATTTGCTCCACTGTTGGATCGGTCTCGGTCATGTCAGTCAAGGCCTTTGGCATTGCAGTGAAATTGACCATTGGCGGCAACAACCAATTTGTCCACGCGTCCACCTACGTCTTTGCCATTGTAACCGGATTTTGCATTCTGACGCAGATGAACTACTTCAACAAGGCATTGAACTCTTTCTCGACTTCGATGTGAGTGCAGACATCAAGTAATATGGAGATGCGAGGCTAACATGATTCTTCAAACAGCGTGAACCCACTTTATTATGTCACCTTCACAACCGCGACTCTCTGTGCCTCGTTTATTCTCTTCAAGGGATTCAACACCACTGACGCCGTCAACACCATATCTTTACTCTGTGGATTCCTCATCATCTTCACCGGCGTGTACCTCCTGAACCTCTCACGACATGACCCGGATGGACACAGCATGGTGAATTCAAAACTTGACGAGGATGGAGTGCCAACAGACGGTATGACGAGTTTCCAGACCCGTCGCTCAATGCAGTCCCGCCGAAGCGAGTCGAGTGCATATTTCAATGGCACCAGCGACCGCGAAGGCCTCATACACGCATACGATGTGGAGAACGGGATCGGCATGAACAACTTGACCGAAGAAAGTAATGGGGAGCCAGGCCCGACTTTCCCGCGGACGGATACGCAGACTGCACTGCACACGAAGCGGAACAGTCAGCTCTGATCGCGGATGTCTCAAGGTCTTCCAATCCTCGCCTTATATCGAGGTCTTTGAAATTATTCTCCTTCGTCTTTACACAATCGACTGCTAGCAAGCTTCCCTTCCACGGGCTTGATCTCCACTTGTATTTTTACTGTTCCCCGAATATGCCAGAGTTGCATTGAAACTCGGGCGAACTCAGGCACTGGACATGTCTGTATGAACGACTGGATATGACTCTGGGTTTCTCTGGATGGTTGGGATTTGATGTCTTTCTTCTTCTAGTTCCTTTTTTTTCTTTTTTTTTTTTTCTACCGGTGATCTGGCGTGCCGAGAGGCTTGTATATAGTTCAAGTTGGATTTCTGCAGAATAGACTGGCGACGTATCTGGGTGGGGCTGGGCCGATGATGTATTTGCAGGTCAGCTGTTTATGGAACATGCCCATCCGAGATTCTTGCTTTTGCAATTCCAAGTTCAACATCTTTAAACTATTGCCGGTTCTTGGCTACCTTTGCGAGGGGTCTATAGACGTCAACCTTGGAAGGGCAGAGTGATACTCCCCTCGAACGCGGGGAACTCGCGCGATGCCCACTTTATTGCGCAAAGTGGCCATCGTCGCCGCAGTCGACGGTCTGGTCCTACATCCTCATGCCAGCGGGTCGCGGCATACGGGTAGTAACAATGAGGCGTCATCCATCCGCATCGACTATAAGACAAACAAAATCACAGCGTTGCCCGCTTCCGGCCCGGAGCCCCTCGATGGAAAGGACGCCCTAGAGCTAGAGGCCTACGGTCTCGTAGGTATGTTGACGAACTGAGTGAAAACCGAAATAGAAACTAACCGCAATGCGCTACTGCCACAGGTCTCTTATCTGTCGCTTCAAGTTCATTCCTCGTTTCCATCACACAGCGCCAGCAAGTAGCGCAGATCCGAGGCCGCCCGATCTACACCGTAACCAACGTCGCGATCATTCCGATCTCATCGCAAGCCGATGCTTCCCGCGCAATCACACAGGCCAGGAAAGAATCCTCGCAACAGGAAGCCACCATTGAATCCTCCGATGAAGAGGACCTGACCGATAACGAATCCGACAGAGCCGATGCGGAAGCAGAGATCGGCAGCGCGCCCGCATCGCCCACTCGCGATGCATCTCGTGTCCGCGGCACCAGCGTCGGCAGTATCGCAGAAGACGTGATAGCGAAAAAGTTCCGCTTCGGCAGGTTTGCGGCCGATTGGCTATCGCGCAAAGACCTGGGATTGCCCAGGCCCGGAACTCAGGAGCAGGATGTGTTGGAGTCTCCCGTTGACGAAGCCTCCACTCCTCCTCCTTCGGGTAATGGCAGTGAGGTGAATCTCGACGCTGTGGATGAGTCTCTGTCTGAAGAGGCTGGGGCTCAGAGCGAGCCTGATCGGCCTAAATCTGACCAGGCTGCGGAATTGCTGCCGAAACTGCTTCGCTATACGAAACTTTTGTTTGCATCGCATAATTTTTTCTTTGCTTATGATTATGACCTGACGCGCTGTTTACATGTGCAGGAAGCTCGGAAAGATCAGCTTCCCCTATATAAAGCTGTGGATCCATTGGTATGTGCGAACTGAGGGCTTGTAGTATGTTTGAAGATTGGCGTGCTGACTCGTTGACAGTATTTTTGGAATAGACATTTGATGACAAAATTCATTGACCATGGGGCTCATGGATTTGTTCTCCCGTTGGTTCAAGGCTTTGTCGGCCAACGAGAATTCACAATCGCTGGTGCTGAAAAGAAACAAACTTCGAAGGACTCAGCAGAACTCGCGAAAGGCCGAATTCTCGGTGAAAAAGACGAGGCCGAAGCTGTGGAGACTGATGCTAGCAAACGTGATTATCTATTGACTATCGTTTCTCGACGGTCTGTCAAGCGACCGGGTCTTCGTTACCTGCGCCGTGGTGTCGATGATGAGGGCAACACAGCCAACACAGTCGAAACCGAGCAGATTCTCTCGGTTCCGGATTGGACCCCGTCTCACCCTGCCTACTCATATTTGCAAGTCCGGGGTTCCGTTCCTCTTTATTTCTCTCAGTCGCCATATGCTTTGAAGCCAGTTCCAGTGCTCCATCACTCTGCGGAAACGAATCTTCTCGCCTTCACTAGACACTTCCGAGAGTTCAGTCGACGATATGGAAATATCCAGGCTGTCTCTCTTATTGATAAGCTAGCCGGTGAACTGAAGCTAGGAGAGCAATACGAGCGATATACCGAAGCCTTCAATGCCGCCGGTGGGATCGATGGTAAACCATTGAAACTTGAATGGTTTGACTTCCATAACGAGTGCCGGGGCATGAAGTTCGAAAATGTATCACGACTGGTCGACCGACTGAAAGATACATTGAATGAGTTCAGCTATACCATCATCGCGGACAACGATATCCTGCAGACCCAAAAGGGCATCATCAGAACCAATTGCATGGATTGTCTAGACCGCACTGGTGTTGCCCAGTGTGCATTCGGCCAATGGGCCCTCGAGCGTCAATTGGAAAATGAAGGCATTGACATTGACATTGGTGGTGACTCTTCCACCCAATGGTTCAATACAGTCTGGGCAGACAACGGGGATGCCATCTCCAAGCAATATTCATCAACCGCGGCCCTTAAGGGCGATTACACCCGTACACGCAAGCGAGACTACAGAGGTGCCCTCAACGACTTGGGACTGACTCTTTCCCGCTACTACAATAACATCGTAAACGACTTCTTCTCTCAAGCCTGTATCGACTACCTCCTAGGCAACGTCTCAACCCAAGTCTTTGACGAGTTCGCCATCCAGCTCCAGACCACCGATCCAGGAATCTCAGTCCAAAAGCTCCGCCAGAACGCCATTGACACAAGCTGCAAGATCGTTATTAGTAGCCCCTCTGAAGAATTCCTAGGTGGCTGGACCATGCTCACACCCCGCCAACCTAACACCCTTCGCACCCTACCATTCGAAGAATCAGTCCTTCTCCTAACCGATGCCGCAGTCTACAGCTGCCGCTTCGACTGGGAGACCGACAAAGTGTTGTCCTTTGAGCGCATCGCCCTCTGCTCCATCGAGCGCATCCACTACGGTACATACGTCACATCCATATTGACAGATAGCCAAGCCGACGAGGCGACCAACGTCGGTCTCGTCATAGTCTACCGCGACGGCGACACAAACACCCTCCGCGTGAACACCCGGTCCCTGCAGAGCGATGTCGATCTCAGCACGCTAGAGACTACCGCCAGCGCCAACAGTGAATGGGACCTCGTTTCCTGGCTGCGGGGTAGCAAGCGTGCGACGACACGGTTTGTTGCATTCAAGGGCCTGCCACTGTCAAGTCCGGTCGCTAGTCCGCGGCTTGGGCCTACTACTGGTACTGTTCGCGAGATTGATCGCATTCGCTCGGTCTGTTTGGATATCGAGCGGGCGATGTTTGCGGGTCAGGGTGATAAGGCTGAGGCGGTCTCTGTGGTTGAACAGTCTGATATTATCTCTTTGGCGGATGCGAGAAAGAGGACTGGGTGGTTGGAATATCTGGTTTATGACCTTAAGAAGATGGTTTGGGCGTGATTGCTTTTGTGATATGGAGGTGAGTTGCGGGATTTCTCTTCCGCCTCTTCTTACATGGCTTTCACTCCCAGGTTATTGGATCTTAGGTCATTAACATCTCTTTAGGTCTTTTGCATATATTCCTTAGCATTATGTTGATAGTATTGGATGTGTCGTAACTGTCACCGATCTCGAAAACATATGATCAATAGAACAGACAGTTTGGAACTATTTGCTTAGGGATTTGACAGTAAGAGCACGTTAGTATAGTATCTTAGAGATAGGCACTGAAATTATTACTGTTCTACAATATATCACCCGTGCACTGCCTGGTCAACATGTCACATTTTGGCGGTGTCAGCTTCAACCTCAACTTCATCCAACACTCTAACCATCCACTCCCATTTCCAGGCTGAAATTTTGCACACACATATCATGTGAAATGCAGACTATCCTTTCTTCGCATCTCCTTCTTGGACTTGAAGTCTACACCTAAACGGACTGACCGCCTACCGTCTTCAGCAATCCTTTTTTTCTGCCCGCAGCACATACACCCCTCAGTCTGAGGTCGTCCCCGACAACTGATCTGATTCCGACCTTACTGCGAAATCTCTTTGGCCAATTACTTCTCGTCTTATTTCTGGATCTGCCTTAGCGGATCGCAGATTTCAGTCTTGTTTCTTTGATCTGGGGCAACGAAGGGGGCCCGTTCCCACATTTTCGGCGGGGCTCCTGTGCTACTCGCACTTTCGACCTACATCTGTCGCATCGAGTCTTCACCTAAGACAAGATGAATTGGCAACCTCAGCAAGAGCCATTGAGGCAGTTGGCTCGCTACCTTCGCGATTCGCTCAATGGGACTAACCTTCCAGCCCGAGCAGAAGCAGAACAGGTACCGGCGTTCCCTTTTTTTTTTTTTTGGTCCTATTGAGCTTCCTCTCAACTGCGATCGCCAATACACTACCCCAAGATGGAAACTAACGTTGGAATCTTTTGTTAATAGATGCTTGCACAAGCGACCTCTTCTCCTGATTACGTCAATTACATCACCTATATCTTTTCCAGTCCGCAAGCTGCTTCCCTGGCGGGAATTAACGAGAACGAATGGCCTACCGTTCGATTTTCCGCCGCCGTAAACGTCAAGACGAAGATTGCTCTTGCTTACAGCACGATATCCCCCCAAAGCTTGGCATTTATCAAATCCGCGGCTCTGGTTACACTGCGCGACACCGACCACAATGTCTCAAAAGCTGCCGGTAACATTATCACCGCAATGGTGCTTCACGGAGGCCTTTTGGCCTGGCCTGAAATTGTCAATGAGCTGTTGACGACTGTCGCTAATTCCAACGGGGATGTGCCCATGTCGGCTAGAGAAGCTGCAATGGATGCGTTGTACAAGGTCTGTGAGGACAACCGCAAGGTTCTGGACCGGGACTATCAGGGTCAACGTCCTCTGGATATTATCATTCCCAGCTTGCTACAATTCATTTCGGTCGACAGTTCGCGCATTCAGATTGCTGCTCTCAACGCCATCCATGTTTTCTTGCCATTCAAACCTCAGGCATTGATGGACTCGCTCGACCAGTTCCTTTCGCAATTGTTCAGGATTGCCGGTGATGAAAATACCAGAGTCCGGCAAATGGTGTGTCAGTCGTTCTCCCAACTTGTGGAGACTGCCCCGGAAAAGTTGGCCCCGCATATGGAAGGATTGGTCAACTACATCATCATGCAGCAGCAATCCCAGGATGACCCAGAGCTTGCACTTGACGCCGCCGAGTTTTGGATTGGTGCTGGAGAGCAAGAGCAATTGCAGGCCGAATTGGCGCCATACATGCACAAGATTATCCCGGTTCTTCTTCAAAACATGATCTACGATGAGGAGGAGGTGGCTCGGTTGATGGACGAGCAAGACGATGCCGACGCCGAGGACCGCGCCGAGGATCTCAAGCCACAGTTTGCCAAATCGAAGGGTGATCGTCTAAACATGTCCAAGCCAGGTGAACAACCAGAAGGCTCTCGCATCATCGAGCAACAGACAGACGATGAGGACGACTTAAGTGAAGGTGAAATCGAGGACTCGGAATTCGGAGATGACCCCTCGGGTAACTGGACTTTGCGCAAGTGCTCTGCTGCTGCGCTCGATGTTTTCTCCACCGTTTACCATGGTCCTGTCTTTGAAATCCTTCTACCATATTTGATGGAAACCCTGCGCCATGAGCAGTGGCCGAATCGAGAGGCCGCTGTTCTTACATTAGGCGCAGTCGCCGATGGCTGTATGGATGCTATCACTCCCCATCTCCCAGAATTGGTCCCTTACCTCATCTCACTCCTCAATGATGACCAGCCTGTTGTGCGACAAATCACTTGCTGGTGCTTGGCCCGTTATTCCGGTTGGGCAGCCCACCTCCGCGATCCAGCTCAGAAAGCCCAATTCTTCGAGCCCATGATGGAAGGTATACTTCATCGCATGTTGGACAACAACAAGAAGGTCCAAGAAGCTGCTGCATCGGCATTTGCTAGCCTGGAGGAGAAGTCAGAGGATAACCTGGCGCCCTACTGTGAGCCCATCTTGCGCCAGTTCGTAGCGTGCTTCAATAAGTACAAGGACCGAAACATGTATATCCTTTATGATTGCGTGCAGACGCTCGCCGAGTGTGTTATGAACGAGCTGGCGAGGCCGCATCTAATCGAGATCTTGATGCCTGCCCTCATCGGTCGCTATAACTACATTTCTGATGATTCTCGAGAGCTCTTCCCGTTACTTGAATGCCTCGGATATATCTCTGCAGCCTATGGCGATGCATTTGCCCAATTCGCGCCGCCTCTCTTCGGTCGCTGCATGAAGATTATTTACGGAAACTTGCAAGCTTCTATTCAACCGACACACGCCGCGGCTGACGAGCCTGACAAGGACTTCCTTGTTACTAGCATTGATCTTCTTAGTGCAATCATTCAGGCCATCGACCCACAAAAGAGCGGCGAGCTTGTGAGTACTTCACAGCCGTCTTTCTTCGAACTCCTCCGCTACTGCATGGAGGATCCAAACTATGAAGTCCGTCAATCAACATATGCTTTGCTGGGAGACTGCGCTATTAGCATCTTCCCTCAGTTGGAGCCCTTCCTTCCCACCCTTACCCCAGTTTTGATCAAGCAGCTTGACTTGGATCTGATTCGCGATGATGATCGTCACACGGGCTTCAGTGTTTTGAACAACGCGTGTTGGTCCTGCGGCGAGATCGCCGTCCATGAGAATGCCGCGCTTGCGCCCTACGCCGAGCAACTATATCAAGGACTCTTTGCAATTATCATTAACGAGGAAATCATCGATTCGGTGAACGAGAACGCCGCGATGGCGCTGGGACGATTGGGATTCTGCTGCGCGGACCAGATTGCGCCCCATTTGAGCGAGTGCTCTGGACCTTTCCTGAAGTCAATGGACAAGATTGATTTCACGCGTGAAAAGGCTTCCGCCTTCCTCGGATTCAACCAGGTGGTGATGAAGAATCCGCAGGCCATGGAGTCGAGCCTCCTCGACTACTTCCAGGCTATTGCCTCGTTCCCCGCCCGCTCACTCGCACAGGAAGAGTACCGGGACATCCAGGTGTCTTTCCAACAGGTAAGGTTATTTTCCCTAGTTCAGTCACATGCCACTAATCAAGATGTACAAATAGGTTCTTCAGGGATATAAGACCTTGATCCCTGACTTCAGCAACTTCCTTGGCCAGCTCCCCCCAGCCGTGGCCCAGACACTACGCACCGTATACCAGGTCTAAGTCGAACTTGGTGATTCTACTTAGATCTTGACCGGGATGTCGGGTTATGTCCACTTCTGTCTCGAATCGGGCGCGATTAGGTTAGGGAAGAGACACGAGGGATACCCGGGGGATTAGTAAATAGGGGGTCAGCGGCCGGAATTTCACGTTAATAGAAAGAGGAGGGAGAAAGGGGGGGCAAAATCATGGGAAGGAGCATCTGCGATTTAGCTGTTTTTTTACGTTACATCTCATGATTGCAACAGGGGCACGCAAGACCCTTTATGATTTCTATTTCGTTGACTTTGCTTTCTTCTTGATTCTTATTTTGCATTCTTTGTGCATAGACATCATCAAGGCAGGGCTGGCTCATAGGTTGCTTCATTTTTTTTTGCTTTTTTGTTTTCTCAGCGCTGGTTTGGGGGTTTTTTGCGTGGCATATTCATATCCCCCCCTTTAGATAGATACCTAGATAGATAGGTCTTCGTCGTTAATGAAGATCTCAAACAATTTTCTGAGAGTCTGGCATGTAGAGTTTGGCATGTTGCAGTATCCTATAGTTTCGGAAGCATCTTGTTGAGACGTTTGGCGCTCTCCTAGGTATCTTTTCCCGCTATACTTAACATGCTGTCTCACTGACTAGAATAAATATCCTTCATGTAGTAAGACGTAAAATTGCTAACAAGTATCATTGTGATTATCAGGGTTGTCCTTGACGGTGCTAGGTTCGCCATACCCGTTAATCCAGTTAGTATAGACAAACCAAACATTACTACTCCAGCAAACTAAATATAGTCAGTTACCTAGCATTATTTCTACGTTAGCACTTTTACCTGCCTCTAGAACAAAGCTGGACAGTGCCAGCGAATATCACACCTATTCCGTCCACATATCCCCGGCCCCCAGGAAATCAAGAGCACGTACCAAGATCGACTCGCTAACCTTGAACAGGGAGTGGATGGAAAAAAATTAAGATCAGCAGGACCCTGGCAATCTCCGACCAGCTGCAGGTTTATTTTTGGCTAGACAGCATGCACAGCTAGTTAAATACGGAGTAGTCAAGTACTTTGTAGTTACTTGCTATTAATAACCTAGTAGATGTATACCACATCCAGCATATACATCACCAAACTGTAAGAATAGAATCAAGAATAAACAACCAAGCATCCAATAGACCTCTGCTGCCCATACGATTCCCATCAAGCCCTAAGTCCCAACCAAACCCACCACGAATCCTTCATTCCTTCATAGCATAGTAAGCAGCAAGATAACCGTAGCGAAAAGATAAATAAAAAGATAACCAGTAATATCCAACTCCCGGCTCTCGCCTAACTGGCGCGTTATAATTAACTCGGCAGTCGAAACCAACAACACCCTCCCCCCGATTGGCCGCTCAGACAAAAACCGCCCGAAATACCAAGACGCGAGCCTTTCCCTTAACTACTCTTTTTCACGAACTCGGAACCGACCCCACCTTATCTCACCCTGGGATTTAAATAGGTGTCGATGGCAGACCGTTGATGCAGGGTGCAGGGTGCAATCTATGTATGTACCTACAGGTACCCCGTAGCATACCGGGCGTTTGGTTCTTAGTGCTGCGTAGTGCGCCATTGCCCTGGGCCGTGTGTTGGTCTTGTTGGTCTGGGCTAACTAATTGACTATGCCTCTTGCGGCTTGGGATGGTGTGATGGAGGCTATTGTGGACTGGATTTGGGACTGCTTATAGGTCCAGGTGTTGTGTTGTGTTGGTGCGAACCGGGCTTTCTTTGGATTATACTTCGTACATATTAATCCTCTCAGGGTCTTGAAATGCGTTTAGTGTTTACAGTTATAGGTTTTGACTTTGTCGGGTATTATTTTCAGCCTCAGTTGTAATATTCTCTTGGTATCTTGTCCACGTCCGGGGTACGCTTGCCTCAACTCAGACCTGAGACCTACCTGCATTATGCATATTAGGAAGGTTAACTTCCAAATGACGGGAAGCTAAGAGTTAAACCAGATTTATTCCCTTCTCTAAATCACACTTTGAGAGAGGCGAAACAAGAAACAGGAAATAGGAAACAGGAAACAAACACCGCGCCTGCCACTAGAAGCATTCCATAAAATTCAGACGGCCATCTACATTCTTGATACAGTCTGCCAGATTCACCTCACTCTCTTGCACGTTTCCCTGGCCATCATCGAGTTGCGCGTGCAGAATGGGATTGTTTTCGGGGCCCTCTAGCTTGAAATCAACGTCGCGTGCACATTTTGAGAAGTCGTGAGCGCCCCAAGCCAATCGTCCTATTGATTATATATTAGTATTGAATTAGATATAGATAATAGTATGGTATGGTCTTTCGGACATAAGGGAAACACCATGAACAGAACGAACAGAGTTTGGATGATCCTTACCCTTATTTACCCCAATGAATCCATCCAGATCTAGCTCTGAATATGTCGTTTCCCCGCCCGGTTTCTGGCAGTAAGCAGTGAGGATGTGCTTATCCTTGACATTGATGCCATTTGATGATTTGTGGAAGCCCATGCTGGAATGGAATATAGTAATAGCGGGTACAGGTTGATAAATGCGACAGGCTGTGGTATAGTTTGAAAGTGAGGCTCATTATATGCAGGAATGGCAGGTATCAGATTATTGCCTCTAATGACATCGATATGGTGTCGATCCTACTGTGGCCATTTGGAATGGCGAATGCGGGTGGCTCTGCCATCATGGTTTTCTCATTATGATAGGTACCCGGGGTAAGGGGTTGATAGTATAACAGCGTACCCCATGTCAGAGATGCCGAGGAACGATTCCTTGCTGGGCTACTGCTGTGTCTAAAATAGAGTGGTCTTTACCCAAGTGGAAGGTCATAATGATCTCATGCACACCTGCTGTCAACCTCGCGTTCACTTGTAGCTGTCGGGCATTAGTTTCTGTCCGGCAAGAAGGAGCACAGAGATGGTACGATGGTGGCTTGGGAACAGAGTTGACGCTAAGGACTCTATTTGGTTGGGATTTTATATCTCCAGGCTTCGTTACTTCAAGGTTACCAAGACTGGGAATCAAGATTGTCGATCTTCACGTGGTATGTCTCCTAAGGATGGAGTTTTGGGTTTATATTTTATATTTTTATCTCCACTTTTACAGCGAAGAATGTAGAAATATATTTAGTTAATGCATCTATCAACATGTACAAGTACATTCTATGATCCATAGCCCATTCCTCCGTTAGATCAGTATTGTAGATTGATCTATGATCTACAAGAAATCCCAGTCCCACCAGTCCAGGATAGCCCAAGTCTTGGCAGAATAGAGTTGGTTAGCGTGCTGCACTCCCACGGGCTGTGTTTCTGGGTTAGCGGAACTGGGGACTTCATGATTCAGGTGATTTCGCTTTTTCTGGTTGGGGCACTTGGATTCCAAGGATCGCTCTCTTCTGATATCACGGGGATCGCAATGTTGGCAATTCCACAGAGGGAGAGGGTAAGCGAAGAGGAAAAAAAAAAAAGATTTAAATATCCCCTCCCGTCAATTCCGAAATCTGACGCAAAACGGTTAGCCTAAAAAGAGACCAAATCCATAAATCAATAAAGCTGATCAAATCAAAGAAACCCACTCGGGACTTTTGGCCCCCAAGCTATACCAAGGTTGGCCTGATGTTGCGACAAGCGAGACTGATCGCTGCTGATTGGATCTATCGCATTCTGTGTTCCTTCACATCTGCGGAGAAATTAGCGTCGCCCGAACATTTCCGGTGGCCCGCACAGCGATCGCCATTGGATCTTCCGAAAGCCTGGAAAGGAAGGCAGCGTATTCGGCTCTGCACTGTCAAACCAGTCAAACAGGGGAGATTGAGGATGATGATCTAATCTCTGTACGACTAACTATGGTGCCACGTGTGAGCTAAATAATCCTTTGGAGTAATCATCGGCATGGCTGCAGTACATCGTGAAATATAGGGACCGGCCCCGTCCAGATCGGAAGGGGCACACACCGACTTTAGACATTGACGTCTGATCCCCAGAAAACGTGGCTCTGCGGTGTTCTAAATATGCATACATTGAACCTCTAGGTCGGGACTGAGTAGATATACTTAGATTTCTTAGATGCTGACTCGGCTAGAATGATGCTGTTCCAAGCGACATTCCTACCGTTTTGGACTCAGCCCAAGCCCTGGAATGAATACATTCCATTCCATATATGCACCAGGCTCTCTTTTTATGATCATCCTGAATACTCCCGCGGAACCATCTCATAAAGTCTCTCTCATCCCTGCACGCCAGGGACTAGACCATCGGGCTCCCAAGACCTATTGCCCACTTCGGGCTTATTGACGTATGCTGTACACTTTCAGGCTCGTCAGACATGGTTCCCCTACGTTCCAGCCCAGTGGTAACTTCACCGGAGACGGAGATAGGGTGGTTCCGGCCTGGGGCAACGATCGCAATAGGTCAATCAGTCTAGGGTGTCAGGATAAGGGATGCGCAAAAAGAAAAATCAAGAAAAATTGAGATGTGCGGTGATCCCGAGAGACTGGTCTTACACCCCCCTGGTCGGGGACTAAACGTACACCTGTTGGTTCCAATCCCCAGGTTCCCAGTGTAGAGTTTGTTTCTTTTTTCTTTTCTTTTCATTTTCACACAAATACCTATATTGTATAACTGTTGTACAGAATTTCCTTCCGGTCCACTTTCGGTTGTGATCACCGAGGTCGGCGTTTAATCCCCCATCTGACTCATAGACTCCGACGGAGTACGGAGTAGAAACGGCCGACTTCCGCCTGTCAGCTAAGCTTGACACTTTAGCGAGACTCGCACTGCATGGGGAATGGCGTCTACGATAGCGCAAGGATTGACTCCCCTCTTTTCCTAACGGGGTTAACGGTGTCCCTTGACAGCGACCCACAATCCAGGGTCCGCCAGATCCAAAGCCTTGCGAGGCAAAGGGGTCGATCGGTAGTACGGAGTATATTTCCCTGCATTGTGTATTCTATCATTTGAAATCTGGGGTCTGGTGTCATAGGCCCCTGCGTATATCCTCTTGGCTGGGACTCTGTTCTCTGGAACGCGGGATGGGATTTATAAAAAGAAAAGTCAAAAACAGACGGATAGATGCATCAGCTTGAAGTCACCCGTGGACCTTTTCTTATTTGTAATCATCTATGACCTGCAATGCTGGATATGGTATCTGTAATCTGTAGAACTAGAACCTTAGTAACTATCCAAGGCTAGACGGTTCCTACCAACAGCTAGTTCGGCTAAAGAAATTATAAATAAAATACAAATAAATAAATAAAAAGAATATCCACATGGATTGTGCAATGTCGAACCTATCCCTGCTCTCCCATGCGCCTAGTGGATAGCCTAGCCTATAGGGCCGCTATATAAGCTACCCATGTGGCCCACCCGACATGACTGAGTGCTATATTAGACGGTCCGTTTTAGGGTTTTCTTTTCTTTTCTTTTCTTTTCCTGAGGTATTTCCTATTTTATTTTCTATTTTCACTTACGTAGGCATTTTTGATTATTCTATTTATTCCTTCTGGGCTTACTGCCCCTCCCCCCCTGTACCCAGAGGCTCAAAATCTCGATCGTCAGAAATGAAAAAGAACTAGAAATAATTAGGAAAATAATTCGAGAATCCGAAATTTAAATCCGTCAGATCATATCTCTTGCGTACCCTGGACTAATACAATTTCTTCCCTTCTCCTCTACTTCCCCCATCTCCCCTCTTAATCTTCACTTTAAGATCTCCAGGGCTCGTATTCTCCACGTGCTTAATTCAACTTATCCCCCAAACCTCAACCGCCCCCAAAGTTATTTTTGGAGACCCTGTTGGACTCTTCCCTTCCTCTATAACTACAGGGCAGACGTGCCCATCAACTCGTTCGCTACAACACCACCTGTGGAGTCCTTGACTCCAGTCCCGGTTCTCCCCCAAGCAACAAGGCCAAAATGGTCGGTCCAGGTGGCGGTCCACCGCGCAAGAGCCACACCAAGTCCCGTAACGGCTGCAAAACGTGCAAGAGAAGACACATCCGATGCGACGAGACCTTTCCGCAATGGTATGTGCTGCAATCCCCACCAGAATCTCCCTACTAATCCCATCCAGCCGCAATTGCACAAAGCACAACTGCCGCTGCGACTACCAGGATACGGTTGCCTCGCAAGCTGGGAGTCCCCCCGCCCCGCGTCAGGGTCCTGACCTCCTCATGTCGCCAGAGATCGAAACGCAAATAGACAATTGGCATCGCACTGGCGTGCCTCCGTATCCGGAGCTCTTGCAGTGTCCGCGAGCTGGGTGGTCGGGCTTGTCGCGCACTGATTTGCGCTTGATTCACTATATAATTGGGGCTTCTATTGACTTGCATCGTCGAGGGCTAAGTGGGTGCACGGTGTGGGCGCAGAAGATGCCGAAGTGAGTGCTCTTTAGCTTGGTTGGTGGTCTTTGCTGACGGGTGCATTCTATAGTTTCCTCGCTATTGCGCTTGGCAGCGAGTTCGTCATGAGCTCGATATTGAGCTTCTCGGCGTTTAATCTTGCTTTTCTTACGCGAGACCCGGAGACCAAACAGCTGGCTTTCAGTCGTAGACTCACAGCTCTTCAAGGATTGCAAACTGCTCTAGGGTCTTTCTCGAAGGAAAACTGTGATGCAATTCTTGCGGCTTCTGTCCTTCTATCATGGCAGGCGACAGACCAGTGAGTGTTATATGTAATCTCCCTTGGATCCCGACTAACACCAGGTCAGTCAAAATTGGGCATCTTTGCAACACGGCATCTCCAGCGTCCTGGAATCCATGCATCCATATTGGAAGCAAGAGTCAGATATTGCACAGTCGATAGAAACCCAACGAAGAATGAGCACAGATCTTTCAATGCCTGGGGTCTACAAAGCCCCCGACGAAGACATGATACATTTGGATCAAACTATCCAGGCCCTACGAATGACACAGAAACGCGTTTCCCACAACCCCGAGCACTTTGAACGCCTAGGAGACCTCATCAAATTCACCCAGAAATTCCGCAATGATTTCCCTAACCAAACAACCGCACAAGTATTCGAAAGCGTCCAACCCATCCGCCGCTGGTTCTTCTGGCTCCCAGCATCCATGCTCGGACGCGGCGAATCAGACATCAGCGCCCTCCCAATCCTCGCCCAATTCTTTGCCGTCGGCATCTCTCTCGACGGCTGCTTCCCAGAGATGGGCGGCGCATACCTAGGCGCCTTACTCGTCGGTCCCATAGAAGAGATCTACCGCATAATCGCTACCCACCACGCCGCAGACCCCTTCAACCCCGATCTGCGTCTACCCCTAGAACTCATGGATCTGCCCCGCGGAATCGTCGCCCGCCATCGCAGCCGCTGCAACCTCCCCTGGTCCCCCCGCTCATCCGTCGACCCTTACTCTCCGGGCCCACCCAGCCCTTTTCACCATAATCTGCACGAGTACTCGCTCGTCGCCTCCTCCTCCTCGCCTGCTTCCGCCTCCACTTCTTACGCCGCGTATACCCCACCTTTGCATTCCCCTCCTGCCGTCACTATTGCCAATTCTACCTTTCCCGTCCAAGACGGTTATGCCTCCGCAACCCCCATTCCACATTCTCTATACCCGCCCTCCCCGCATTCTCTGTACCCGCCCTCCCCACAGCTCATCGATAGCCAGGACCCCAACCTCGGTCTCTCGGATATGGGTCATAGCAACGCCCATCATCCTTCGATCCCTCATCCAGCGGCTTACACCCCACCGTATGGCGACGGGCTGTGCGCCAGCTTACCGCGCACAGACGGCACACTCGGTCTCAATATGGAGGTCTATCCACAGCCACACCCGTTTGAAATGCCGGGCTTGGCTGCGCCCACTTCACTTTGGACCTGATTGTCTGCTGTGCTGAGTTTATTTATACGGAAAGAAAAGAAAAAATATGGAAATTCTGGACTACCACTCTGAACAGAGTTGGTCAGTCAGATTCTGGCTATTGAATACCAGGGAATTCGAAGATATAATGTCTCTCATTTTTGAAAATATGAAGTCTACGGAATTATGTTCTACGGGAATTGGACCTGCAGAACATGTGATTTACCTTGGATCATTATACGAGTGTTTCGTTTCACGACCTGACTACCTATATTCGGACCTTGTTTTGTTGAGCATGAGCGTTAATGTGTGATCTTGTCTCTGATTTTATCGGTTTGGTTTTTATACCCGGTTACAATTGCAAACTGAGGGAATTGTCCCAACCTGGTATTTTGATTGATATATATATGTAGGGTATTGATATATGTACTCCACTATGGGTACTGGGCCTGGGCCTGGGACTGTCGTTGGCTGTTGAAAGACGCGAACTAGTCTTACTCGGAGTTCTCAATCTGGATATCACCGCATGAAGGAGCGATTGAAGTACCCAATCTTGCAAATCCGGGATTTTCGAGCCGACAGCTCCCAACAGCTGCCTTACCCCTCTATGTGGAAGTCGTCTATTATCTTTGGAGTATTCTAGTACAATCATCATTCTCACTCAGTTTCTTTGGTATTCGCCATGTCATCGCCAGAACCTTCGCAGGCTTTCGGCTTATCACAAGGCTTCACTACGAAACTCGCCATTTCCAGTCTCATTCTCTTAGTACAGCGATCTCCCAGCGCGGGAAAAAAGAAAATGACAATATCTGACGCCGATTAGGTCCTCTACTGGACCTCAATTGCATTCTACAATGTATATTTCCACCCACTAGCCAAGATTCCCGGTCCGTTGCTCGGACGCGCACCTCTAGTATGTCTCACCTAGTCTATCCTGCCCGAATTGGACAATAACTGATCCCCAAACCAGCTATGGCGAGTCAAACACTCAATGGGAGGAAGATTCCACGTCGCCATCGACAAAGCACACAAAAAATACGGTATACCTAACCCGAGCCCTCACACAAAAAAAAAAGAAACAGCACTAACAAATCCCATCATCAGGCGACATAGTCCGCGTCTCACCCAACGAACTCTCCTTCGCCTCAGCCGAATCCTGGAAATCCATCTACGGCCACCCGGTCGGGGGAACAATCACAATGGTGAAAAGCGAGTTCTACGAGATGTTCGGATCAGGTTTCGACTCGCTGTGTATTGCCTCAGAGCGGAACCGCGCGTTCATTCCCGTATGCGGAAATCTCTGACGCCGGCTTTCTCGACGAAGGCTCTTGTGGAGCAGGAGTCTATTGTGCAGAGTTGTATAGATGGGTTTATTGAGAAGGTAGGGGAACGGGGGACGCGAGAGGAGGGGTTGGATTTGAGCAAGTGGGTTGAGATGTTGGCTCTTGATATCGTTGGTGAGATGGCTTTTGGGGAGAGTTTTCATTGTATTGAGAATGGTAGGTCTTGGGTGATTACTGTATGAGATGAGATGTTCAATGGCTAACGAGTTCAAGGAAAACCTCATCATTGGAGTGAGATGGTGACATCTCATGTCTTTATCGCCACCCTGGTCGATAATCTTCGCCGTTATCCGCTCTTTAACTATATCGGGGTTTTCATTCTCCCTAAACTGACGTTTTCGGTACGGAATCGGCATTCGCAGTTCAGTCGTGACAAAGTCGCGCGGTGAGTCCACATTCTCTGTTGAGTGCTCAAGCACATAGGCTTATTTGAATACAGGAGACTTGAGAGTCAGTCATCTCGAAAAGACTTCCTCACCAATCTCGTCGACAAGGTGAAGAACGGCGAGGTTGGGAAGGAAGAAATGACTGCACATGCCTCTACTCTAATGTTAGCAGAGTTCTTTCCCTTACCGTCCATGAACCTAATTATATTACAGCATCGCCGGAGGAGAGTCAGTAGCGACCTTCCTAGCCGCTACTACCTATTACATCCTTAAAAGCCCATCCGTGCATGCGGAGCTGTGCAAGGAAACCTGCGCCAGCTTCGACAATCTATCTGATATCAACGCCACGGCTGCGCAGCAGCTACCGTACCTCCAAGCCGTCATCTCAGAGAGTCTACGCATCTACCCGTCTGCATCCCAGGGCTTTCCGCGTCTGAGTCCCGGGGCGGAAATCGGTGGCGTGTATATTCCCCGTGGGGTAAGCTAAATAAGTTTATTCTGTCACTGCTGGCCCAAGGATAGGAGTTATATGTATGCTAATATTCGATCTCCTCAGACGGAAGTCTACACCAGCGCCTGGACAGTCACCCACGATCCACGATACTTCCACGACCCTTATGTCTTCAAGCCCTCACGCTGGCTCGATCCCGCTTGCACTGATCTTAAAGAAGCTAGCCAGCCGTTTTCCCTTGGTCCGCGTGGCTGTCTAGGTCAGAAGTAAGTTTCTACTCTATTGGATACCTTTCTTCACTTAAGTATTTTGATGGTAAATGTTTACTAATCGACATTGCAGTTTTGCATACGTGGAAATGTGTAGTATTCTTGCTAAATTGTTTTATACCTTTGATCTGGAATTGCTGGACTCCGGACTAGATTGGGAAAAGGAGAGTAGGATGCACGTTATGTGGTGGAAGCCGTCGCTTCCTGTAAGGTTCCGAGCTAGGGAAAAGGTTTCAACCAAGGAAATGTGAGCAGAACGATAGCTCTAGTGATATTTGTGCCTGCAGACAAACAGCCTCCAGAGCCAGATAGCCACACAATTTCATAGGAATCTACAGATTATTCGATTACTTCTGACTGGTATAACGCTGCATTCGCATTCTCCAAGAGAGGCACAGCAACTCTCACACTATATATATGTCTGTGACATTGAACACAAGGAACTAAAATTGATATAACTACTGCTATATGATCTAGCATAACTATCCTACAACCTTAAATAGTATGTTAGTGCATCGTCTTGGCGCATCCTTTCAAACTCACCCTAATCCTAATATGGACTGGGGATCTGTTGCAGATCATAAGTTTACCCCTGAATCCCGATCTGAGATTGTGCGACTCTGTTACACCCGCCGATGCACACTAAGCATGTGATCGGTTACAAGATTCAGAGTGGGCTCTATTAGGGTTCGGGAAGCGGGAAGCACGGTTAGTAGATTTGGGTTTGATACTGCTCCACCGAGAGATTTGTAGCACAGGGCAGAGGTAGCTGTGTTACAATTCCTACCATCCTTGCAAGCTTCTGAGATATGATATGACGGAATAAACTAGTTAGTTAGGTAACGAACTAGTGAGTTATGATGAGTTATGAGTCATTATGAGTGGCCAGTGAAGATCGCCTGTGATTGGTCAGACAAGTATAGTAGGAGAAGTATACTTCATGTTCACTATCCTCTTGGAGTAACTTCTGAAGCACTAAATAGTGTCACTGTGACAAGCCTGTGTTTTGAGGGCTATACCATCGGAATGTCAGACCAAGGCGCAGACCTGAGCGCGGGCTCTTCCTCCCCTGTGACGCCTAGTCTGCAGTTAAAAGAACCCGAGAAAGAGATTCTCCAGCGCCAAATACACACTCCAAAGTGCCATATGAGTCGCCTAGGCCTTTTATATACATGTGCAACAACCTATGAACTACTTGTCCTGGCCATCAGCTCAATTGCAGCGATAATTGGATAGATGGGATAAATCTTCTATTTGCAGCTGGAAAGACGACCGCCATCGTTGGTGCTTCTGGCTGTGGGAAAAGTACATTGGCGGGTCTGATTGAGAGGTTTTATGAACCAATAAGTGGCGAGATATGTGAGGCTTTTTCTTGTGAAGAATGAACCGTGCTAATGAGATCACCATAGTGCTCGATGGCCACGATATCACGTCTCTAAATTTACAATGGTTACGCCAACAAGTCGCGATCGTTACGCAACAGCTCACTCTCTTTGCCACGACAGTATTCGAAAATATCAGGTTTGGTCTGATAGGTACTGGACACGAAAACTCCCTTCACGCTGTAATAGAAAAGCTTGTGTTTGACCCCGCAAAGAAAGCGAACTGTTTTGAATTTATCTCCGCCTTGCCGGATGGATTCGATACTGATGTTGGCGAAAGAGGCTCATTACTTTCAGGTGGACAAAAACAGCGAGTGGCCATTGCACGGGCTATTATCAGCAATCCAAAGGTCTTGCTACTGGATGAGGCTACTTCAGCTCTAGATGCCCAGGCCGAGCGGTTGGTACAGGCGGCGCTTGATGTTGCTGCGGAAGGCCGGACAACAATCACAATCAGTCACCGGTATGTGTTCGATTAGTGTTAGAGACAGAAATTGACTATTATTCAGATTATCTACTATCACTGAGGCAGAAAATATTGTTGTTATGTCTCACGGACGTGTTGTCGAGCCAGGAACCCACAACGACCTACTTGAGAAACGATCGATGTATTACGAGTTAGTGGAGAAGCAGCGCATGTCGACCGAAAGGAGTATCGTAATCAGCGACGCAAAGTCTGCCCTCGAAGCAGACCCTGAGCTTCTGACCTAAAAGACGAGGGCAAAGAGTCTAAAATATATACGTACGAGGTAGAGCAGCACCCGGGGAACCGAAGACCGCGGGAGAGATTCCGAGCAAGAGACCGACTACAAATACTCCTTATGGGAGCTGATCAAGTTTGTCGCCAACTTCAACAAGGAAGAAACGCTAACCATGGTCTGGGGTCTGTTATTTTCAATCATCACAGGCGCTGGAAATCCCACGCTAGACTCTATTCCCACGCTGTGCAGAATATCGATACTGACCATTCCGTAGACAGGCCGTGTTCTACGGCAAGAAAATCGCGGCAATGTCGTTGCCGCCTGATATGCATGAAAAGCTACGTCATAATGTCAACTTCTGGAGTGTGATGTATCTGATGCTGGGCTGTACTGCATTCTTGGGCTGGGGAGCATCGGGTCTCTGTTTTGCCTACTGCTCCGAGTGCTCTATCAGGATATTTCCATGTTCGACAAAGCCAAGTTCTCAGCCGGTTCACTTACATCCTCGTTGTCCACGGATGCTACCAACCTTGCCGGAATGAGTGGTGTGATTTTAGGCTCCATCTTCATTGTCTCAACGACTTTGATTGCTGGCGTGGCTGTATCGATTGCGATAGGTTGGAAGCTGGGACTGGTTTGTACCGCAACCATTCCAGTTGTTCTTACTTGTGGTCTCGTCCGACTCAAGATCCTCGGGGAAATGGCTCGATAGTCGAAGGCGGCATATACAGCTTCAGGAACTTATGCATGTGAGGCAAGTTCTGCCATCAAGACGGTTGCATCGCTAAATCTTGAAAGCCATGCACAGCGAGAGTATCACAACATATTGGAAGCTCAGCGACAGAAATCGGTGGTTTCAACACTCAAGTCATCAGCGCTCTATGCAGCCTCACAGTCGGCCAATTTTCTATGTATCGCGCTGGCTTTCTGGTATGGAGGAAGTCTCATAATCCATGAAGGCTATTCTATGGTGCAGTTCTTCATCGCTTATGCGGCTATCGTCGTAGGCGCATTCAGCGCCGGGGCTATTTTCTCCTTCGCGCCTGATATGAGCAAGTCTCGCCAGGGGGCCCAGGATATTAAAACGTTATTGGACCGGCCTGTCAATATTGACGCCCGCCAGGAAACCGGCGAGCTGTTAACGAATATGGAAGGCAGCTTGGAGTTGCGAAATATTTATTTCCGATACCCCAACAGACCGGAGAGGGTGGTTATTAGCGGCTTGAGCTTGAGTATTCAACCGGGCCAATACACAGGTCTAGTGGGAGCGAGTGGATGTGGGAAGAGCACCATCATTGCTTTGCTGGAGCGGTTCTTTGATCCTGAAGCGGGTCAAACATTGGTTGATGGGAAAGACATTTCTAGATTGAATCTCAAGAGCTACAGGAGCCACCTTGCTCTGGTTATTCAAGAGCCGACGCTATACCAAGGAACCATTAGGGAGAATATCACCCTGGGAACCAACGACGAGGATGGTTCCGAGGAGAAAATCATCAAAGCATGCAAGGATGCCAATATCTACGACTTCATCTCATCTCTACCGTAAGCCACCCCTTTCCCTTGCACCCTCCGGCTCTGCTTTTCTATTTCTGACCTAAAGTAAATATCTACTAACGCCCAGCTCAGTGACGGCTTCTCGACGGTGATAGGAGCGAGGGGCGGCATGCTCTCTGGCGGACAGCAACAACAAATAGCCATTGCGCGAGCGCTTCTTCGTGATCCACGTATCCTCCTCCTAGATGAGGCGACTTCCGCGCTCGATTCGGAGTCTGAAAAGGTCGTCCAGGATGCACTGAATGCGGCGGCTCAAGGCCGAACGACGGTCGCCGTTGCGCATCGGATAAGCACGGTACAGAAGGCCGATTGTATTTACGGTAAGAAACAAATATCGATTCTGTTTACAATGCAGAGACTAACTTACGCTTATAGTGTTGCATGAAGGTAACATTGTGGAACAGGGGACGCAATTAGAGTCAATGGAGCTAGGGGGGAGATATTTTGAGTTGGTGAAGTTGTAGAGCTTGGAGAGGTCGGACTAGAGAACGAGAATGTTACGTGCTAGATCAGTTCAGAGAATGAGTGCATTTTCGACCAAATACTAAGTACAAGGAGAGAAAGGAAAACTATTTGCTCTGCCTGCAAACTATGCAAATGATACTTCTCATTTACGTTCGAGGAAGGCGCGACTTCCTCGACGAGTGGAAGGTACAGACATCGGAAGTGCGTTTGGATTGCATGTTCTTAGATCGTCACAGAGACTGTGATCTAAGAATGCGTACAAAGTAATAAGGAGAATAATTTATCTCCCATATGCCATTGACCTGGCGCCGAGGATAAAAATGGTCGTGTATAGCTCCAGGGTCAATGATATCTGTGTATTTTGTCGTGGGCCATTCTTGTTGGAGATATTTGGTGATCAAAGAAAAGATGTCCAGAGAAATAACACAATGGGATGGGTAGAACTTGCAACTCGTGAAACCAGAGACTTCTTAATAACCTGGCTCGATGTCTTTTGTGTGATTCGTTTCTTTCGGTCTGCTTCTTCTTCCTCGCTGGGCCCAAATATGATAGCTGTCCGTTTTCGTACTTTTCGTACAGGGATTGCTGAGCTCTATCACTCTCCGGCATCGACCACACCAAATAAGACGGTCCTGTCGTTTGAATAGCTTTCGCAGTCGCGGACCCTCGGCAACCTAAGGTTGTCAGGGATGGCTAGCACGGCTTGGGCGATGAGGCGTCTGAGGATCGCGTCAATCGGATAGACGAGGGAGTGGTATCAGCAGTCATCACAGGAATGTATGAAACATGACCACTAGATGACTGGCTCGAAGCTGCCAGATTGTGATCATATGCGTTTGCTCCTTATCCCATTCCATGTGACCGACAGAGAAAAGCACCACAATTTCATAGACAATATGCCATCGTTGGCACAGACGCCCATTTTTTTAACGTTGATGGGCATTTTCCTTCGGGACCTTGACCTTCTTGGCCTTATCAAGTGTAATCCAGACACGTTCCGCCAAATCATGCAATAGCATCTGGGATGTCAACACGAAATCCGCTCCGCCTTGTCCTAGTGTGTCTAGTAAGATGTCGTAGAATGAATGGTAGGGTTATACCGTTCCCTTCAACCGTAGGACTAGCGCCATATTTCCCTCTCTTGAGAAAATTTTCTGGGCCACTCGAGGTAGAGATTGAGTTGACTGGCCAATGTGAACCCCAACCATTTTTTGAGGCAATCTTTCTCTGGACTCACAAGAAAAAAGAGAGAGTGAGAAAAAAATAACAACATAAAATCGACCCAAAAAAGAGTCCACTCTCATTTCGCTCTCACTCTCACTTCATTTCTTTTTCACTTGATTCCCGGGTGTATTTGTCGCTCCTAGCTCGAGACGAGGGTTGACGTAGATAGAGCATATTTGCTTCATTATTTCGATTCTTTTCTTCGGCGTCTGATCTGCGTCACCTGAGCCACCTCTAGACTCTAGCGACTGCACGTCCTTCATCTCCATATCATGCCTAGGCACTGTTCCACGTCCTCCAAGCTCATTTCTGAAATCCGGACGCTCTTGTCTTGTTTGCTCTTGTCCTCTAGTTTGTCGGTTGTTTTCTCGAGCGCATGTCGGTCGATTCGGTTGCCCACGAACATCCTCACTGAGGCTTTGAGCTGGAAGAAGAGCTCTTTAGCCACAATCTCTAGGGCAATGATATTTTTGCTGGCGGCACCCTCCGCACTCTCCGCACCCTCGGGTACTCCGGCCCATCCTGGCGATAATGTAGTTGATCGAGTGCGGCAGAAGAGCTGGTAGTAGTGTGGCGAGAGTGTGGTTGATATAGCGTGGGAGGGTATGAAGCAGTGAAGAGGCTGGGGATGATTCAAGAGACGGTACTGTCGTTGCTCAATATGACTAGGAATCTAGAATGTAGCAGTGGCATAGCTGAGATTGATTTTAAAGGCAGTCGCGGTAGCACTAGTCAAACAGTGTAGTGCCGGTGTGGCCGTGGATCATAGCAGAGAGGTATTGCTGTGACCAGCCAAGTGATGGTGCTGTGAGAAGTAAGAGAGGAGAGTGTGATTTAGTTGAATGAAGCCTATCAAACAGGACAAACATTAGCAGGTCATTCAACATTACTTAATGAAATTGTGATGCTCTTTGCTCTTCCCTTTAAGCTCTGGTATAAATCTCAAAGCAGAGTTAATGCGTTTATCCTCAGGTGTCCTTGTTCAAAATGCTTTGGGCTCCAAATTTATGACTGTTACTGCTCACAGGTTCCCTGCCTGGCAGGGTAATTGACAAACCAATCATGGAACTCACACACACGGACGTTGCCGTGGTTAAGCTTGAAGATGGAGGCTCGGCAGCATGATAGGGTCATCTGTACTGTTATGATTCTGTTCCTCTAAAATGGCGACCGACACCCAGTTCTAGTCATCTCTTCGGAGTAGGTAAGCATATATCACAACGAACCCGAATTATGAGGGTCCAATGCCATCGATGAAACGTATGAGCAAATCGCGCCTTTTTGTAGACGCTGAAATCGACGTCACCCACCTTCTACCATCTCAAGTTGATAGTTTATTTAAGCTTGTCTTCGATTTCTTTACGAAAACTCAAATCTCTTGGGTATTATATTCTTCGGATGACCAGCTTACAGCCGCTGTCGCTTCCTCGTACATCGATCTTCCAAGAAACTCCACTCCTCAGACGGCAATATGTGTTTCGCTTGGCGGCTTATATTTCGGTCCAGCAAGCACGACGATCTGTCTCCTTCCAATATCCGACATAGTCCAATACGCACAGTCTTGCAAGTTCCATCATCCATCTTAGCATAAAAAAGTAGGAAAGTTTGAGCCACGGGGTAACACTCTAACATCCCTCTGTACTCCATTAGGATTATGATACGGGGCGGATTCGTAGGTCTTGTGTCTGCGTTGGTAGTATCCATCAATCTGCCCACTTAGCTATAAGCATTGACAGTGAATCGTGACCAAGGGTGGAAACATACCCTTGTAAAGAAAGGGAAGCCATGATGTCCAGTTATATTCGCTGGCGGTTCCTTCAGGAGAAGATATCAAGCTGTAGAACTCCGAGGTGAAGGATAAGACCGGCCACTTAGAACGGGTTGAATCTTAATGGTCGAAGGTGTATTGTATGCCAGTGATCGAGGGTATGTGGATCGTTCGAAAGTGTCTACCTCCGCGGCTATCTCCTGCCCCGGTGTGACGTTCTCACTCCCCAAGAAAGACTCGATGGAGGTATTGCGATAGCAGGTCGAGAATATAGACTTGGTAAGAAGGAGACACTCAAAGAATTTGACGAGAAAGCTCATGGAATCTGAACCCAATGTGAACTGCCTTGTTGATGGCGATAGGTAACTCTGGATTTTGTAGAATTCGCAGACGCAGCACAACACGGTAATGGAATGTCCGCGGCAAAGAGGCTGCTATTAGTACGCACGATCAATATCCCTGGATTGTACTAATGTCCTGCATGTTACCGCAGCTATCGTAATTAGCTATGGTTCTCCAGACTCAGGGCTTGCCGCTGCGTGGTTGTTGTTATCTGCGTGAGGCCGGCCAGATGGATTTGCTTTTTTATGGCGGTCAAAGCGGGATTTTGATACAGACTTTGGGCGATGTATCCAGAGTCTAGATTCCGGAGGCTAAATCTCCATCTGGTGATCCAAAGATCTGACAGGCCACACGGCTCACCACATACACTATTGAATTCGTGGCGGACACGGTAGAATCCCAACACAGTCTACAGCCTACATTTTAAGCGGACACACTTTGTTTCCCGGCCTGCCTAATAGAAACCTGGGTACTGTTTACTCCCTACCCCTATCAACGCATTGTCTCCCATCAACTCGTGTATATACTTGTGTATATGTTTGAGGAAGGGCCGCTTGTTGACAACGGTATCACGATGGTAATACGTACTACAAAATCAATCAAGACCCCAGAGGTCCGAGAAGATCATCTCAGGTCGGAAAGGTAATAGAGTTGACAGCCGTTATGAGAGTTTTCATGTCTGTTATAGGGTTTCGCGTTGGGCAGCCATGCCTACGGATAAAGGATCATCCGTTCCTGCCAATTTCTCGACAATTCTAGGTCATGTGATCTCATTCCGCAACCAACACTCGACCATTGGGTGTTTAAACACCAAGTAGTTAACTAGTTACTCCGTATATAGTTGACTACTGCCATAATCACATACCTAATGCCAGGACCTCCGCTTATGAAATTATCCAGCTCCAGTTGTTGCCTTAGGAACCACTTTAGCTGTCTCAGCAAATCCCGAGGACTGCAAGGGTCACATCTCAACAGAACAAAGGCAGACCCACGTCAAACATGGCATACCAAGTAGGCTTATTTATCGTGGGTGATACCAGTTCTAACGAGCCTAGAAAGCAATCGGATTGCTTCAACAGTGCCGGCGGCCATTCCCCGATTCGTCGGCGACGCTATCGTCGTCGCCAAGTGTCAATGCTTCTACCTTGAAAGGGTCAGAACCTCTCCTTGGTATGAGAGACTGGCTACTAACCCTTGGGCATGATGTATGTGCGATATTTTCGTCACTTGGAATTCACTAACGGATACTAGTCCGAAAATATTAATCGCTTGAATGTCATTCATGTCGCCGGCACAAAAGGCAAAGGTAGCACATGCGCCTATGTGGACTGCTTCTTGCGTGAGCATGCGAAAAGAAATGGACTTACGCGGAAGATCGGTCTGTACACATCGCCTAGTCTGTGGCCTCGGAATAGAATCCGAATTGATTCGAATCCATTACCAGTGGATCTCTTCGCCAGGCGTTTCTTTGAAGTATACAGGGGCCTGTCTCTCAACTCTGACGCGTTGCCAACCGATACCAAGACCCCTGGGTTTCTCCAGATGTTGGCCATCTTGGCGTTCCACACGTTCATTGAAGAAGGCGTCGACGTTGTTATCTGCGAGACCCACCATGGTGGTCAGTTCGACGCAACAAATTTCGTTGATCGTCCTGCCATCACTGCCATAACGAAGATTGGCATGGACCACGTTGAAAACCTAGGAAGGACCTTGAAGCATATTGCATGGCATAAAAGTGGAATCTTTAAAAAGGGGGTTCTTTCACTCTCAGTTTCGCAGGATCAAGAGGTAGAAAGCGAGATTGAGCGCCGGGCTTTAGAAATGGGCTCATCACTCCAATTCATCAGAGATGTTAAGGGGACGTTGCTTGAATTCGTTAAAGACGTTCACATTGAAGACCTGCCACTTGAACAGCTAGAAAACTGCGCGCTGGCTATACAAATTGCTCATAGGTTTCTCTACCTATGTGATCACTCGCTCGATGGACAGGATGTCCTAGCTGGTATTGAGAAGTGCCGCTGGCCAGGACGCTTCGACATTATCGATTACAGTGGCTGCACGTGGTATTTAGACGGAGCACACAACGAGACAAGTATGGCAGTAGTCGCAAAATGGTATAACCGGGTGGCCAGTACGAGGTAAGTTCCCTTTGGAATTACCAGTGAGTAATCTAACAATGGCCTGGACTAGCAGCTCTGTCCGAGTTCTTATCTTTGCTCATTTTTCGCCGAAGCGAACGCGTGACTGGAAAGATATACTAAAAACGTTAGGGAACTCTCTACAAATGCAAATTCAGCATGTTATATTCGTCGAAAAGATTGAATATGACGATCATTTTGCCACTCCGAGTGGATGGCCGGAAGAATATGCCCAGTTCTGGAGGGAGCATTGGCCTACAAAGACCATTTATATGGCACATAATGTCAGAAATGGCATTGATCATGCCAAGATGATTGGTATAGGAGGACAGATCTTGGTGACAGGAAGCCTATACTTGGTAGAAGCCGCCCTGGGGATAGTCAAGAATGAGCCTTGCTAGAATCAGCTTGTGCCCTGTCATCGAGGACTCCCGAATGATAGATGATCACCTTTATCATTCTCTTGATAGCGCTATCTTCAAACTCACTCTCTAGATCTTGAGAGAAAGATCAAAAGCGTCATAGTCCATTTCAGTCTCATGCTGTAATAGCAGGCCTCTCAATTCTGAGATGGACGCTAACTTCTCTAACCATTCTTTCATTGCGCAGACAACTATACCGAGCTGATCGTCCCAGCTCGGGCGCTGACCCCAACGACAGCTCCCGAACAGCGTGGAAAGCAATTCGACGACATCCTAGGGATGCTTGCAAACATGAGGGAGCTTTTCTCCGCGATCCAACGCGGCTAGGGGAACAGAATGCAGGGACATGGGGGATTTTCATGGCTCAATCATCCTATTGCTTCTCGGTGTCTACGGTTTCGTCAATAGAGTGACTACCCATTCACCATTTGACCAAGCACTATGTGATTTTGCTTTAGGTCAAGTTCTCTCCGTAGCATTTCCACGCCGAAATCATCATTCTCGAATTCCGCAGTGCTGGCACACTCCGGCAGTAGGCCCCGTTTGTTTGTGAGTAGATCTCCCTTGAAGGCACAGAAATAAAAGTCAATTATCACTGCCATATGGCCCTCTCGATCTGTAAAATAACGTGTCTGTGGATATCGTTGTGATATGGTGGAGACGCACGTGACTTCGAGCTATCACAATCAGTCTTCACGTGACAATGACATAACCGCATTCCCATTTAGGGAAGAAAGCAACTTCAAGCGCTCATATCGACAACACAACATCTTCCATTCAATCATCCTTAGCATCCATCACAGACAGTCAAAATGGCTGATGTAGGTGGCTGGAGCACCATCGAGTCAGACGAGGTACCATCAACCCCACGATCCATCCAAAGCAGCATAGTAACCCAAGCTAGGGTCTCTTCACCTCTCTGATCGAAACACTTGGAGTAAAAGACACGCAATTCGAAGAGCTCATATCTCTAGACGCAGACACGATACGGGCACTAGGGTAAGCAACACAAACCTCCCAAACCTCCCAAGCCCCGCAATTTCAATAAAATACTCCACAACCAAAACCAGTCCACAAAGCTAACCCCAAACAGCACAGTCTACGGCGTAATCTTCCTCTTCAAATGGACGCGTGAAGCCGCCGGCGCACGCGCCGAAGCCCCCCTAGACGGAACCTACGACCCTGCCGCAACAGACAAGCTCTTCTTCGCGGCGCAGACGATCCAAAACGCCTGCGGCACGCAAGCGATCCTCTCCGTAATCCTCAACCACGACGACCCAGCATCGCCACAGCCAGCAATCGAGCTCGGCAACGAGCTGCGCTCCTTCAAAGACTTCACAACGGGGTTCCCGCCCGAGCTGCGCGGCGAGGCGCTGTCAAACTCGGAAGCCATCCGCAGCGCGCACAATAGCTTTGCGCGCGCGAGCCCGTTCGCCGACGAGACGGCGCGTCCGCAGGACGACGAGAAGGGTGCGGACGTTTATCACTTCATTGCGTATACACCGGTTAATGGGACGTTGTATGAGTTGGATGGGCTGCAGCCGCATCCTATTAGCCATGGTCCGTGCGGCGCGGCTGAGTTTCCCGAGAGGGTTATTGAGGTTCTGCAGAGGCGGATTGCGCGCTACCCGCCTGACGAAACACATTTTAATCTTATGGCTGTTGTGCGGGATCCGCGTGGGAGGGCGAGGGACATTGGGGATGTGGAGACGCTGGAGAGGGAGGAGAGGAAGAGGGCGGCATGGCAGTGGGAGAATACGCTCAGACGGTGTAATTTTGTTGGGTTTATTGGGGAGGTTTTGAAGGGGGTTGTCGGGGTTAAGGAGAAGGATCCGGAGGGGAAGGCTTATGGGGAGTGGGTTGAGGGTGCGAAGAAGGAGACGCGGAAGAAGCTTGAGATGCGGAGGTAGGGTTGGATGTTGGCTGCTTATCTACAATGGCATTTCAGATACCCTGGAGATGATTGGAAATGATATAAGACAAGATATGGTATTCGATGATGATGTTGAAACCCCAACGCTATTGTGTAGTAGATACATGTAGGTGTGATAAGTCACCGATAGACGCAGTGCTATGTACTGGCGTCCACTCTGTAATTCATAATATGAACAAGTCTCCGTCAAGATTATCGTATATTCTCCTCCTAGTATGTGACAAGCCGCGACTTTATGTGCTCCAGTAGAGGCGCGGGCAGTTCCTCTGGTTTGATCAGATTTAGTGACAGCAGATCACCCCAGAAGAACATGACTCGGTCCTGTGCGTAAGCCAGGTAGTCAAAGTCTCCGTCATCTTCTTCTTCGATATCGACCGCAGGTGGCGTCTTAGTGTCATCGTCATTGCCGTCGCTTGGCCCGTTGCGAGCAGCAAGCATCTCGGCAATACCTTCTTCCATGCCAGGCACCTTGGCCTGGACGATACCCCAAGCTACCCACTGCGCGGAGTTCATCGCCCGCCACATTCGGGTCTGCTTCATGAGGAATCGTACCTCGGCGTCGAGTTCAGCCTCTTTCGACTGCTCATTTTGGGAAAGCCGAGAGCTGGGTCTGTCCGAACCCTCGTCCAAGTCCAACGGTGCGAGCGCAACAGGAGGGCGAGCGCGAATGGTCGGCGAGGATAGAGGTGAAATAAGTGCGCCGGAACTGGAAGGTCGGTGGGTGAGGTAGGTCGACACGAAATGGTACTGCTCCTCTGACGTTGGGTAGTTGCGGTTGTTGCAAGCCCATGAGCGCTCTTCGTCGTGGTAATTGTAACACCACTCGGTCTGTTGTGGTTAGCATCCATTTGGATTAGTAGTTGGGTTAGACTTACAAAGTGGTTGGCGAACTCGAGTCCAGGTGTATTGGCCGAAGAGTACTCAAAGTCGATGACGATCAGCTGTTTATGTTCATTTGCAGGCAAAAGCAGCGGTGACTCTGTGGCCGGCTCCATGCGAAGTAGATTGCCATATTGAGTCTAAACAAGTCAGTAAAATTCCCAGGAAGGTGCACTTGGAAGAGATGAACTTACATCATTATGCGCAAACACTAGCTGTCGCTTGATCTCGGCCATTCCACCAGAGCTGTTAACCAGCCAAAGTCGGTAGTTATCCACGGCTCTGCGGAACACGTCCCACGTTACGCCGCAGACATAGCCGCGGCGACGCCATGGTTCCGATGCAGCTTTGGCCTCGTTTTGAGGGGATTCGATTTCTTTATCCAGCCAGTTCATCACTTGCTCGCAACGGTCCACCCATTTATCCCAGTTCTTGAAGATCATAGGTCCGCCTTCGCGTTCTTCTTCAAGAAGTTCAACGCCATCATGCAATTCTCTCATCCGCTTGGCAACCTGCCTTGCCGTTTCGGGCATCCGCAGCTCCTTGGGAGTGAGTGGGCGAGCCTCAAAGTACTCTTCGAACCGGCCATTAGTGAAGGTTCCGAGAATGCGTGGGCCAATATTCTTCTTTCCGAGACGACGAAGAATTTGCAGCTCATTCTCTCGGTCGATTAGATGATCGACTTGAGGACCGTAGATACGCAAGAGAAGCTTCCTGTAATCCAATTAGATGTGTCTCCAAGCGAGGGGGGGAATTCGTTGCTTACGGTGGGCGCTTCCTTGAAACCAGACTGTTGCTATCGGTCTTTGAAGGAGGCAGATTCTTGGGCGGCGCAACTACATACACGGCGTTCGTGAGGGCACCGCTGAGCCTGACCACTTCAATCTCTGACGCCAAATCCGCGGGAACCCTGCGCCAGCCCTTCAGCTGCAGAGTGTGTACAAGACGTACGATCTCGGACTTGAAAACCACCCAAGCCTCGGCATCCTTTCCTTGTTTCACACTCGCGCTGGAGTCGGTGTTCTCTTCTACTGCAGTGCCACCGGTGTACGCAAGCGTCTTTGTATTATCCAGGGAAGCTTCCACGCTTGGCGGGGCCCCGTCAGCATCTGTGAGTTCAGACTCGGAGGCCGAGCCTCTTCTCAGGCCTCTAAGACGATGCCGAGACTGCCGTTTGACAGGTTGTCTGTGGGAGCCCAGTGCACTTCTAGGTCGGGCAGTCGCATATTGGAGGAGGATTCTTTCCAGTTTATCCAGGGAAAAGGTGTTCTCCGAGGTGTTCGAGGTGTTCGAGGTGTTCGAGCTAGGTCTTTCTAAAACGGCGTTCTCTTCGGTTGACTCGTTCTCGTTTGTCGCATGGGAGGTTGCTTCGGCTTTGCGTGCTTTACGATTCTGTCGTCTGGCTTTCTCATGGTGCAGCCATTCGTGTACTTGCTGGAATAGACCCTGGGAATCTTCCTCGGATCTGGGGTGTTCTTGGTCCTCGCGAAGTATGAGAGTCGAAAGATCATCCAGAGAAGGCATGGTGAATAGTTGCGTAATGGGCTTTGGGGCAATTCTGTCTGGCGGGGAGCCGACAACGGTTCCACTTGCGTGCAAGCCTTGGTCAAACTGATATCCGAGCCGTAGATGAATCTGTTGGGAATTAGTATGGTTAGGATTAAAGAAGGCCAATGGTTCGAGTGCTGCTGGAGCGAGAGTCGAGTCGAATTACAAAAAAGGGGGCAAGGTGTACTTGAAAGAACACAGAGCGATACGGTGGGATTCCTTATCTACACGAGAGTCGCACACGGAACGTGCGAGAAAGGGGACGGGAGCCCTACCTGTGAGTTGAGAATGGTATGTGCACGTGTAAGCCAAGACACGGAGGCTCAATGGCTTATCTTTGGCGCACGCGACCAGTTGCGAAATCGGATTCTAGCCGACAAGTGTCCAGTCGAAATGGTTCAGGGGAGAGGTGGGGGAAATTAATTGGACCCCTTAAAACCACGGGTGGACAAGCGAACGGAGACGTCAAGTCAATCGGATGCGGTCCCTGGAATGCTACCACAGATCCAAAGTGACGAAACCTGGGGAATTCAATGTTAAAAAGTACAGCGTCAACGGAGACCAGAACGAAAGAAAATGCCGTGTCTAATCCCTGATGGTGGGGGAATATGTACAACATAAAAAAAAAGCGGCGAAAAAAACTGGATGCTTATCGCTCAGGTGACTGTTTGGTGCCTGGATAATCAGGCAGACAACCTGTTTCCATCTGTCTCGGGATATCCGGACTGAAGGGAACCGGTTGGAAACAGCAATGATTGATGTCGATGACAATGAAGACACGTTTATCCCATACGTCAATAGCAAGAAACAGAATCCGCGGATCATTTTCCTAATCAGGGAACACCTTACAAAGCCATCCTTATTCAAAGTCGTCCTCTGCCGTCGACCTTCTGGACCTCTATCTGTGTCTGCGGGAGTGCCACACGATCAAGTCGGCCCGCAAAATACGCTTGGAATATGAGCGTCGCTTGCTGCAAGACTCGAGCGGATGATTGGTGAGAGGAAATGAAAAGTTTTAACCGTGCTGCAATCATTAAGAACTGCTGCCGTGGGGTCATCGTCAGGCTTTTGTGTCTATACACCAGGGTGTTCTCGGAACACTACAGAATAGTGACAGACCCTCGTATCAGATAAGTGAGCTACAATGACACCTTGCAGGAAATTAAACAAACTATCTTCATCTGGCCAAATGCTTGGCTATCGTATAATAGTAAAAGAACATGGTCTGAGTCCTGACCGGTCTTCAACTAGAGTAGGTGTGGGGCGGGCATTCCCTACAGGCTACACCTTACCAATGTACATTTTAGGGAATAAGATCATTCCCCATTTGCTTTTACGTAGATCAGGGGCTACCATCACTGGGTAACATAGCCTTACGGTCGTGGTTAAGACCCGTCTTGGACTTTGTTTTTCTTTTCTTTTTTTCCGATAAGCTTTCTATAACCTAGGGCTATTCCTGGATTCTTACCTTCAGAGACTGTCTCTTATCGTAGCTGTACTTCCTGTATAGCAATAATGAGACAAATTGATCGAATTGGTTAGTTGGATTATCTTTGATACTTAATACTGGCATTTTTCCTTTCTAAGCGGGTGGCTTGGATAGAACTCCGGCTCAGTAAGTTCAGTACAGAGACCAGAGAGATTCTCAAAGAGTATCTGTTCTTTCTTCTGCGAGTTGAGTCAATATTGGGCAAATTACGAAGAATACGTTATCAGATAAGTGACATCCTCTTGCAGCATTCTGCAGTAGTTTAGTTACCTAACTACATGTATCTGTCGACGTCAACATTATCCTTACATCAGCGCTGCTCGGAGGTTGACTTCTAAGGTCAACGATCTGAATATCTTCACGACACCATATCCAACACGACTCAAAGCTCGACAGGCTAGCCCAAATACCAACTTCATAATGGACAAACCACAGGATACGGAAGGCACGATTGGAGGGACACGAACGTCGACTCTCGCCCAGGTTTGTCCACAATCCTCTGGCCCTTTTCCCCTCCAGACACATGGTCTAACATGATTCGATCCGATCGATTCTAGGCAATTTAACCCCTCCCTATTTGTTACTCCTCTTTCATCCCTTCTGCCTTTCCTTCTTTCATCAATACTCCTCCGTCCTCAACTTCCTCACTTCATCAACTCTCATCCGCCGCATGGTGCACCAGTCGTGCGTGCATCGCTTCACCAGCCTCCGCACTGTCACTACTGCACAACATCTCAGGTGCAAATCGTCGACCGCTGGTATCGTATATCAAGCATATGATACTGTTGAGTCCGGGTGGGCAGCCTCTCGATCTGGCACTCAAGGAAATGAGGTAAGACTCCTTAATAGCCAAGATGAAAGAGTCGCTCTCACAGATATACCGCCTTTTTGTTGTCCATAAGGACCCAATGCCGCGGAATTAGTTCTACAATCCAGAAAGTCTTTTTTGACTTCGAAATGGCTGAAATCCTTAGTTTGCGGCCGATTCTGGGAGCAATCTCACCAAATCGCAAACGAAAATGGATATCCCGTGATGGGCTTGATAAAGCGCTGTCCGAGACAAGGTTTGCGAGAGTAATAAACAGGGCAGTGCAGGATCGCTGACAAATCCCTAAGCTGAGACGCGATAATCTTCAGAATCCAGATTTTGGGTCCTCAATCTGATCACAATTCGTCTTGTAATGTCATTTTCGAAGATCTCTTTCCGTATATCGGAAATGCTGGCTATGAACACCATATGGCCACGGATTTGGTGTTTGCACCGAGGGTATTTGGATGTGTTCAAAATAGAAATCTTTGGTAGAAAACTCGAGATGGATAAAAGGCTGTGGGTGAATGATGAATGCAGGTTGCAAGCCCATCCCTTGTTATATATGGCTCTGTTACACTAGTCCCCAAACGGCAGTATCATCATCGCTGATATAGAAGCGTTGGAGACGACCTCCACTGAAGGATCCGTACTATGGCCCTAGTCTGAGTTGATGTTATATATCCCGCTTTCAGGGAATCGAAACCGGGTAGCTACATGATGTTGGGATTCTCTCATTACACTACATAATTTGGTATATTAAGACAACAATGATATGGAAAGAAATAGATATTGACTCCCATTATCTTCAAGGTATTTCCAGCGGGAGTTCTCAGACGAAACAGAACTCGTCATCCTTCTCCAAGATTTGGCCTCCAAGAAATTCAGTAGAGCAGTGAGCATGTGAACTCAGAGAGCTCGGTAGCCCTTCACATCATTTATAACGGTTGCTCATCAAGGTTGCGGGGATTGGCATGCATGATAATTGAGTGGTGGTCTTCTAGGAGAGGCGTTTCGGCATCCCAACCATGGACGTTGTACCGATACATGACTTTGTCACCAAGGGGCTCATCCTCTCGAGGCCATCTGATAAGAATCCAACCACGCTTTTTCCCATGACGGAGTATGTAGACTGGGAAGACCTTTTTGATTTTGTGGGCCGTGTTGAAGTCGTAGTCAAGATGGTTAATGTCGACGACAATGTAGGTGCGGCTATGCCATACATCAACAGCGACAGGCAGAACCCGCGGGTCATCTTCCCAGCCAGGAAAAACCGCGCTGATAACTCCGTTGGCTGAGGCGCGATAGTCTTGAGAATCCAGATGCTTAGTTCTCACTTTGAACACGATTCGTTTCGCAGTGTCATTCCCCAAGATCTCATTTCGTATGTCGGAAAGGCTGCCTATGGTCGCCATGCTCCAGGCTTTGGTGTTTGCACCGAGGGATGATGTATTTTCGATGTGTTCGAATGTAGAAATCTAAAGATGGAAATGAGAACTCGAGTTAGATAAATGAGAATCATTGATGGGAAATGAAACCATGCCTAGGTGGGTTGTATTGTGTGCTTGCTGAGTATAAGAGAGAAGAAGGAAGATCAAACAAGGTAAAGTGTAGGTCCTAATAGTTTGCTGAGCTTCGCTCAGCAAAATCAACCTGAGGCAAAAACGGTCTCAACAACTACATGTCGCAAAAGCATCTTCTTATATCTGTTCTGCCCTCAACAATACTAATCCTAATACGGCAGGATAGATGCCTAAAATGCCCCTTACTTTGTCCTGTGCATGTGCAAGGGTATAGTAATTGATTGTATCGCGAGCAAATAGGAACTAAGGGAATGAATCTATGAGTGCTTCGCACATGTGCCTGCTTATACAAGTCGTCCGTGGGGCTTACACTGTTTTTCATCTTCAATGATACCATAACATAGGGGAAAATATATAACATCTGTGATATCATCTGGAAGCAGATAAATCCTTTATCGTCAAGGACAAAGGTTGACTACTCTTGTAGTAAGTTGAGTTAGTCTTCATAATCTTTGTCATCCAAGTGCATATTTAGCACAATAATAATGCAAGCGAGTGGATCTTGCCCGGGCTTCCATCACGATTATTCGGTCATGTCAACAATGGCCTGGACTTTAGTCGCTACGATCCTTCCACTTCTTCTTTTCTATCTCTGGAGAAAAATTACATATTACCGAACGGAACAATATGCCTGGTTGCCCCAGCTTCCGCCATCGCTACTATGGGGGCATTTGTCCACGCTCGACAAACTCATGAAGACAAATCGACCAAACATCCACATCGGTCGGTTAAAACCCATTTAGGAAAGGAACATAAAACTGACTGTAATTGATAGACGAAACTCTCAAAGCTATGTATGATTCTCTCGGCAAGCCGGCGCTATTTGTTGTCGATTTGCGACCAGTGAGCCATCCCATTTGCGTGATCTGCGATCATGATGTTGCAGAGCAAATATCGAAAAGCTCCAAGCTGTTTCCATACAGTCCGCCAAAGTCACACACATCTCGCTGGTATAGTGACATGATGGGCCCACTGTCGATTGTTCTTGCAGAAGTAGGTTGAAGGTCGAGGTACATCTAGACTATACTAATTGGAGTCAGAACGAAGAGTGGAAAAGCCTTCGCAAACAGTTCAACCCGGGATTTGCCCATAAGCACCTCGTTACTCTGCTGCCATGTATTCTGGACAAGACACAGCTTTTTTTGACGAAGCTCGATCATTATGCGACCACTGACGAGGAGTTCTTACTGGATGAACTATGTACGAATTTGACATTTGACATTATCGGCGCCGTCACCATGGATATTGATCTGGACGCTCAACTCGGAGAAGAGAACCAAAGTGCAATCGTTCGACTCTTCCGCAAACTAGGCTCAACCTATCGTTCCGGCCACAGCGGATGGAAATTATTACTCCCTCTCCAGAGGAAGTTGCTTTCTCGCCAACTTGGTGTGCAGATCAAAGAGCGTATCAAAGAAAAGTTTGAGGGGCAGTCAACTTCACAAAATCCGTCTCGCAGTGTCCTTGCTCTCAGTCTAGTCGAAACGCACGAGTTAACGCCCGAAGTGTTAGACCGGACTTGCGATCAACTCAAGACTTTTCTATTTGCCGGCCATGATACAACAAGCATCTTATTACAATGGACATTCTACGAGCTAGCTCGAACCCCGCATGCCTCGCGCCGTGTTTGTGTAGAACTGGACGAGATATTCGGTTCTGATTCGCACCCGACTTACGTTCGAAATCAAATCCTAGAACACGGAGAGAATGCTCTCCAAAGAATGACCTACACCTCTGCCGTTATCAAGGAAATTCTTCGTCTGTATCCACCAGCTGCGACAGCGCGATTTTCCACCCCAAACACTGGATTGAGCGTTCGATTACCGAATGGTGAAGATAAGTGTCTGGATGGGTTGATGCTATACAACTGCCAGAAGCTTATACAGCGTGATCATGCCGTGTACGGTGACAAAAGCGATGAGTTTATTCCCCAACGCTGGTTGGAAACAGGCTCTATACCGGCCAGTGCTTGGCGGCCTTTTGAGCGTGGTCCCCGCAACTGTATTGGACAAGAGCTGGCGAACATCGAAGCACTTGTGATTCTCGCATGTGCCGCACGGCGATATAATTGGGAGAAAGTAGGACTTGGGTCCACCAAGAGGGATGAGTCAGGTGCGCCAATTGAAAAAGAAAACGGACAATACGAAGTCGAGTCCGAGCTGTATAATGTAAGTACTCAGCGGACCTGCAGGTCTAGGCCTTGAGAAGTGATATGCGTTACTAACAAGTTCAGACACTGGAGATCACCTCCAAGCCAGTGGATGGAATGAGGATGCGGGTGAAATTAGCAACATAGAATCCAATAGAACAGCGTTCTATATTGGTCAGAATGCAGACTTGTAAATTTATGAAGCCTCATATGCAATACATATGTCCTGTACCGGATTTTAGGCCACGGTCGCGAATTTCCCGATAGGGGTGCCGCCGCTTTTATGAGGGCTCCTACTCACCGAGTACTTCACAGCACGGGTGATCACTGTGAGCACTTAGGATATGCTTAACTAGTAATGTAAAAACATATTGCTCAGTGAGCGCTCAGGCTTGAAAAAAGCTTACTAATCCCTAGTCCCAATCCTATCTCGGGGCAGACTTGATAAGAAAGTGTGGGGTACCTAGGTAACTCTGGAACTCCCGGCCAATCTACTTTTTATAAAGAGGCAAAACACTGCCTTGATGATCGTTGTGTCTTATAGTTTGAGAATAAGCGGCTTCAATTCGGCGCTAGGAATTAAAAAATTAAAAGTACAAACATGGAAAGGAAAAAAAAGGGAAATCATTGGGAGTTTATGCCTTGTCCTGGGGCCGATCTCTGAATGGAATGTTTTCTCGGCCAGCTCGGACCGAAATCTCGCGGAGCTCATGTGTGCGAATCAGTGATGGTCCGATCACAGGAAGTAGTGCGTCTAGTTCTACGCTTGACGAGAATCGTGCATATGCCTCCCAAGTCATGCGCACAAAGACTCCCGCAGATGCATTGGTTTCATAGGCATCTGTGATTTTCACTTTGAACTTGGCCGGCAGGTTTTCAACAACTTTTTCAAAGTCTTGGACAACCAGCTTCGGGTTTCCTTCGAGAACGAGTAGAACAAGGACGTGAGTTTCGCGGCCGGAGGGAAATTGTGATAGTGGGCGGGAATGTAATGCAGGGCCTAGGTTCGAACTTGAGGTATGACCAGAAGACGAACTTCCTGGAGAAGGAGGAGTTGAAGTAGACGTGACGTGGAAAGGTAAGACAATGGGATTCACCCCATTATGACTCGAAAATCTTGGCATGTAGCAGCCACGAGGAGTTTCATTCTGTACCGTATCAAAAATTTCATCTGTCGAGATAGATATCTTGCCAGAGTGAGAAAGTTTTCGCATGGTCCACGCAACTCGCTGTGTAAAGGATATTCCATTTACACGGGATCTCGCAAATGCCGAAGAGCCACAAGCAGCTAAGACATGGGTTGTCATCGGGTTACTCGCAATAGCAGTACCGGAATAACAACAATCTAGGATGCAGAAGGTATCCATAGGATAAGTGTGGTAACTCAATTCACGATCGATGGTGCGCCATGGAACAAATTGTTCCTTCTTGGTCGCGGTAAAAGAAAGTTCGTTAAGTTGATTGATCGTACCGTGGCCAGCGTAAAAAAAAATGAAGAGCGTTGGTTTGCAAATGCGGTGTTTGGACACAACTTCTTGATACAGGCGATCTCCTAAATCCCAGCCTGGAACGGGATCTTCGTGGTTTATGACAAATGTTTGGCTGGTAACTCCGAAAAGATCAGCCATCATATGGGAAAAGGTTTCTCCATCTTCTTGAGCACAAGTGTTGTCGTCGTCCCAATAACAAACGAAGGCCGTAATTTGGGAGTATGTTTTCCCTCTGGCCTTAACCGCCCTTTCCAGTGCAGATTTTAAATCGGGAAGAGCAATCCTTTTGGAGCTGATCCTTCTTGGAATTTTCGATGGAGCTTTTGGGGATCCGGGTGAAGTTGCAGAGTCGGGCGAGGTAGGAGGGTTAGACTGAGAAGATTCCATAGTCAAGTGACTTAACCGAGTGCCGAATAGAGGATGTGTAGAAATCGATTTGAGTATAAAGTGAAAAAAAGTAAGAAGTCCCCTTGCCTCAGATTGGCTCAAACTTGAGATAATAGAGAGGTAAATAACTAGAGAATTGAGAAATGAGTAAAGGTGAAAGATGAGTGAGAGTAAGTTAAAGGCAGAGATGTTTGTGAAAAGGAAAGAAAGGAAAGAAGAAATTCAGACCTGGGACTTGATAGAGGTAGGACAGGGTAGGACGAACCATAGTAATCAAAACTACTATGCCTTTTCTAGCAATCCTTATTGTAAGAGCCATGGAACCTCATCCGATCCGGGCCCAGTGTCGCGTGCCTGTTGAACTCTCTCACGCGGCACATTGTCACATGCTTCCACATGCTTCCATGGGGTAGACTAGTTCTCTCCCTTTCCTCCATCACTTCTTCATACAACACACATTGTAGCTTCATCTACTAACTCGTAGATCTTAATAGGTTATGAGCCCGGGGAGTTCGTTATTGGTCTGATCTCACGATCTATCAATATCCTCGGAAAATTCGCTTCTCGCCAAGTCTCGAGAATTTCCCCTTTGGGATGTGCGAATAGTTTCAGATCACTTCTCGACGATCTGTCAAGGTGCCGCAGAGATTTTTCTGCCAGGCGATACCACCCTGGGGGGTAAACCATAATCAGACGATTTTGTGGTTGTTTGCTATTTCCTAATAATAGCTAACCCGCGGAGTTTGCTTCCACTCTGCACCTTTTCTTCTTCTCTTTGGATCTGCATCTTCAAGATCATCCATCATCGCCACCACCCACAGTTTCATCATTACTGTGGTTTCTCCATCAATTTCCATCAATTTTCATCGATCTCGCTGCTCCTAGGTCATCTGGGAATAGCATCATCATCAAGTCCGGATCAGGCAAGCAACGCCTGCTGGCTGGGATCACTAACACGATCCTATCTTGAGATCTTCGCTGGTCTTATCTTTGGCCTCTGTGGCCTGGGATTTTTCGACAATCCTATCAACTGCATCCTAGAACCACTAACCGGGTTCCCTCTTTGTTTTTTTACATACCTTGACTCTCAACGTTAGCACTCATAGCTCTTGCGAGTGGGTACCAGCACTTAAGCTCCTAGGATCTATATCATCTCACCAATCACATTGTGGTGGCACGAAATGTCTGAGAACTCCTAGGAAGTCCTATCAGACTTTAGCTAGAATGAGGTATTTTCTGATTGCTAGTTAGAATATGGTAGGCAAATGAGGGGTTGCAAATTTTATTATGGGCTGCTAGATCATCCAGTAGGCATGATCGATGGGTCTAGAATATTTTTGTGGATGTCTACCGCTAGAGCTGAAGTCGTATTCCTAGGAGCAAGCGGCAGGCAGTAAGAGCGATAGTCCGTTAACTACCTCATATTTAGCAGAACGCGCTCTTTGGCAATATCCATAATTCTTATGAAGAGCGACAGCTGGGCATCTTCTGAGACATTTACTGCAGCCAAGGGCTACTGCCCAGATGTCAGATGTCATTCAAGCGGAGAAACAGACCCGTTGGGCTGAAAAGGCAAACCAATAGTCAAGGCTGTTAGGCGACTATTATCCGCATCGTCATTATAGGGGCTTTTTTCCCTGAGACATCTAAAGAGCTACTCCGTATAGACGGTGTGGATTAAACACTCAATAACTAGTAGTTAATGTATTCTGAAAATCTGTAGACAGATGTTGGTTGTCTCGTGACCACAAAGCAAGGGACAATTGCAGAGAACGAACATCCCTTAGGCAAATAAACCAACATCCTAGTATATTCATGAAAGAGGCTCAACACAGAACTGCACGCCACTATACTCGGTACCATATACGAGACTTTTGCGACTCTCCTCCCCGGACGGAGATCGGCTACGCCGATCACTCCTCACGCCAAGCAGTCGGGATTCTAATTCGAGTCGATGTGGAGAGACTGAGTGAAACATGATCACTCAGACCTCGCAGACAGGGCTTTCCGAACCCGAATCCATAATTAGCAGGTATTATGTCGTCGGTGGCACGATATTGCAGGCAAAATATTTATTTCCTATATAAGTGCCGATTCTCAGGACTCACCTTGAATATATTTCCATACAATTCTCTCTCTTCTACCATCAATCACCAAACCACCAACTCAAATCCCAAGATGAAGTTCACTGCCGCAATCATCGCTGCCCTGGCGGGAACCAGCACCGCCTTGTTCACCAAGGACCAGCGTATGCACCTCCAATCCCAATTCCGACTCTATACTCAACGTTTAAACTAACAATTCCTCAACAATAGCCTGGGGTAAACGCGACTACGCCTGCGTAAACGTCTACCAAGGCATCCCCGACAACTCAACCGTCACCGCCGGCCAAACCGTGCGCGTCCGCTTCAACCGCAAGCCCACCGGCCGCTGCCCGGACCCGTTGACTCAGTACCCCGGCGACGCCTACAACGTCTGGCTGTACAATAACCCCGTGCGCCACCTCGACACCATCTCCTTCAACCAGTCTATCCGGATCGCGAGCGGTATTAATGAGACTGCCGGTGTTGTGGATGTTACTATTCCCAAGAACTTGCCCGCCGTCGAGGATGCCTCGCTTTGGTACTTGAGAATTGGGACTTCGCTTCCGACTGCGCCGCAGGTATGTTTTCTTTCTTTTTTTGCTTTTTTTTTTGGTTTATCTCCAGGGGCTAATTGATTTTATACAGATGCCTACCTTGTTCAACGCTGCTGGGCCTTTCACGGTTATCTCTGCATAGATTATGGAATACTTCGGCTCGGTTTAGAACTTGATTGGAGAGGCGGTGTGGACAGGAGATTATTGGAAAATATGTATATTTAGTTGGGTTTCAGGCTTTTGCCTGATGAGAAGATACTATAAATAATTTCGTTCCCAGCTCGGGATGCACATGCAAGATTCCGTATCGTCATCACATCACAATCATCTAATTACGGAAAGAGACGCTGAAGACCTGGTAGCCACTAGCAGGTCTAGTCTTGCGGGTTTCAGTATCCAAGTGTCCGTGCTTGTCAATATCGATGTATTGCCCCTTCTCCACAAACTGCATGGTATAGCCAAGGCCACCACCTAGGAAGGTGAAATGCACTTGGGCTGCCTTTGCGCTGTGGCTTTTGGGAAGCAGAACACCATCGGGGCCGACCCATCGACCATCCAGTGCGCTGGAGACGGTAAATGTCTGGCTTTCCTCGTCATTGTTGTAGTGGATCACCCAACGCTGCGCTTTATTGTTGTGCTGAGGGCTTGCAGGGCTGGACACAAGGCTGTTGCCTCTGGCCGGATTCGTGAGGGCTGCTCCATTCTTCTCAAAGGTTAGGTATCGGCCCTCGGTGAGGTAGCCAACCACCTCTTTGAAACCTTCTTCAAACCACAGGGTATTGACATCCGTTGCGTTGCTCTGTTCTCCATAGGGAACATCCGGACGTGTCTGCTTGTAACGTGCCTGGCAGTTAGATGTACCGGTATACTCGCCCTTGGCGTTGGTATCCACGGTCCCGGCATCAGGGAGACTGGGGAGAGAGTAGTCTGGATTGTGCAAATCAAGCGCGTTGACTAGATTAGACATGTGCTTGCGTCTCCATTCAACCATCTGATCGGTTGTGATATTTTCGTATCCCCGTGCAGTCAACCATTCCTCAACGAAGAGAATCTGGGAGTTGTGATCTGCCCGCTCGGTGAACACACGGTTTCCGCGAGTCCAGGGGGAGATCATATAGAATGGTACCCGGAAACCAGGTCCTGTGAAGATATCCGTGAACATACCCAAGGGGTCCTGCATCCATTCTCCCGGGGTATCCTTAGGAGAATGGAAGGGGGTGACATGGTCGCCAAAGCCACCAGTCTCATCATAGCTGATCATCAGAAGGGTCGAGTTGTACTTCGGGCTACTGGTGACGGCATCGACGACCTTCTTCTGAAGCCAGCCTCCGTCCTTTGGCATGTACGGCGGGTGCTCTGACAGCTCCGCCGGCCCGACAATGAAACTAACCTCGGGTAATGTGCCGTTGGCGGCAGCTTGGTAGAAGGAATCAAGGCCCACGAACGACATACCCTTTTTAGCCAGAGAACTGTTTTGCGGGGCAGTTTGAAATTGGTCGAACCAAGCCAGAGGGTTGTCGTCAAAGTTGTTTGTGTCTTGGTAGAGTTGCCAAGAGACTCCCGCCTCTTCATAAAAGTCATAGACTGTCTTCCACTTGAGTGGGTAGCAGTTGATACCGTTGTCATCACAGCCTATAATTTGGTTAGATCAAAAATATTAACAGAAGAGAGAGCCGACGATACATACCTGGTACCTCATTATTGTCAATATAAACACCTCCCTGGTCCTTGCTCTGGGGACTACCAGGAACGTTGATGGAGCCGCTGACCAAAGTAACCCGATTAGGATTTGTGGCAGTGATTTGGCTTTCCTGCTTGTAAATTAGTCACCAATTTCTGAAAACGAGTCTTGCCACGCACCTGATACATATCTCCCGATGTCCAACCTTCAGCAATAGCAAATTGAACTGGAATATCTTGCCGCTTCAAATACCCCCAGCTCCAGGGTGTGTTGTTTGTCACCCAGTGATTGTTCAACCCATAGTTGAGAGATTGCTGGTTCTCCTCGTAGCTGTTGCTACCCGCAGACATGCACTGAATTGCATCATTCCAGTCGCCGCCTTGATATCCAAGATACCAGGGTAGCAAGGTCTTGGTCTTGTTTGATTGGGCCGGCTCGACTAATCTGACCAGGAATGTTAGAACTAACTTCTCCCTTAGAGGCGGCACTTACTGATTCCAGACCGAGTTTCCGTCTGGGTTGACCTGGACATTGGGATCATTGAATCCCCGGACTCCAGGCATAGTGCCGAAATACTGCGATTTGGTGAGCACGATGTCAATGTTTCATAGTGCAGGCAAAACGTGCCGTGTCCCACGAGCGATTCTCCTGCATGAAGATGACGACATGTTCAATGTCTTTTAGAGATCCACCAGACACGAGTCCCGTTCCCAGGGCTATCGCGACCGCGATAGACGCCGGCAATTTGAAAGCCATGATGCGGTAATTGCAGAAGGAATGAAGGGGAAGAGTTAACCTGCGAGAAGAGTGCGCTACTTATGTGCCCCCGACGCTGCAGATGGCGGAGAGATTCGCGAAGTACCGTTTCATGTGTATAGTGTATGTACATATTGATGCCCCCACACGCTTTGGTTACATCGCGGTTTCTTCATGGCAGACCGTTCGAGGAAGGAACGAATCGGAATTGAGGAATTTGAATACAGGGATGGGCTGGCATTTGAGTGAAGCATGCCGATCATGCATAAACAATAATACACTCATATGCGTATACAACATGTTGTTAGTCGAGTGATGGACGAAAAGGTACATGTGCCTTGCTGATCCAATCTGATATGCAGCTGTCTCCACGTGAATGCTGTTCCATGGTTCGACCCAACGCTAACCCAAAACACACTTTCGGCAGGAACGATCTTGTACCCTTTGGGCCTAGTCCAGGGTGCCACCCACCCTTTAGTACATGTCTTATTCCCTTAGTTATGGCGTCGATACCCTGGGAAATTACTTTTCAATTAATTATTTTCCCTTCGCTGTGATTGATCCAGCCGGGCACGTGTCTTGCAGGTCTCGCTGTAAGGTCGCATCACGTTGATCCCCGGCAGTAAGGGTGGCCTGAGGTCCTAGCGGGATGTTCTTTCCCCTCCGTACTTGACCTTCTTTCTAACTATATAACGGTAATTTGGGCGATACTCCCAGTTCTTTACAAACAATGCAGAAACAGTACAGTCCGGCTGGGAAAACAGCCCCTAGTCCAGAGAAATTGGCCCAACCAATGCCGGAGCCATCGCAGCGGCCATGGCCGATCGCAGGCTGCTCATTGGTTGCGTGTTTCTTGATCGGCTTGGTATACTTTTTGCAATCGCCCATCTTTCTTGTGCCTTTGATTTTACCCGGCCACCTTCAAAACATTCAAGATGAGGCTTTCACTGCTCGACCGCGCATAGAGCTTCACCCGGAGGATCATGCGTATCGGGCGCCGGAGACTCAATACTTGGATTGGCATGTGACCTCGGGCTTGCGCCGACCAGACGGTGTATTGAAGCGGGTCTATTTAATCAACGGTCAGTACGGAGTAGCAGAACCTGGTATCACCGTGGTGGATCTGACCGGAGGATATCAAACTAGACCTATTCCCTGGACCGACGATAGAGGCCCGCTCTGGTGACACATTGATCATCACTGTTACCAATGCCTTGCCGGATGAGTTGATTGCGATTCACTGGCATGGCCTTCATGTGGCTAGTAAGCTTTGTCTTTCACGATTTAAACCTTGGAAGCATCGGCGCTAACTCACATAGATGCCATGGATGGTGCAGCCGGGGTTACCCAATGCCCCGTGACTTCTGGAAGTAGCTTTGTGTATAATTTGACAATTCCATCCGATCAGAGTGGTACTTTCTGGTATCATGCCCATTCAGGGGTCTCGCGGGCGGATGGCCTTTATGGTGGGCTGGTCGTGCATGCACCAGCCTCCAAATCCACCGTTCGGGGCTTAGCATCGCGTGGGCGCAATGGTCTGCACCGTTACAATTATGATAGAGAACTTTTGCTTCTCATCGGGGACTGGTACCATCGTCCTGCGCGTGATGTTCTAGAATGGTATATGGACCCTGGGAATTTTGGAAGCGAGGTAAGTTCCGATATGGTTTTCAAACGGTGAAGTCTATCTGACAATGGTATTAGCCTGTTCCTGATTCCATGCTCATCAATGGGGCAGGGTATTTTAACTGCATGATGGCGGTACCGGCTAGACCGGTGGACTGCATTGATCAGCAGATGAATAATGCATTCATCGACCTCGATCCTCATGCGACATACCGAATTCGCGTGGTCAACACTGGGTATGTCACAGGATATCAAAGCCAAATTAATTATTCGCTAACTAGTTGACAGATCTCTAGCCGGGCTGAATCTCGTTTTCGACAACCATCTTCTGGACCTGCTTCAGGTGGATAGCATCGATGTGGCCCGCTCCAAACAGAAGCATATAAATTCCATCGGTACACTCTTTCCCGGGCAACGCATAGACTTTGTCCTTCGGCCATTATCACAAACATCTGAAAAGCAGTCACACATGACAGTTCAGTTAGATGAAGAGTATGACAAACTCGCCGAGCATAGCAGTTACTAGTTGCTAATGTTTCACCAGTTCCTTCAAGTACGCCAACCCAGCATTGACGCCAGATCAAACTTTCCCCATCAACTACCGTCCCGATGCCGTCCAGGGGCCTCCAATCAAGGCCCACCGTCTCGACATCGCAGAAGTACCTTCTGCGCCCTCCGTTCTCCATTCCATCCCGCCCGCCGCTCAACAAACGCACGTGGTGTACACCAAGATCCAGAAAATGGCCCGATATTCCAACAAGCCATTTGGTTACTTCAACCAAACCACCTGGAAGCCCCAGCAAGATCCACCCATTCCACTGGCGTCTATGCCACGAGCCAAATGGGACGCAAATCAATTCTCAATAACCACGGGGCCGGAACCTGTATGGGTAGACCTGGTAATCAACAATTTAGATGAAGGATCCCACCCCTTCCACATGGTACGAACCCTTCCCTCCCTTACCCAGTGACGACAATTCACTAATTTCCACTAAGCACGGGCACCACTTCTACGTACTCGCAGTCTACCAATCCGAATTTGGCTGGGGCTCCTACAATCCCTTCCTCGACAAAATCCCACCACACCAAGAACCCGACTCGGATGCGTTGAAAAATGACACAGATGACGTCCAGGACCCTAACATTAATTATGATTCCGCTCTATACGACACATCGCGGGCTGCTTTGCGTGACACAGTCGTGATCCCTAGTCGAGGCTATGCTGTTCTCCGTTTCCGGGCAGATAACCCCGGCGTTTGGCTTTTGCATTGCCATATGCTTTGGCATTCGATGACTGGTATGGCCATGTTCATTGATGTGCAGGGCGATCCGGCGGGATTGGCTGCGCACGCTAGCAGCGGAGAATCATGTCCTGTTTGAGAGGAGTTGATTAGCTTTGGCTTGGAATTAGCCTTGTGAACACATACACTCCAGACCCTAGTTGCTCATCTGTTTTGGATGTTCGATTGGATTTTACACATTCCTGCGCAGCAAGAGTCTTGCATTCAAATTGACCATTCACTCGGGAGTGGCATGAGGACGTCTCGGTCCCGTGGTTCAGAACGTGCCGACTAGCAAAGACGGAAATGAATTCCTGAGTTGATACGGTCCTCGAGGAAGATTCTGCAGGTTAGCAGATTCCTCAGTTCATCGGTGAAGAGGGCCAATCTCGGGCGGCCAGGACGATCTGAAATGATGATGTAGACGTTTACATTTTTCGCGGAGTAAGTTTGAGGGAGAATCTGCTCATATTGACTCTGCTGACGTGGATTTGCAGATATGCCCTTATGCAAATACGACCAGAGAGAGAACCTGGGGAAGCCCTATGGAAGATCAACAACACCCCTACAAAATTGGTCGATCGGTACTCGAACCAATCTGAGTCCTAGGCGCAAAGTGCCACTACATATAGAGACTTCTATACGATATATCCGCATTCCCGTTGTCTGCAATATGAACGTTTCTTCATGAAGTTCGTTTCGTGTCTACGGGTTCCGCTTCTGCACTAAGAGCTGCAGCATGGTCTACGGTACATTAAATGACCCGGTTCGACGCTTAACGGGATACGGTGTGCCTTAGGACTCTAGGTCAATCCTAAACTAGCCTTTTAGTAATGATTCTGGATTCAATCAACCTGGAACTGTTGCGAAAGGAACCGCTGCCCTTCCGTCGATCTCATTTCTTTCTAGCCAAGCGTTGCTACAACTTGAATACCTTTCAGCCTTCACCGTGATCTTTGTTAGAAGCTTGTTCTAGCAGTGCTGTATGTAATCATGAATCATGGGGAAACATCAGCAATTACAGTTGACTTAAACTATACCTAAAATAGCAAAAGTATTGAATTTGTTGACGGGTTCGTATTCACAGTTGCTCTTTCGGCCTTTGGATTGGTAGAATGATATCTCTATGGCTTGTCAGGCATAGACTCAACGTCCTGCTCGTCATACACAGACTCAACCTCGCGCAATACGGCGAGGGGAGGGAACAGACATGGGACAGACATTGGCGTTTTGTAGCTACCAGCTACTGGATATACATGGGCTATATCCATAACCCTGGACTCAGGTTCGTCATGGCATATTTGCACCAACAGCTCTTTCCGCCGCAAATACGTCCAGTCAAGTATTCCGGGAGGCCAACCCTAGATGCGGATAGGAAGACATGTAAATCTTTGATCAATCTTTCCAATGCGCGCATCAGGGAAGTCTTGTGGCATGACTCAAGCGCTTGCCAATAAGCAGTAGCCGAGGGGAGGACGCTAAGTCCGTGCCTAACAAGGAGGATGTTGAATCCGTGCCTGATGAGCAGCACCTTGTAATGGCGATCTATCTACGTTGTGTCTGCTATGAGCAAAACAACCAGTATCGATTCGACTAAGATGAAGTGCACGAGAGGAGAAAAGAGAGAAGAGGAGGGGAGCGGAATTATCTACTGATCTGGACCCACATCGGTGTCCGCCTTCCGGGCACCCAATACCTTGAGTCTGTACCTGACGAACAACACGTTGAGCCTATGCCCGACCAGCAAAAGGTCAAGCCCACGCCCAACCAGTATAGTCCGCATATCCTATCCTCCAGTATGCGAAGTCGACGTGTTGGTTCGTTTGAGAGGGAGTCGCTAATCCAGCAAATCTTCTTTCTTCATCGCTGTCATCGTTTGCAATTGTCATTCCGCTAGATGCGTAGACTCTCTCGTCCGTTGCGGTTGCTGAAGAAGAGACATCGCCAAAGTTGGCTTGTCTAGTTCTCTCAGTCAGGCTTCCGCTCACTTGTTGGTTCTTGTTCTCGTGGAATTGCTGAGATCACCATATCCAATATGGGAAGATGGATGAAGGAAATCTCCAGTGGAGATGGGTGAATGGCGAAGAAGAAAATGTGGGGAGGGTCTCTGGTGGTTTATATAGTCAACGGCGTCTGGAGTCGAAGGTGGGGTATTCATAAGTGAGAGTAATGTAAGAGAAGTCGAGGGATGGTTCGACATGCTATATGCAGTTGTAGCCATAGCATCATGGAAGCCTTTAGAAACTGAGATGAGCTCTCGTCAAGCAAAATATAAATATAACCATCACGGTCTGGGGTGCCCAGACCGGCGCGGAGCTGCGAACATTTAAGGGCCATTCCAAAGGACCAGTTTTTGAAGCAGTTATTGATGAAGTACAACATAGTCTTTTATACTGATAAGTAGAAACTCCTAGGATCTAATGGAATCATTGACCGCCAAGCGTATTTGAAAACTAGACTGTAAAACAGTATAGATTACCTGATCTGTTACTATAAAAAGCGGATCTTTGTTCAGCACTTGACGTCGCTCTCACATTACCCCATTGAGAACGGAAGGTTACTCTTTATCTCTCACCATTGCAGATTTCATCTGTCGTTTTGCTGGGTCTGCCGGAGTGCCAGCTGAGAAAAGATAGGCGATCGGAGCCAAGTTGGACAACCAGTTGAGACAACACTAGACCTAATGACCCGAACGCACGAGTCAACCTGGTTATCGGCGAGGAGCTGGGCTTTGTCGTGACCAACGGCATCTCTCAAACATAATCACCTCATCTTCAGTTGTGATCCTATTCCTCTAAAATGACGACCGAAATGCTAAGGAAGCTGATTCCACCATCTAGACATGTGATTCTACCCTTCAACCTGCGTGAAAAACGAACTTTCCACCGCGATTCTGCTCAGCTTATGCAACTGTTTCCTGACACGAAGCGGATTCTATTTGATAGCTATTTCTTGGTGTTTTTGCTGGGCTCTCTGCCCCCAAAGCCGTGGCCGCTAACCATTGCTTGAGTCCGGCCATATTTCACAACGGACCCGAATGATGAGGGTCCAATGCCATCAATGAAACGTACGAGCAAATCGCGTCTTTTTGTAGACGCTGAAATCAACGTTACCGACCTTCCACCCTCTCAAGTTGACAATGCATTCAAGCTCGTCTTCGATTTCTTTATGGAAGCTCAAATCTCTATTACCCAAGTCCAGTACTGGGGCAATTTGTTTATGATTGTACTGGAGGATGAGGATACTGATTTGACTGAAGTACCCCGTTCGATAGGCTGCTGTACCTGTTTTTATCTGTTTGTTCAGGAGGTACGACGACCGACACAAGGCAGGCTCACAGAACCGACTGCCGATATTGTTGATAGTAGCAAGTATGATATACTGCGTCCCGGCGTTATGTTGAACTCTAGTATATATTCTCCCACCGAACCTGGGTATCTTACTACTTCTGGTGTACTTGTTGAGAACTCTAACTCCGGCGAGCGGTATACCACTGTTGCTTCCCATGGGTTTCCACATGGCGGCGAAGTTTTCCATCCATGTGCTAGCGGTAAAGAGATCGGTCAAATCATTATGAAGATCACACATACAGAAATCGCGATAGCAAAATTGCATGATGATGTCCCGTATGTAAATGACACTTTCGAGAGCCCTTTTAACGGAATACAACCTACCCAGTTACGAAGTCTCGTCACAGCTGACAGCTTGAAGCCTGGTGATACGGTCTATATGAATAACCATCTTATTGGTTATTCCGAAGGTATCTGTGGACCTCACACCCGTGAGCAAATTCCCTGTACTGACCCTAGCCAACCTTCATTCGAATGGATCAAGACTCGCTGGTGCTATATGGGTCAAGGGTCCACCGAAAGTCTCCAAGATAGTGTTTGCGGATCTGCAATCTGGGTTAAGGATGGAAATGTGATTGGGTTCTTCCATTTTGCACCAGCATCCGGTCACTTCTTAGACTGGTCTTTCTGTGTCGGAGCTGACCACATCATTGAACGTTGTTTTAAGAATGTGCAATAATCCGGTCACTGACTTTCTTACTGTTGCCTTGGTATTTGCTTGCTATTGAAGCTACAGTTCTAGAGCAGAGTGACATGATATTAAACCAACTAGAACTATTGATTTATCAAACGTTATACCTACAGGTGTATAGCTCCCTCTTTCCGCATTAGTGCTCATGCCTTGCCGCTTTTTGCTTGAGTACACCTGAGCACGCCCACTTCTTTGTTCTTAGGATGGACACCTACACTCTTGCCCTGGAGATAAACTGAAGGAATTTATATTCCCTAAACTAAGACTGATGGATTCTTTCTTTCTTTCTGATAAGCGCACATATCGAAGGCCTTCCTAGGCGTATACCGTCAACATTGGAAGTCCTTGACTACGGAGTAAACGGGGTGGCATTAGACAAAGTCATTGCGATACACCTAGTTAAGGCTTAGTTACACGCTTTTTCTTACCAATCATTTATTATGACGCGTACGGCGAACCTCCAGGAACCCCTACCTTTCTCACATTCTCGGGCTGTGCCATCAGTCTACCTCAAAGAGGCTCGACAGTCACTTGTTCTCCTTGAATTGCCCAATCCTTCTCACAGCGGCTTTCGGATCTGTCGACAGCATTTCTGTCTGCTTCTATCATAATCATCCTCTTCTCCATCTATTCCTACGCACCAATGGCAGAAGGAATGTCGTCGACCCAGCTCCCGACCGTCCCGCCAACCATGCGTGCCTGGGTACGCCGGCGACGCGGTCCTGCTAGTGACGCGCTCGAGCTGGTCACTGACTATCCAACCCCCGAAGTGCCCACAGGCTCGTCGCCCGATGTATTAATTCGCGTGTCACACGTGTCCCTACAGTTCAGCAGTGAGGCGATAATGAAGATACTGCCTATACTGCCTTTCACCAGTCCGTGGATCCCGGAGATTGAGTTTTCCGGCGTGGTAGTAGCGGCTGGCGGGGGTGCACCGACAGAGATGCGCGATCCGGGCTCACACGTCATTGCCTTTCAGAACATTCCCAGCGCTGTGATCATGGGCCACGGCGTGCTGGCAGAGTATGTGCGACTGCCTGGCAGCCAGGTCGCACGGATCGATGGCGGTATTGGCATGGCATCGGCCTCGGGTATTATCGGGGCCGGTAGCACCGCGCTCAAGATGATTCGCACAGCGGGTGTCCGCGAGGGTCACACGGTACTTGTGAACGGAGCTAGCGGGTCAGTCGGTTCGGTGCTTGTGCAGCTGTGCAAGGTGCGTGGTGCGAAGGTGGTCGGCGTGGCTAGCGGAGGTAACGAGCCCATGGTTCGTGGTCTGGGTGCAGATGAGGTAGGCACAGTTATCCAACGTTGCATAAAAAAATGAGTCGTGACTAACATACAAATAGTTCGTCGACTACCGCGAGCATGAATCTCTGCCAGCCTACCTAGCGCAGCAGTATGGCGACAAGCCGTTTGACTTTCTGCTTGATTGCGTTGGCACGCAAGCACTTTTTGTCGGCTCCCCGGCTTATCTAAAGCCCGAGGGAGCTGTTGTAAATATCGGCGCGTTCGAGGGCATGTATGCGATGGCGCGCAATGCCTTGCTTAACACCTGGCTGCCCACCTGGCTAGGCGGCGTGCCGCGTCGCTATATAACGTTCAGCACGCCTCCGACATGTGACGATGCAGTCTACTTAGCACGTCTGATCGAGGAGGGCCGCTTGCGTATCCCTGTGGACTCTGTCTTCGACATGGAGGATGCCATAGGTGCCTACGAGCGCATCGCTACAAAGCGTGCGCGTGGCAAGGTCGTGGTCAAGGTGCATGACGACTAGGCTTCGATTGCAATCATTAGGGTATACACACCCATAGGGCGAATTAGTGCAAAGTGGGGTTGGCCGTGAAGAAAATAGCCAAATAAGGTCGAAGACAAACGCGCGAGCGAAGCCTTAACTCGAGAAAGAATAAAAGGGGATTTCCTGCGACGATGGACTTTCCATTCCGCTTTAGCGACACGCATGAACCTTTCGGTGTCTCTGATGGGAACCCAGCTAGTGAGGGCTTTCATGATATTCTCAGTCAGACTCGATAATGATTTCACGCATGCTATCAATAAGGGCAGACTTGGGCGTGTAGACTGTTTGGGTAGATATATATCCCCAAGGAAATGGTATGAGGATCGTTGAGTTAGGAACAGATGGAAGCAATGGGCGTTTCAGTTGAGATAAATGTATTTGAAATTAATGGGTTGGGTTGCGTGGCCGACGTGCTTACATGGCCGCCTCGCTTACCGATTACGTTAGTTATAGCAAGGTCAAAGTACTGGAATTCATAAGTACAGTTTGTGTGCCAGGAATAATGCCTTAGGTAACGCCAATTCCCCAAAAGAGAAAAAGGAATGGGGTTATAAGAATGTCCACAGAGAATGAATATAAACCCCGAAAAAAGGACTAGAGAAGGAAAGACCAGCTTCACCGTTCCGGTTCAGACGTCAAACAAGAGTCTATGAAGCGGCGGCCCACTCGACGACCTCCAGAGCGCACATGACAAGTACGAGGGTCGAGGGGAGGATCCTGGAAGAAAAGCCATGTTAGCAATGATCAATTGAGATTGACAACCAGACGGTGTCTGTCTATAGATAGGAGGGATAAGAACATACCAGACAACATAGCTCTGGAACAAGAGTTTAGACATAGCGCCAACATAAACATTATTGATCTGACAGATCTGCGCCAACTGCAATGCTGACGGCGCACCCGTCAGCAGGAAGCAGACGATAATGAAAATCGGATCGTCGAGAATACTGATCGGCACAAACTTAGCCATGAGTGCCAAAATTGGAGCCATGATCAGAGTCGGAAGAAGCATGCGCGCAACAAGTGAAGCGATGATAAGCTTGCGTTCGTCGCGGGGATGTTCCACGTCCGCCAGCGCTTCTTCGGGGATTGTATTGCGCGCGAGGTTCGCGCCAAGCACGACCAGGATCAGCGGCACGGCAACCTGTCCATTCTGCTCAATTGCCCGGGTGACTGAGTTACGAAGGAAGGTGCCGTCGTCAAAGAAGAGGCGCTGAAGCGTTGGGACGGAGGCAATGATGATTGATACTAGCATTGCCCACAGCGGTGGGTTCATGAAATCCCATAAGCCATTGAGGAAGCGGCGCGCTCCGCGAGTGGTTGCTGCGATGCCCTTTTGGACGTTTGGTGGGAGGCTTGCGTGGAGGGCAGTAGCTTTCTTTTCTCGCCACTGGCTCAAGCGTTGTCCAGATTTACGCAGAGATGCTTTGCAGCGCTGGAAACACGTTTTCTCGGCTTCTTGAACTTCGCGCGCGGTGACTTCGACATCCGGGAAGTGGAGAATGTCACCTTGAGAGCTTTGGCGGGGGAGGAAGGGGCCGGTGGGTGGTGGTCCAATTACTGACGGTGTGTCGTCTGAGTCCAGGTCGTCTGAGGGGGCGGGGGACATCTTCGAGTAGGAATAAGTTCGCGTTGACACGGGTGTTTGGTCGCCGGATGGGAACGGACGGTCGGTGTTTGTCGCGTCGTGAACATGGTGTAGATCCTCCGAGCTCCGTGTTCTGACTAGCGGTTCGTCCGGATCGGTTTGGTCCGGGTTGTCGCTATACAGCGCCTGACCCTGCTCGATAATTGACTGACCAGTCTCGTCGCGTTCCACCTCCTCGAGGTATCGGTGCTTAGGCGCTAAGAGAATGTGGTATCCCCAGCTCCAGCGTACGAGTTGACCAAGCTGCTGGAAGATAAGCAGGTATAGAATACCGCGTGCGGCGACTTCGTCATCGTTGTCGTTGGGGAGCTGGTCCCAGTGGAGGCCTTTGAGGGTCTGCGAGAGCGATATGACGAGCGAGATGGGAAGAGAGTTTGAATTGCCAAATACCTGCGAGAAGGTATCGTTAGAACAAGATATTCGACTGTCTCAATGGAAGGGCCCATTAGGTACCGCCATGGCAGCCACGAAATTTGACTGTCGCTTCTTGAAGCGGCAACATTTTGCGACAATGAAGGAACAGAAGTATGAGACGAAAGTCTGGACAATAAAAATGACCGGAATGATAGCCAAGTCCGTAAGCTTTTCAGCGGTTAATTGTGAGCCCAATTTGGTAAAAACTGTTGACCACAATCAGCTATGTCATAGAAATATGTGGCGAAAGCAAGAATCCATACTAAGGCAGGGGGTGAACAGAACGACATTGAGGTTTGCCACCAGCTTCTGAGCTTCGGCATCAAATATGCCCTGACGGGCGGCAATATAACCAGGGAAGCTGACACAGACGACTTCCAGTACTGCTGAAAAGACGAGTAGCACTAGGTGAAAGAATGGGGGATGGCTTTCATGAGCGCCTATGAAGAAGCGGTCCATGCCCATTGGGGCCTGGGCAATAGCATTGACATTCTGAAATGATCGAGGCGAGTTAAAGATGGCCATCAGTCAAGAAAAGATTGTGGATGGGAACAGGAACAGGTGAAAAAGTTAGAAGGAGAGAAGGTTGGAATTGTTGATTTAGATATGGAAGCTTGGCGGTCCTACGTTGATAGTTCTGGTCTTATCTCTTCCCTGTGTTCATTGGATTAAGCGACGTATGAGATATTAATGGCAAAAATACTTGCAGCTGAAACTCAGCTATTCCAAGGTTCTTGGATTCTATTACTTGACTACGCCACAACACTGATTGACAGTCAATCAGCCGAAAATGGACGATCCAAGCTCCGGGCCTTTTTGCCAAAGCTGAGTCATTGCATTATCACGTGCGCACAGCATACGTCACCAAGGGAGGAAACCTTGAAATAAACTTCGGCTTAGTCAACTAGTCCTTTTTGGGCTAACTCCTTCCATACTTCCAAGCACCGGACACAGCAGAGCCACTCTCTCACCTGAGACTCCATTTATGGAGTTCAGTACACATGCATTGGAACCGCCGATTACACTGTCCTCTTCGGGTTGATAGAAAGCAGGTACTGATCAAAAGTAGTGTCTAGATTCCGTTTTGAACAGAGTTGATCTTCGAAACTCCCGTTATATGGTCCATA